CGTCGGTTTGGTGGGCTGAGCTTCACAAAACGCCAAAGATACTCCGATCTCTTTCCAGCCCTCGTCTTGACGGGTCGTTGACGGGGGGCCAGGCGAAGATGCTGAAGAACCAGGCAACAGATTGAGGTCTAGCCCACGATGTTGAAGGCTACCGCAAGCCCGAAAAGAAATCCATCCGGCGGAAAACCATGGTCCATAGAAGGGGCGAAGGCCAACTCTCGACAGAGGGCCAGCAGGTGCGACGGGAGCGTAACCGGAAGCAAGTCAGTGAGCAGCACTGTAGAAGGGGCTGTAGCCCCACCTCTCACTCTCAAACATCACAACGGACACGTCGATCACCGACAGGACGTAGTCGATCATGCCGTAGATGGGATCCACGAGCATGCTGTTTGTGTGTGTTGCAGCAGGGCGCGATAGATATAGATGGGGGATATGGGGGAAGTGGGAAGAGCGGGGAGGCAGGTGGCTGAGCTTCACAAACGGCCCCAGAAAATCAGATATCTGCCGCACCCTCGTCTTGATGGGTCGTTGACGCGAAGCCAGGCAACCGCAAGCCCGAAAAGGAATCCCTCTGGCGGAAAGGGATCCAAAGAGCCAACTGCTGAAAGGGAGCCCATAGGTGTGATGATAACGTGAAGGACAGCGAGACGAAGCAATTCAAGGAAGACCACTTGGAGAGGGGGTGAAGTGCCAGACAGCGAAGGCAGCGTTGATGAGATCGACCAACATGGTTTTCTCTTATGTCCAGGGGGATGGACGACTCGGCTCGGGGATGAATCGATGGGCTCTCATCCGTGCGTGTTGTCGTTGCCGGACGTACCCGCTGCGTTCGCGTCAGGGCTCATGTGCGCAGATCCCAGAGGTCCAGAACCATGAGGTCCATGTGTATCGACGTCAAGAAATCGTCAAGTCCCGCGAGGACCATCATGAACGGCAATGCGGCATAAGTGAAGACGTTGAGGACGAACATCAACCAGATGACTTCGCCACCAAAGAGGACCATCGTGCACTCGTGGGGGACAGAAGAGAGCCACTCAGCCGCGACTGTTGGGTGAAAGGACACGAGAGGAGAGAGACGTGTGAGATGAGCCGCCTCAGTTTGCTTGTGTGCGTACAGGAAGTCAGGAAAAGGGCCTCACAGACCACACGCCCGTCTCGACAAGCACGATGCAGCGGTAGATGAAGTCTCGGAGGAAGTCCACTATCCCCAGAGTGAAGTACACAGCGATGCCATCGTTGATGAGCCAGATTGACGTAAGCATGGTTCCGATATCTGCAGCAACTTAAGGGGGCAAGCGCAGAGAGAGGTCGACCGTCGAGAATGCGAGCTACAAAGCAACACTCGTGGGTGAGCAGCCTGCCTTGGTGAGCAGATCCTGCATCCTCGCAACACAGCCATCCACGTATTGCATATCATGCACCCTGCATCCATGGATCTGATCTCCTGATCTCCGCAGGCAATCATCATGGCGTCCGGAAGTGCTGCGGATGCCATCGGTCGGCTGAGTGAGGTCAAGGATCTGCACCGCATCGAGCGCATCGGCGCCCACAGCCACATCCGAGGGCTGGGTCTCGATGACAGCCTCGAGGCGAGATATGTGTCACAGGGCATGGTCGGGCAGAAGGAAGCCAGGCGGGCCGCAGGTAGGATGCAACACACACACAAACACACACACACACACACACTCTCTCACATGCACACACCGGAGGTGGATCATGTGTTCCTGCCTGCCTTGTGTGTCGCCGTTGTGTGTGTGTGTGTGTGTGTTTGCAGGTATAGTGCTGCAGATGATCAAGGAGGGCAAGATAGCTGGGCGGGCGATACTGCTGGCTGGTCAGCCGGGCACGGGCAAGACGGCCATTGCCATGGGAATCGCCAAGGCGCTGGGAGAGGTACACACGCGGCCAGCCTGGGAACCACACACACATATGCAGCCGTGTATGTGTGTCTGTATGTTTGCTTTCAGGACACGCCCTTCACGCACCTGAGCGGCTCAGAGATCTTCTCCCTCGAAATGAGCAAAACAGAAGCTCTCGCGCAGGTAAGATACAAACACTGAGAATCGAAAACACCCACATGCCATCCCCGCCTTTCACATGCATGTGTGTGTGCTGTGTGCGTGTGTGTGTGCCAGGCCTTCCGTCGGTCGATCGGTGTGCGTATCCGGGAGGAGAGTGAGTTGATAGAGGGCGAGGTGGTGGAGCTCCGCATCGACCGCACCGCCGACGGGGCCGGCAAGAGCGGATCCATGACACTCAAGACCACTGAGATGGAAACCATCTACGACCTGGGCGCTAAGATGATCGGTGCAGTGTGTCCACTGATGCCATACGAGGGAGAGCAGGCACCACAGACACTGCTGTGTGTGTGTGGTTTCTGTGTTGTGTGCGCAGATGGATTGACGAAGGAGAAGGTGACTGCGGGTGACATCATCACCATCGACAGGGGCAGCGGCAAAATCAGCAAACTCGGCCGCTCATTCGCACGCTCAAGAGACTACGACGCACTCGGACCCCAAACCAGATTCGTGCAGGTGAGACAGTCGAGCACGGAAACAGTGACAAACGATGCCCATGCATATGTATCGTCTGTGTGCCGTCTGTGTGCCTCCTGCAGTGTCCCGAGGGCGAGTTGCAGAAGCGCAAGGAGGTGGTGCACACCGTTACTCTGCATGAGATCGACGTCATCAACTCACGCTCACAGGGATTCCTCGCACTCTTTGCTGGAGATACCGGAGGTAACTAACAACAATCACCACCACCACCACCACCGATATCGAGCCCCTTACGGCTGCTGTGGTGTGAGCAGAGATTAAGCAGGAGGTGCGTGAGCAGATCAACGCCAAGGTGGCCGAGTGGCGGGAGGAGGGCAAAGCTGACATCGTACCGGTACGCAGAGTCCGCATCGCGAATCATACCACAAAACACCCGGAGATGAGTGGATTTCTCTTCATTCATGTCTGTCTGTCGGTCAGGGCGTGTTGTTTATTGACGAGGTGCACATGCTCGACATCGAGTGCTTCTCATTCCTCAACAGGTCGATGAATGAATGACTGCAACACACAACACACACGAACACACATACATTGACATTGATGGAGTGTCTGCCGTCCACCCTCTGTGTATCCTTGCAGGGCGTTGGAGCAGGACACAGCGCCGATAGTCATCATGGCCACCAATCGTGGCATCACCACCATCCGCGGCACAGACTACAAGTCGCCACACGGCATTCCACTCGACCTACTCGACAGGACGCTCATCATTTCCACATCGCCATACACCGAAAAGGACATCAAAAAGGTGGGTGGGTGCACTGGTCACGTGTGTTGTGTTGTGTGGGCGATCGATCGGTCAAAGCATCCATCCATTGTTTATCCGCCAGATCATCGAGATTCGTGCCGAGGAGGAGGATGTGGAGATGGCCGAGGAGGCGCTGGAGCTGCTCACCAAGATCGGCATGGACACCTCACTGAGGTACACACTACAAAAGGAGGGGCCCATGTGGATGTGTCTGGCTGGCTGGCTGGCTGGCTGTGAATTGGCGCATGTATATGTGTCTGTCGATTGTCCAGGTATTCCCTGCATCTGATCACAGCGGCCAATCTAGTCTGCAAGAAGCGAAAAGGTCAGTCAGATAGATGACCTGAGCACCCACCCCTTGCTGATGCTCAATGCCCTCCCTTCTTGGTATCTGTCTGTCTGTCTGACTGTGTGTGTGTGCAGGTAGCAGTGTGGAGATCCCCGATGTGCGTCGCGTGTACAGCCTATTCGACGACATCAAACGGTCCACACAGTTTCTCGTGGTACGTACACAAAGCAGAGACACACCCAAACCCTCGACCACTGCGCCTCCCCTTGTTGATGGCTGCAGGAGTACCAGCAGGAGTTTCTGTTCTCCGAGCTCCAGGAAAACCTCCCAGAAGACGCCATCAACGGCGACGCTGACGATCAGCCCATGGCCGACGCACACAGTGGCGGCGGTGGTGCGACAGCTGCGCCCAGCGGCACTCGCAAGGTGCCGCTTGAGGGCAAGGGTATGGCGTCGGGCATCGGCGGCGGCGTGGCGCCCCAGGCACAGCCCGCCACGGGGGAGGGAGAGGCGCCACAGCCAATGCAACACTAGACCGATGGATGGATGGATGAGAGAGACGGCATGGGCGGTTGTCTGCCTGTAGGTGACTAGATGATGCATTCATGTCAATGGACAAGCAGCATCGATGCGACACATGTATGCCTGAACGGACACATAGGGAGATCTGTGCGAACGAACGGAGTGCCCCAGCGATCCGCAAGCCCCCCTGCGAGCTTAGAGTTGACGGAGAAGAGAGAAAGCGAACGGAGCTATGGGATCCACAGACATCAGGCGGCGTGTTCCACCAAAGGAAGGAGAGGCAGACACAATGAACGGCTCACTAAAAGCCGACTCGAGAGATACCGCTGAGGACAGCAGCACAGCTGCCTCGGGCCCGTCCAAGCGGCTGCAGATCTCGCCTCTCGATGTCCTCATTACAGTATGGAACTTCTCGTTCTTTTTGCTGGGAGGCGTCATCTCTCTCGTTATACAGCTGCTCATTGGGACCATCGGCGCACCAATCTTGGCCTTCTTTCCCGTGACCAAGATGCAGGTGCGTCGTGGGATGGGCACAGAGCATCAAGACAATAGAGTATACACGTGTGTGCGGCGTTTCCCTCTCTCATTGTGTTGGGCAGTTGATGAGCGCTTCGCTGAAACTGCCTCTCGCAAGTGAGTCTGTGGAGACACAACAAACACGAGCAGAGGTCGGGGTGCTCACGTCGTTCCGTTTTCGTGTGTGGTGGATGCGATGCAGTGTGTGTGTGGTTCAACCCCTTCTGGCACCTGAAGGTCGTGCGGCGGTACGTGCCGCCTCCGCCCGGCGAGCGAGGCCGCATCATCCTCAGCAACCACCTATCGGGGGTGGACCCCTGGATCTGCAACGCCGCCATCGCACCCTACACGGCCATGTTCGTCTTCAAGTCGGGCCTGCTCAACATCCCAGTGCTCGGCTGGCAACTCGCACTCACCGGCGACATTCCCATCTACTTCACAAAGGACAAAGGTACGGACAACACGGAGGGAGGCGGCACCAGACACGGCTCAAGGAGAACGTGTGTTGTGTTGTGTCTGGTGGGGCGTAGGTGGCTGGGGCACGATGCCAGGGACGACCCGGAAGATGTTTGAGCGTGTGGATGAGGTGGTCTCCAAGGGGATTGCCGTGCTGGCCTATCCCGAGGGCACCCGGTCCCGCACTGGCCGCCTGCAGCCTTTCAAGAACGGCTTCTTCAAATACTGCGTCGACTCCGAGACCGACATACAACCCATGAGTGAGTGAGTGGGAAGACATGAATGACGCACACACCACTCGCTGTCCGCCCTGTTGCCTGGGTGCAGTTGTGCATTGCACGCCTCGGCTGTGGCGGCCGTTCAGTCTGCTGATGGGGCCGGGCACGTGCTACGCTGCATTCGGCGACCCCATCTCATGCAAAGTGAGGAGGACAACGGAGGGAGGATACAATGGAACGACCGTCGATCGATCTGTTGGCGTGTTCAGGGCCGTACGATGGAGGAGGTACGGAAAGCCACGCGTGAGGCCATGGCGCAGCTGCTGAAGCTGTCGCCCGAGTACGATGAGCAGGTGAGGAAACCGGCTACCGGCAACCAGCCCCCAGGCAGCATCGTGACTACGTGGCGCTGTGTGTGTGTGCAGTTGGATGCGCCCATGTCGGATCGCGAGGATCTGGCGCCCCAGCAGCGTGGCACATCGTCGTGGATGTGATGGGCAAGATGGCAGCGGCTTTGGTCATGTGATGTGGGCCATTGTGCTGTGTCGTTGTGGCCGATTGGATTAATGACTGACTGTGTGTGTGTGACTGACTGACTGACTGACTTGTTCATCCATTTTGTGACGAAAAGCTATCTGACTTTGTCAAATTGTGTGGATGGATGGATGGATGGCATGGCTGGATCCATCCATGAGATCGGCACTTGCTTGGCGTCATCACATCCAATCAGTGCATTCAGTCGAAACGAAAGTGTCTCTTCTTCCCCCTCTACAGACGCCACCCATCCATCCATCCATCCATTCACATAGTCTCTCCAGCCAAACCATTTCTCGCCACGCTATGCCATTTCTATCCCGATGCGCGTCCCTTCCTGGTCTGCCCCAGCTGCAGTGTTCCACCCATAGAAGGGTTCAGGTGCTTCATCGACATGACGCCCTCCACTCCACCACGGTGACGGTGGCGCATCGGCGTGCCATACGACCCATCGGCGAGTGAGAGGGAGGGGACGTCCCCACGCGCAGACAGACGTGTGTTGCCGAATGCCGAGGGAGCCACAGACCCCTGCCTCTGCCGCAGTGTCGCAGAGCCCGCCTCACTGCCGCGTGCAGTGGGCGGGCCCCCTCCGCCTGAGCGGGGAGACGCCATGATGTTGCCCGGGGGGAAGTCAGCCGTCGACGCCCGTGTGTTGGACGCCGTCGAATTCTGCACAAAGACGCGCCGCTCCACTGTGTTGTTCTGGCCGCCCTTGTTGGGGAGAATGAGCGGCGGGTCGCGGCAGACGAGTGAGGGAGACATGAAGGTCCCGGCAGCGGCGCCCATGAGAGGGGGCGGCCTCAGGGTGCTGCTGTGCGATGGGTTCACGTGTCGGTTGACCACCCGTGTGTGGTTGTAGGGGTAGGGGGGGAAGTGGGCCACACCCCTTCTGGTCCTGAAGGGGTCGTTGACCAGACCAGGCGGGGGCATCAGAGGCACGTACTGAGGCTGGGGCGGCGGAAGGATAGGGGGATTCGGAGCCCTGCAGACAGAAGGACGGACAAGGGAAGAGGGTGTGGATGTGTCTCTAGTCGGTGGTTGCGCGACCACAGGTCAAAGGCGGCAGGTGTGAGTGAGGGCCAGTTGTCGGGGTGGCAGTAGTTGTATCGGTGGAGACGCTTCTCCTGCATGGAAGTGCGAAACGACCGACGCCCATGAGCACTCAAGTACTGCATGGCATGCAACACGACAGCAGACAGAAAAAAGTGGGAAAGAGTCCGTGGTGTGACATGTGGGGCGGTTTCTTTCCTGAGTGGCCTGGCTGGCCGTCGTACATTGATCATAGGCAAGACGAACTCATGGTTATCTTTGAATACGGTGCCGTTGTGGTCGCCTCCATGAATGGGCAGAAACATCTTGTCGGGGTTCCCACACAGATTAAACAACTCCACACTATGCGCCTGACAACGCAATAAAATGAAAGGTCACACACAGGAGACACACGAGCACTCTCTTGGTATTCCCTGTCTCCTACCAACGGGATGATCCTGTCCTCTGTCCCATGCACACACACCACGCCACACGACACCTGCAAGACAGGCCACAAAGACACAGTAGAGGTCCATTTGAGCCTCCCTGCCTGCCTGCCTGCCTCACTCCTACCTGGTGCATCTTGTCTTTGTTTGGGAAGTAGTCGGGCATGAAACGAGCAGCCCACGGTGCGATGCCCCGCACCACATCGCGGATGGACGTGAAGGCCGCTATCAGCACCAGACCCGCCAAGTGGCTGCCGCGACGGGCCGCCTCACACGCAATCGACACCGCTGGACCCGAACCTGACAACACAAGGAGGAAGGGCGACAGCGCTTATTGCAGATGGGTCTTTCGTCCTCAGAGACGAGGCACACCAATGGAGCGTCCGACGACTATGATGTCCTCCGGGGCCCAGTGAAGCGTATGCGTCACGTAGTCGTACACACCCCTGGTGGCGGCCTCCACGCTCTCCTCCGTGGCCTGCCCATACGCCAGCCCGTACCCGGGGTACTCGACCGCCAACACATTCACGCCGAAACAGTCATGCAGCAGCGTACAAAACTTGCGGCACGACCCAAGGTCCTGCAGGCAGGATATAGACAGCCATACACCCGCTCGTCGCTTTTGCAGTGTGGATATGTGCGTCCGCTTACCTCAGCGTTCGCGTGCAAGTAGACCATCACGTATCGTGCGTTGGGGAACGGCAGCCAGAGGCACGGCAGCACATCGGCGGCAGAGCACTCGCGGGGGTCGCGGCAGCCAGCGGGGATCCACACGATGTTGTCGCTGTATTCATCGTAGGTGCACGGAGGGCTCGGGAACAGCAGGAAGCTGAATACCATGTCGCCGTCGCACTCTCTGTCTCACGCCCCGTCTTGTCCAGTCTCGGGGGCCGATTGATAGTGCTGGACCTTGCCTCTGTGGGATCAAACAGCCCTCAAATCAGGCCCAGAGGGCCTTTCCTTTTCTTTCGGCTGGGCCTCCACAGGATCGACTTGAGATGGAAGGCTCGCTTTCGCCGCCCTGGCCGTCCGCCTGATCTGCCGCAGACCAGTGTGACTTCAATGCAGACGGCATGGCATCCTATGCCCCACCGCTTCGACAGTGCAAGAGCCAATGGTGGAAGAGATCAATTTGGGCTTCGTGGGGAACTTCAGCGTTTGTGTTGCGACATGCTGTCCACGCTGGTGATGGTACCCTACTCATCCGACATCCAATCACAGCTCCCACTCATCTGCAACGAATTCCAGGTTGGCGGAAGCTGTGCATGCAACCAGCTGTGCATGTCATGGTCTGGGGATTTCCTCCTCTTTCCACTGCAGAGGCTGCTCAGTTGTGTGCCAATCTCGTGGCTGCAAGAACAGGGGCTCTTTCATCTTGTTGATGCAGTCATCTTTGTCACAGAGACATCATGCACAGCTCATCAAGCACCTGTTGAAGAGTCCAACTTGAACTCGGCCACCGTGACGATTGAGAGAAGAAGACCTGGGCGTCATGTGGTCCGCCGCTCTATCGATGTCACTCTGCCGGACGACCATTGCACTCTCGAGATCCTTGCCTTCCACCACGCACCGCGGGACGAACGAGGCCGAGAAGTGACGCACCATCCTATCCCACCCACATCCCCAAAGCCGAGATGGAAACAGCAGAGAAGAAGGCGTGTGTTCAATGCTGTCCCCGCTGAGGGGACAATGGAGCTGATTAACAACGGCAAGAGGAAGACCGACCACACTCGAGGAGGCACAATACGCCGGGGCAAGAGGGAGAGGGAGACAGGAGCTAAAGCAGCCGCTGACGATGGAGGATTCAGTGCATTGGCCCTGGCCGAGCCAGTTGGAGACGCGCGTGTGGCGGTGGGGGAGAAAGGTGACATGCCAGGGGATGAAGACTGGACCAAGGCTGCGTCTGAAGCGGTGTCTCCGGCTGATGTGGCAATGGCAAGTCAGGGAAAGATCCTGACGCGCGAGGAGGCAGTGGAACAGCAGCAGCAGCAGCAGCCGCAACACGAGACGTCAGCGCCACCAGAAGAGCCTCCACCACACGAGCGTGTCTCTTCCCTTCGGCGTGTCCATGCGACAGACGACACCAGCCACACAGCACCCACCTCAGCTGCTGGTACTCATTACAGGCGGTCTGAGGAGCTGCCGGAAGGGGTGGTGTCTTCTGTGCTCGACAGTGTCTATAAACACGCGACACACCGTCATGCAAGTCGCGGGATTGTGCGTAAGGTGTATGCCGAGGCCGCGTCTGACGGCTTCACCTACTCGCAAGTCAGCCCCAGGAGGGCGTCACTGCGAATGAGTATACAGAGACAGGAGCCCTGGAGACGTGTGTGATGAGGCCGTGCTGTTGTGACATTGAAGTAAGGCTTTGGGACGGTGAATATCAGTCGAGTATGTCGTGAAGATAACTGTTGGCAATGGCATCAAAGGGGACAGCTCAAGGCATATCATGCGATCTGTGTGGTTCTGTACACACGAGTCGGTCGCATACACCACGATCGTGCGCTGAGTGATCCTGGCCTCCTATCCGTCCCGTCTGGCTTCATGACCTGCGTCGACTGATCTCTATCAGTCCAAGCCAGATCCACACAGCAAGAGGCAACGGATCGGCCATGATCACTCCTCAACAGCGACGAAAGAGACCAGACAGGTACTGTAGTGCACCAATCCGTCATGCAACACAGCAGACCTCTGTGCAATACATCAACGCCCATGTGCAACCAATAAGGACACAGCATGGCGGAGTGCTCTTGGCCGATCCGTCCCCCAGCCAAAGATGATTCAGCTCTGACTGATTTGCGTCAGTCGTTGCCGAATCCACTCAGGCACGGCCGACGAACCGGCCAAGTACACTCCCCGCAGCAGTTACGAACGACGCACAACTACTACCAATGTGCAAAAGGGCGGCCCTCACTGCCCCTCAGGCGCATCCCATCCCTCCACACGTGGATTCCCTTGCTTGTCGAAATAGAATCGACGCCTCTTGCTGGGGGCTGGAGTGACAGCGCCCTGCTGCTCATCAGCGACAGGCTCCTCGGCAGGCGGCTTGTCCTTGGAGCGTCTTCTCTGCCTGGGCTCACGATCGAGCAGAGGAGGTCCATCGATGCTGTCAAGGGGAATGCCACGATGCACCAGAGCGGCAAACGGCGACACGCGACCTGAATGCACGGATACAGACCACACAGCGGCAGAGCAGTGAGGCCGTCCTGACGTGCTGATCCCCTCTCATCTGTCTCACCTCTGGTGACGCTCCACATCTCGTTCGGGTGGCTTCTCATGCCGACGGAGTCCCCTGTCTCCCCAGCAAGCACCTCCACACCACGACGTGTTGATGCGAACGGCAGTGCCTGGCCCCCCTGGATGCTGGTGGTGCTGCTGGCCGCTTGGTCGTCGAGTGTGAGCGCCTGTGCCTGTGCTAGTGGGGTGAGGAGGGGGTCGGTGGGGCCGTACCACAAAGCAGCTAGGGAGTGGGGGTCGGGCAACTCGCTCTCAGGCACACCCTGAAGCAAGCAAGAAAGGGGCAACACTGTGTCGCGAGAGGGTTGGTGGATGGGCGTAGACAGGTGCTCACCGCCTCTCGAAGCTGCTCTGCTCTGTACATGATGGCTCGCTGGCGCCGAGCACGCACACTCGCGGCCACGAACCTGCACACACAGCCAGGGGACGACGAACTGGTGTGTGAGTGAGTGTCTGTTTCGTGGGTCAGCGTGGTGGTATCTCACCAAGCAGATCTGAGGACCTTGCGCCAGAGGATGGGATGGGGGGCTGCGTCATACTGTGACAGCTCAAAGAACGATGCCACAAGCCGCTGCAGACAGGTACAGAACAGGCAAGGGGCGAATACGTTGGCCCGTGTGTCGACGCTACTCGATTCCCCGTGGCTGACCTTGTTGAACCTCACAAGAGTGGGGTGCACATGTGCCTCCTCCATCTGCTGCAACACGTCCCATGCCTGACACCGAACAAGCGAGCACCGACATAGCCAGTCACTCCTGCCATCCATCCATTTGTGCGCCTGACTGTCTGACCTCTTCGCTCCGGTGTTTCTTGGACATGATGCATCCGTGTAGCGCCAGGGTGAATGAGACCTCGTCCATGGGCAGCCCCGACCCCACGAGCGCCTCCAGCCCCTCCTCGAAGGCATCCCACCTCTTGCGATGCAGACTCCTCCACATCTTGCGGTGGAAGTCATTGCGACGACGGGTCACGTCGGCAAACTCAGAGGCATTAGGAGGGGCCGGCATTGGGACGGCAGATGCCAGTGGAGAAGAGGAGGCAGCCAGCTGGTCACTGAACACAAGACAATGAATGTTGCTGCTATCTGTTTGTGTTGTTTGGCAGCAAGCTGACCTGCTCCTTCTCTGCGGCTTTGCGCGGAGCTGCCTGACGGCTGCGCGTCCGTGTGACACTGGCAGGGAGGCTGCTGCCTTCTGAGGCACTGTCGATGCTCGGTGGAGCTGGCGAACGTGCATGAACGAAGGCGGTGGGAGATCCATGGCCGGGAGGATGCGAGTCAGCGAACAGCGAAGAAAACAGAGCCCCGCCATCTCGGAGGCAAACCCCGCAGGGTTAGGGTTTGCGAGGAGGGATCTGAGCAGCTTCATACCATCTCACGACCTCGGCGAGTCGAGGGCAAAACGATGTCAGACTGGGAGAGCTGGCGAAGGCGCTGGCCGCGGATCTTCCTGGCACTGGTCGTGCTTCCCGTGACGCATGCCTTCCATCGACTGCCCCCCCTCTCTCAGTCGATGCCGCAACGAAGGCCCGTTCGTCCTCTCTATTCATCGTCACGACTGCAGATGGCCGACTCGAAGACCTCAGCAGTAGTGTGCGGGGAGGTGGGCGGCATCGGCCGCCTCCTGGCGCTTCAGCTGGCGGAGAATCCGTCATACTCGGTGCGGGCCTTCCTGCACCAAAGCGAGTCCACTCAGCCCCTTGGACATGATGCACTGGACACGCTCAAGCAGAAGGCCGACGTGGCTGTGGTTGATCTATTGAGTGACAGCGTGCCGCAGCAGCTGGTGGACGGCATCAAGACGGCGGATGTGTTGCTCGTGTCGCCTGATGACGGGAGTGAGATGAAGTCGCGGCGGCTCAGGACAGAGGAGCGGATAAGGGCAATGCAGACGGGCAAGGCGCAAGCGGCCGATGCCCTCCTGCTGGAGGAAGAGCTTGAAGAAGAGATCGAAGACCAGGTCAGGCAAGAAAGCGTCCCCAAGTGGTCACACACATGCGATACTAATGGATGCCTTTGTCGGTATCTTCAGATCCAGTGGGACTCGCTGACGTCTTCCATTTTGTCGCAAGCGTCTTCACTCAAGAGCGTTGTTGCCACCGTCCCGCAGTCGGGGGAAACGGGATACAAGGGCGGCCTGCTCAAGATGCTCAAGCGAAAGCAAGACCCACTCGACCAGGTCATCTCCAAGTATGTGTCGTCCAAGCCCTCTATCCGTCCTGTCATCGTGCGCTACGGGAGGCTAATCGGAGGCCTGGGCGAGCCGACTCCGTTCCTCTCTGGCCCACTCCGTGCCCCTCAGCTGGACGAGTTTTACGTCAAGCAAGGTGTGCGCATGAGCCGCACTGTCTCCTTGGGCAAGGTCACGGGAGAGACTGTCACGCGGCGCGACCAGGTGGCCAAGGCGGCCGTCCAGTGTCTGGAGAACCTCGACAGCGTCGAATATGGGGGTGACGGCGAGGCGGCTCTTGACGTGACGGTCTTCTCCCTCGAGGACCCCACCCCTCCCTCAGACTATGTGTGGCAGGAGCAGCTATCGCGGCTGGACGACAAGTATGCGTGCGACGTGCTGGTGATGGATCTGGCCAAAGCTGAGAGACCCGAGGCGTTCTTGGCATGGGTTCGCGAGGAGTGGGGCAGGGAAGCCATCGGGGCTGCGACTGCATCCAGGCGGTCCGTCGGTGCGCGGCCGACGGCGATAGAGAGGAAGGCGGACAGCGTGGCCATGGTGTGGGAGTATCTTGACGAGAGCTTCAACGCATTTACAGAGGGATATCTCAAGTAAGGCACACAGACAAGCAGACAAACATCAGCGCTCATGAATTGTTTCCGCTCCTGTTCTTCCTCAGGTTTGCTCTGGAGGGTGCGGGCACCGGCAGCCCCACGCTTCGAGTGTCGCGCTATGACGGCGACGACAGGCCCCTGCTGAAGCCGCTGTTTGGCGAGAGTGAGATCATCAATCTGTTCCTGGAGGGCCTCACCAAGACGGCCTTCCCGCGCAACTTCATCGCCAGGAAGGGCGACAAGGCAGAGGAGAAGAAAGGAGCTGTCGGGGCTGGCACAAAGCAGGGGACACGGAGGAGGAAGGTCAAAAGGCGGAGGAAATGACTTATCCATCTATCTTCATGCGAGTCTGACAAATGAAGTGAGAGGGGGATTTTTTCGCTGCTGTGTTGAGACGAGGGGTGCGGGAGTGCATGTTGCTCTTCGGCAGCGAGTTGACGACACTTTCATGCTTCTATGTACAGGCCTCGGCTTGCCTTGCCTGCAGACCTGTTCGCCGAGATTGATCCTTTAGACCACGTTGTGTGTCATTGAGAAAAGGATCAATCTCTGCTGAATAGGCCTCAAGCGAGAGCCGGTCGACGGTTGGACTTAAACGGTCTGCGAACGCGAGCTCGAATTTTCCTTCCCTCCCGTCCCGTCTTCGAAAGAAGCCTTTGCGGTATTTCGAGCGCTATGCAGGCCTTTTTGCGCTAGCGATTGTTTTCAACCATCCCCTGTTTGGCGCACGCTTTTCTGCGATGGCTGATCCTGACATCTTCTATCGCCATCGCCGCAGCGCTGCTGGCGAAGATGACAAGACGCTGACCATGTCGCTCATGTCAGGTGTTGCCCGAAGACAGGGCAAAAGGGTCGTCGTGCCAACCGAGGACAGTGCTTTCTTGACGGACACGAGTGTCGTTGATTTGACCGATCCGAAGAACCTCAACAGCGAGGCGCTCCTCGACATCTATCAGAAGGTATGTATACACAAGGTTCGGGGCTCGACATGAGTGCATGTGCTCCTTGAATGCAGCGCAAGGATGATTTCGAGGCCCCTCTACCGTTGGAAATCTCATACTGGAGGGAAGAAGGTGAGTGGATGGAGATTGAAGCCCTCTGATGAAGTGCTCTCATGTGGGATGGCATTCTCACAGAGCCGAAGAGTGAACTTGTCTTTGAGGACCCTCTGTTCATCCAAGAGCGGCCGCGAATTGTCAGACACCTGACTCTCAACCGCCTTGACGTGATTACGCACGATGCACGTGGCTCGCGTGTCTGTTCAGGTGGTGAGCGTGCGTGCCGTTCACGCCATGCATCGAGCCATCGCTGTGCTGTGCCGAAAAGTTGACAACCTGACGTATGTGTTGAAGAGACTGCGAGAGGCTTACTTCAAGGAGCTGCTGCACCTTCGAGAGATGGTCAGGGGCGTGGATCAGCTGTTCGTATGGGATCTTATTGGCCATTGATGGTTGTGTGTTCACCATCTAGGTGTACAGGAAGGGCATTGCGAAGTCGAACAGTGAAGAATTTGATCCGAATGAGGGTGAGCCAACTGCCCTGGTCTCTGTGGAAAACGCGTGTCTCCGATGTGTGTGTGTTAGTGTACTACTTCGATCCGTCCAAGTGAATCCACAAGACTTGTCGTTCTGCAAAGAAAGTGATGCGTGATGTGGCTCCCTTGCTTTGTCAGGTACGTGGACAACGTCACTGTCGAGCTATTCAATATGAAGATCTTAGAGGTGAGACACGAAAGTCTCACTGATAGCAGCTGGATACATATGCCTTTGTTCTGTCTTTCGCCCTGCAGATAGAGGGCGTATATGCCTCCCAGCTGGGTGAGTTGCGGCAGGTGAATGCGGACCTCCGTTATGACCTCGCCCACATAGGAGACAGGTAGAACGCACACCAGCAGTATTGAATGTGCTCTCCTTCGCCCTCGTGGCGGGCTTCGTGTTACAGCGAGCTGGGGGCCTCCGCCCGCCTACGCCAGATCGCCGGGAGGATGTCTCTGGAGGGCATCCTCAACACTCTGTATATGGCCGAGGTAGACAGGGACAGCACACTGTTCATCGCCATTTGTGTACCTCGTATATTGTCAACGTCCAGAGTTCTGCGAAGAAGCCTGCCTGGGAGATTGCATGCAACAAATTCCTCCAAGACCTGAAGCTCAAGGTAAGCCGACCGCATGACGGAGACACGGGTGGGTCTCTACTGGCGATCGTGCGCTCCTCACCTGCAGAGGGGAGAGAACCTCTCGGAGGAGACAGAGCTGATGACAGTCAAGTGAGCGGAGGAATGAGCCGTGCGTCTCTCAAATCACTTCGGAATGTCTGCTCCAGGTCGAAAGTGGCAGGGCTTCAAGGCTCTCTGCACGACACACAGGTGATGAGATGAGATGTCGAAGAAATGTGGGAAGCGCTGTCATGTGGCTGTTGCAGGTCAAGCTTGAAATCACGGAGAAAGTGAACGCCGAGATGGACCACAAGGTGACACTTGTGGTACAGAAGAACTTGACATGTTTGTATTCCCTTGCCGTCGTTTCAGATCAAGGAGCTTGAAGACGAGCTGGCCCGGAAGGAACAGGTGTATAGGCAGAGACACAATGCGTATTCTTTCTCTCTCTCTTTCTCTCGGTAAACGTTATTGTTATCGCCAGCTTTTGGCGGACGCAGCTAGAAAGCAAGCAGAGCAAGCTGCGAAACCTCCCACTCCGCCGCCAGGTGAGCCGGGACACATCAGGAACGATGCGTCAGCTCGAGTGCAGACATTCTTGGATTTATTGCAGAGAAGCCGTCAGCATCGGCCGATGCCGAGACGCAGACCCTCATTGTGCCACCGAGGAGAAAATCAAGTAGGGTCGTTTCGGCTGGGTGGCCGTATCTGATTCTTTTGTTGGTTGCAGCTTCTGAGCAGGGCAGCCAGGTGGAGGGACAAGAGCTGAAAGGCTCGGCGGGGACAGCAGATGCGGGTGAGCAGCAAGTGACAGAGGAGAATCTGCCGGCAGCCGTCCGAGACAAACTCAAGGTAAGGAAAAAGGACGCAATCCCCTTGTCAAGTCATTCTGTGGCTGCGTTGTCTGGCAGGAGACGGAGCGTGAGGCTTACCGGCTGCGGACCCTGCAGTCGTTCTTGAAGCGGGAGCTCGAGAAGACGCGAGGCAAGTGCAATCTCCTTGTAACCAAGCTGCTCAAGAAGATGCGGAAGAAGGTTGATCGCGATAAGATAGAACAGCTCATCGAGAACGAGCTCGAGAAGCAGGATGAAGGAAGCAGCGTCCTCGATACGGCACCGAAGGCAGAAGCCGCAGTGCAGCCATCTCCGGCCGCGGAGACACCTGCAGCACCAGCTATTCTCGATACCGAGATGGCGACCGTCGCTGCAGAGGTTGATCGTGACGTCGAGCTTAGCCTGGCGGATCGAGAGACACAGACAAGCCCAGAGCCTGCCACCGGGGTGCAGTCGCGTGAAAAGACGCCACCTGGCCCAGCGTTGCCGACGCTACCTGGGGGATGGGCGCCGGTCAAGACGGTGGAGACAGAGGACAAGCAAGAAAACACCCTCATTACGTGGCTGGTACATGCGTAGCGTGAATCAATTTGTGCTATTTCTCGCAGCAATCGCCTTTTCGTGTGTGTAGGATCCTTCAATGCGTCTGATCCCCTTGAGATACTATCGCGAAGACGCCGAGCAACTCAGCGACCCAATCCTTGTTCGAGTGAGAAGGAATGACTCACAAGAACATAAATGATTGCACCGTGATCGTGTCTTCTTATGTCTGCAGGATCTGATCGAGGAGACAAAAACGTTGCTCTTTCAAGGACTGCCGATCTCTGATGTATTGGATGAAGAGAAGAGACGGCGCTACAGCCTCATGTGAGAGGAAGACACAGAGCTCAGCGCCACAAGAGATTCAAAAGCAATCCTTCTGCTTGTTGACCCTCTCACAGGCCGACCAGTCCACGAGCGGTACCATGGAGTGTTGTGGACCGGCTACGTGCCTGTTCACAGTGTGTGCCTCTGCTTGTATCAGGGCTCTCCACGCCCTGATGAGTACCAGTGGCCATTCACTCCAAGACAGGAGACCTTCTTCCCTGCGCACATCAGCCAGAAGACGCGCGAGAAGCTCCAACAGCACAAGAAAAAAGAGGCCGACTCCTTCATAAAGAGGCTGGAAGCCGATGGCCTCAGTAAGCGCTGCATCTTTCCACGGACGAAGAGCAACACAATGGGTTTGTGGCGGCTTGTGTTGCAGTCGACATGTCAACGCCTGTCGCTCCGGCGCAGCCTGTCCGCACAACCCGTCGACACTCCTCGCTCAGGCGACCGTCTCGCCCGGCATCTGTCAGCGGGCGTCCACTGTCCAAGGAATCCTCCCCCAGAGGCTCATCAAAAGTCAGCCTATCGCCCCGAGAGTCCCCTTCAACAAGCCCTGTCCACACTGTATCCGACCAGGAGCGCCCACCCCACACAACCAGCCGAGCAGCCGTGTCTCCTCGAACTCCACCTGCAGCAGTGCCATTCGACCGTCGCAGCCCTCCTCTGTCTGATACCTTTGACCTCTCCGAGTCGTCTTCCACACTGGCTGCTATGCGAGGGACACTTGCTGAGGTGCTGGTGCAGACGCAAATGGCCCGGCAGATGACCGGAGAGCAGCTGTCGGTTGTGGTTTCTGGCCCATCCTCACCACTGGAGTCGCCCTCCGGTCACCTGGATTCGGAGAGGCGGCTGGCGCTGTCTGAGGATCGGCCGTCTCAGCCCAGGCGGGAGCGGCCACTGCTGCCGGCAGCAACACTACCACCTGCTGCCCGAGAACCTACCAAGGAGACACAAGAAGCTGTGAGACCAGCAGAGGTGCGTCGTGAAGAGGTGCCGGAGAAGGACAGAGTGGAAAAGGCGGAAAGGCGCTCGATGGACAAGCCAACAGCAGCTGCTGCAGCAGCCAAGCAGGAGGAGATCAAAGAGGAGCGAGCTGAACAGCCACGTGTCTCCCCGCCGGATACATTGGAGCGACCTTCAATCACGAAAGAGCAGCCGCCTGCACCTGCTGCCCCTCCTCCCGCCACAGGGAAGGCGCCTTCAGTCCGTGCAGAGACCAGAATGCAGCCATCTGCGCCTGCAGGGCCTGCGCCACTCCCCGTCAGCGGGCCGCCGTCCAAACCCGCGACTATCCCAACAACGGCACCCGTTACAGCGCCCTCGCGACCGGATGCTGGTGCTCCGATCCCAAAGACGACACCAGTCCAGATTCCGCAATCGCCAGAACCACAACGATGGGACGAGCCGTCTCCCCAGCCGTCCATACCCGCACCCGAGGCAGCGGTGGAGGAGAGGGAGAAGCCCTCTGTTGAGCCGCCACCCGTCAGGCGTGCATTGGTCGGCTTGGAGACTTCCCCAACCCGTATTATAGAAGAGGAAGAGGCCGAAGTGGTCGACAGATTCGGCGCTCCGCCATCTGCCGCAGTTGTCACCGCAAGGCGCACCACTGTGTCGACTCTAAGGGGACGACCTGTGCGGCCTGATGTCTCCAGCCAGCCAGAAGAGGCCGGTGTTGAAGAAGCTGAAGCTGTCAAGCCTGATGCCGCCGTTGCCGCTGTCTTTCCCCGAGTGCCCCCGCTCTCCGTTGGTGTTGGAGTGAAAGACCGGCCGTCGGCGAAAGCTTTCACTCGACCATCTCTCGGCGTCAAGGCGCCAAGGGGACTGGGAGCTCAAGGCGGCGCATTTGGTCTCGAAGGACATGGTGCGCTGCCGCCTCTTGCGCCGTTGCCGCCTCTAGCGCCGCGACTCAGAGACGCTAGTGTAGCCGAGCTTCCGTCCGCGATGCCAGAGGAGATTGTTGAACCACGTCGAGGTCAGCAGAAGGCGACACCAGAGGACAGTCTGGAGCAGGAGATGATCGAGCTTGCGCTGAAGGAAAAGGAGGGCGACGAAGAGGTCAAGGACGCTCTTGCTGTCCTACGCGAGGCCGTTGGAGAGCCGATGTCTGACGAGGACCTCTCCATCCCACTCACTATCAGCGCAACAAGGTGAGAGAGAAGCATTTAGCCGAAGCAGAGAGACGGTCGTCCACTTCTTGTGTCTCGTGGAGCAGACACGCGCGCATGTCGGCTATCTACCACCCTGATGCGGCCTACTTCCATCCTGAAATGACACAACTGGTTGACAAAGGCCACCCATCGCTGCCTCTTCTGCGTCGCTCCTCTCCATTTGCAAGACGCGGCATGGAGATCGACACGTTGATGTGCATCGAGGGTGTCGGGCACGGCAGCACTGCGCGGGATCGGACTGCTCGCCGGCTGCCGCCCTCCATGGATGAGGACAGGCAGAGCGACGACTACGACAGGGATGACAGTAGTGTAGAAGGCCTGCCGTGGAAAGCCGGAGGGCGACAAGGTACTCCACGCATGAAATGGTATCACTAGCATCGGATAAGCCCTTTTTGTCATCATGTCTTTTCCTGCAGTTGGCAGCGAGTTGATCGACCACCGCAGAATGACCCTGTCGAGCTTCAGGTTGCGGGATGTGCGCAAGCGGCAGCGCCAAGTCATCCAGAAAAGGGAAGACTCGCCACCGCCGGCGCCCCTCGAGATAGTGCCCCTCCAGCAGTCGGAGGAGCAGCCGTCTGCAGCCAAGAAGCGGCAACACGGCAAAAAGGCCATATCATTCAGCCCATTGCCTCTCCCCATCCAGCCGCCAGCGCCCCCAGCCAGCCGTCCTCCCTCTCCAAAGATCACTCGTCTAGTCGTGCCGGGTGGGAGAATTTACTACGAAGAGAAGAAGTACGAGCTTCCGGCAGCATCCAAATCCAAGAAGCCGAAAGACCATGTCTCCGGCCATGCGAGACGCACTCACATTTCCAGCTCGCCTCGGCACGCCGCATCGATGAGGAGTGGAGGGGGCTGGCGCGGCTCGGTGCTGAAAGAGCTGGAGGAAACGGAGGAGACGTGGACAAGGCGGAAGATGTGGAAGTACCGGAAGGTGTCCAAGACGAAGATGGCAGAGACCTCAAGAGACACAACTAACCACCACCCGTCCCCACGATTGCACCCAATTGACCTCCCTCCACTGCCCCGAACGTACGTCACAGAGAAGGCTGCCACACCTGCTGTGTCATCCACCTTCTTTCTTTCTTCTTCTGGCTGTCAGTGCGACAGCGAAGGTCTTCTACCCCAATACGTGGCGTCGAGTGACAGTCGAAGGTGGCCCTCCGTCTCCAAACCAGATCTCCCCCCCGCCCTCACCTCCAATGTCACGGCCAGCCAGTGTGCGGTCTTTCGATCGCTCTGCTGGCTCAAGAGAAATGACACCGAAGAGCCCCCGGCCAGTCCTCGTCATTGTCTCCGACGGTGAGGAGCCCAGGCCGCCTGCCGTCTCAGTCCTGACGCCCGTCTCGCTGCCTCCCGTCGCAATCAACAACAGTGAAGCGGGAAAGAGGGACAATCGGGTGGCGCCCTCGGAGACAACGGATGAAGGGACGGGGAGCTACGGGTATCTAACCCTGTCGAGTGAAGGGTGGATGAAGGACCGAGTGCCGTCCACCACTGTCAAATTGCCGGCTGTTAAAGAGACGTGATGTCTGGATGTGTGTATTTTGTTACTTTTATTTATCTGCAGATGTCGATATGCGTGCGCGTGTCTTCTGGATGTTTCTTCTTGTTCGCCTGTCTGACTTGTTCTGAAGTGGATGTTCCGTGTACACGTCAGTCAACCGATTATGCAGTGACAGCACCAACAAGCTCTGTCTCCCTCGCCCCCGCCCCCCAGCCAACACACACCGTCACCCTCCATCGACGCGAAAGGATGGTCCAATCAAATAGCAACACAACCCGTCATGCACAGCCACTCAAGGGTCGACGGGGCTCGTTCGATGGTGCGTTTCCACCATCAGGATTTGCCCTTGCTCTCATCTTCTCCCTCCTCCTCGCCATTCTCCTCGTCGTCGTCTTCATCCTCGTCTTCAGCCATCAACCGTGCCCGCATCTCGGCGTCAGGGAGACCTGCACGCACACACGGCAGACAGACAGTCACACATCACATGTGTCGACGCGCCCGTGTTTGTCATTCATTGCAGACTGACCCGTTCCTTTCCGCCCCCTTTGCATCTGCAGTCTCTTGGCGGTTGGAGAGTCATACTCCTCCTCGTCATCTTCGTCTTCCCCCTTCTCCCCACTGGCCCCCCTCCCCTCGTCAGCATTGTCCTCCTCGCCCTCCTTCGCGTCGGCTTCCTCGTCCTCGTCTTCTGCCTCGCCTTTCTTCCTCGAGAGGCCGGTGCCGCGGCGTGTCTTCTTGGGCTTGACGCCTTTCTTGGCGACAGCAGGCTGCTCCTCGAACTTGACACGCGTTTGTGTTGTTTGGGTCCTGTCGTCAAGCTTCTCTTCCTCTTTCTTCGAGGGGGCCGCACTCACGCAGCAGCAACAGCTTCCAAAGAGCCCAGCCATGGCGACAGAGAGGCAGAAATTCTCTTCGGATGTGCGAGCTAAGAGAGAAGCGTTCACTGCGAGCTAATGGGGCGAGAAACCCTAATCCAGTGAGAGAGTCGAGGTCTCTGTCTTTCCTTCTTCGCTCAAGCACCTCCGTTTCGGGAGCTCCCTACACATCCCGTGTTTCAGCAAAGAACTTCCTGTGCGAGTCCTAGACTAAGTGTCCGTTCACTCGCCCTTGCACTCACCGATACGTCTATGGCCATGGCTTCTGGGTTCTTCAGCCGCACCGTCCGCACCAGCACTGTCGCAGCCACTCTAGGCTCCACACGGTGGTAAGGCAACGCACTCTTTTGGTGGCCAGGTGGACTGTCATGTTCTCGTGTGTCTTTGGGCTTCAGGACACACAACTTGGGCCGGCCCACGTTGCGCACAGAGGCCCCGCCATCGTACTGGCCGCTCCTGCTGCTCCCTGCACTCCTCGCCACCAATATCTTCGTGAAGAGTACGCACTCAGAAGAGCACTTGTAGTGGGACTGGGGAGGGGAAGGCTGTGCTCATTCTGTGTGCCTGTATGTGTGAGTAGGTTGGGTGAGCCGGCCGCGGGCAGCCCCGACATACGACTGGGAGCTGATCAAGCGGCGGGCCGCCCTCGCGGCCATGGAGGGGGAGAGCGCTCCGTCCTCCGCAGAGTGCCAGTCGTCATCATAGCGAAGAGACAAGGAGGGAGGCGGTGCCACACACATATACACGCGTTGGTGTGTCGGCGGTCTGGCGGTGGAGAATTCGATCGGTGTGCGGGTGGCCGTCCACTCGGCCGCAATGGCATGAGCGTGTGAGTGGTGACATGGCTGGCATGCATAGCTAGATCAATGATTGCTATCTTTTTGATACTAAGCAATGACGGGGTGGCGCGGTGTGGCGTGGCGTGCAGACAATGACGGGCGTTCTTTTCTGTATACACTACCGAACACACGACGGGTGGGGCAGGGGGAACAGGAAGCCGGGGGCTCGTTTGTTGGCCATTGGGGAGAGAGAGAGAGAAAGAGACGCTGCACAGCTGGTGTGCTGCGTACGTGGGCGTCAATCTTGAACTGTCTGTCTGTCTGGTCCCCCTATGCCTCTTCTCACCCACCCACCCACCCTCCCACCCTGGCTGGCTGCCTTGCGTACGTACGTTACGGCCGTGATAGGGAGCTGACTAGCAAGTGAACGTCTGTCTGTGAGTCTGTCTGTTGGGCGGGACCAATTTTGCTGCCGGGGTGTAAGCTGATTGGTGTCTTCTCTGCTGACTGACTGACTGACAGCTGCTGCACGATCTGTAACACACAGTGGCATGGCATGGCGTGGGTGGTGTGTGGTGGGGGCTGGTGCTGTGCGAGGGGGACGTCAACCAACAGGCAGGCAGCCATCCGGACACGGGAATCTGTCTGCACCAGTCAGTCAGTGCACATGTATGTATGTGTGTATTGTGTAAGTATCGCTCGTTTGTGTGTGTGTATATACAAGGGGAGGGCGGGAAGGATCGTGTTCTAGACTAGAGGGAGAGAGGCGGGTCAATTTTGACTGACCAACCCACTTGGGCGAGCGAGCTAGTGAGCCCAGTACGTACTCGTATGCGTGGCTGGCCGGCCTGGCTCATGTCTCAACGAACGACTGTCTGTAAGCTATCTAACAATGGCTGTCTGCCTGTCTGCCTGTCTGTCTGTCTGTCTGTACGGCTGGCTGGCTGGCTGTTCGTATGGCTGTCGGGGAGTGGCGTTTGCGTGGTTCAGGCTGGCTGTCGGATGGATGGATGGATGTTGGCACCGCTTTTTTGACTTTCTTTCGCAGTTAGTGGTTCGCTTCCACTCTCGCACATGCACGGGAGTTTATTATGGTTTGGATGAATGATCGACTCATGGATGGATGGATGGACGAACGGCTGCCTCTGGATGAATTGCATTGCATCGTCATGTGTGTGCTGCTGCTGGTGCTGCCGGTGCTGGGTGAGGGGTGTTGCGTTTTGTTGAGTGACATGGACTGGCTGGCTGACGGACGGACATGCAGTCAAGAAGGTTTTCACACGCCCTTGTTGATTGACATGGTGAGGAGAGACATACCTGGCACACGACGCTTCCTACCTGACACATGACGGAGGCTTCTGCATTCGTGTGGTGGATGGATGGATGGATGGGTGCATGTGTGTGTGATGTTGTGGTGTGTTGGTATCTTGTAAACTAGCTAGCTAGACTAACCCGCCCCGCCCCGCCCCGCTCACCTCAACCCAAGAGAGCGTACCCACGTGTCAGTTACGTCACTGATATACACACGTACATATGTGTTTGTTGTGTTGAATCTCCACATGACGATGGATGCATGGATGGATGCATGAGACCGCCGTATATAAACCAATGAATGGATGGACGAGTGGGTGGGTGGGTGGGTGGATGGATGGACAATGCCTCCCTGCCTGCCTGCCTGTCTGCCTGCGCAGGAGCTACTTGACCTGCCTGCCCGGGCGCAGGATGCCCCGGGCCGACCTTATCTATCCTCCGTACGTACATGTACAGGTGTCTGTCTGTCTCTGTCTGTCTATACGTCACTGAATGGATGCATGTCATAACGCTCATGGGGTGGGGTGGGACGGAACAAGTGATGATATGATGCCTGCCTTTCGTGGCCTCTGGTCGGATTTATGTTCCTCCCTCCCTCCCTCCCTACCTATCTCCCTCGCTGCCTCCCTCCCTCTCTCCCTGCCTGCCTGCCTGCCTGCATTCCTGGCTTGACGCGACGCTCGGAAAGACCAGCAAAGTGGCTGAGCGTCGTGTATGGGTGTTGGTGTGGGCGTGAGTTGGTTGGTTGGTTGGTTGATGGATTGATGGGTCGGTTTTCCGTCTTGTTTCGTGTCTGTCTGTCTGTCTGTCTTTACGTGACGTCACATGATTGACTGACTGACTGCAAGGACGGACATTCCGTCTTTTTCAAATACATACATGGATGGATGGATGGATGGCTGGCGATGTTTCGAATGGGCTTGCCTATATCCTATATCCTTTCCCACTACCATCACGTCACGTACGTGTGATCTTGGCCGTGTGTTGATGCACTCTGGAGCCGGGCGTGTCTGTGTCCCAGGGGTCTCCAACTCGAGGCCACTGGGGTCCAGACGCGCTGGTCGCCACAGTGCTGCACACGCTTCGAACACACGCGCACACGGTGCTGGGGCCACGCCCACACAAACGAACACCATGCGTCTCTATCGGTCGCCAGTCCAAATCGTGTTTTCGTCTCACCTTTTGTCGACGTGTCGTCTAATACATATCCACGGGGATGGAGGAAGGATATACGTGTGTCAAAGGGGGAGAGAGGGGGAAGGTTGTGGGTCGGTCGCTGTGCAGAGGAGGGAGGCATGGATCGATGGATTTGGGGCGGGCGGGGGGTGGGGGGTGGGGCGTCGGTCGTTGATAGCTGGAGAGACGGGTGCACGTGAGTGAGTGAGGGGGCGGGTGTGCGGTGGGTCGCTGCGGAACTCGTTTCATGTCCTATTCTGAATCCATTGATTCATCCATCCATCGTGTTCACCCCGACTCAGACCACAACGAGGCTAACACGACCATGAGTGAACTCACAGACCGGCAAACTGTCCACACAATCATCTCTCCCACCCACCCCCACCTATACACCCCTCAGTCATTCAGTCGTCTCCTGCCCTTCGCCCCTCTCCCCACCCCCATCAGCAGCACCAGGTGGTCTCTTCCTAGCCACCCTCGGCGCAGCCACTGGCCCACTGGCCCTGCCTGACGCCGACGACGATGATGCAGCAGCGGCTGGGGCTGGGGCGGGGGCGGGGGCGGCGCGGGGCAGTTGCTCGTCAAGATCTAAGAGGCGATAGAACTCCTCCTCAGTGAAACCGAGCACACGAGCTGACAGAGAGAGAGATTGCATGGGCTGGTGGGAAACGTGTGTGTGGCGGGCTAATGGGAAAGGGGTGCATACCAGCTTCCATGTGTATTTTTTGTCTCTTGAGGTTGTCGATGAGTTTGGCCTGCTTCTTGAAGACGGACACCAGCTCACCACGCTGCCTGCACACACACACACACACAAAGGCACACAGACACACATCATCCCGTTTGAACGGGAGTGTCTCCATCTCATCCTCTTCGTTAGTTGTGTGAGCGCCTCGACTACCGCTCTAGCTTCTTGACCTCAGCCATGAGGCGATCGACCGTCTGTCGGTCCGCAGACGCACTGGACACACACACACACACACAGAGGAGAGTACACGGTGGCCACGCCCATGATGCCATGCCGGTGGGTGGCTGGTTGGCAGCTTGGCATACCGTTCTCTATCGTCAGTGCGTTTGTCCCTGAGTTGGCTTCTGTACTTGTCGAGCTCCTCCTGCAGACGACCCAGACGCTTCTCCTTGCCACCCACCTCTACGTCTGCACCACACACACACACACACACAGAGAGAGAGAGAGAGATTGATGTGAGAAGCCAGCCAGCGCTGCGGGGCGGGTGGTGACTGACCTGCCTTCCTGAGCTGAGTCCTCAGCTGCTCCTTCTCGCGACGTACGTCAGCCAACATGGACTCAGTCGAACTAAGCCGCTGCAGTGCACACATACCCATTCATTTCAGAGACACACACCCAGACGCAAACTGACCTGGCTGAAGTCGTCATTCTTCTTGATATTCTTCTCCAGGTTGGTCTCCAGGTGCTGTGTCTGCCGCTGCAACTTCTTGACGTCATCCCGCAGACCCTTGGCCTCCTCTTGACACGATACCAGCTCGTGCCGGTGGGTGCCCAACTCCTGGGTGCGGCGCTGCAGCTCCTCTTGCAAGGAGAGAATCCTGAATGGTATGAATGGTATGTATGAGCAGGAAGGAGGGCAGATCAGATGCACTGATGGCACTGATGTGGTTGGTGTCTTGGGTGGGTGTAAGGTAAGGGTCACTCACTCACCGTGCTTTCTGCAGCCGAATGGTTGCGTGGAGTGTCGTCACATCGCCACCCATCGGCTGCAAGGAAGGACAACACACAGCACAGACAGACACATCCTCCACCCCTTTCTTTGTGTCTGTCTGTGTCCCATCTGGTGTGCCGCCCACCACCCCACCACGTGTGTGTTGATGAAGACGTCATCGATGACCCGTTCCTCCTTGCCCCGCACCGACCCTCCCCCGCCCTGGCCACTAGCAGCCACACTGGTGGTGGTGATGCTGCCCACCTTAGCCCCCACACTCATGGCACCTGCAGACGCTATCACACTACTGCCACTGCGGCCAACTCCACCCACCGCCCCCCTCCCACTGCTGCCGCCCTCGTCCTCCTCCCGCCCAGACATCGCCCGAGAGTACCCCTGATGCGTCAACGCACGGGTCGACGCGGACGACAAACCACCTCCACCTCCACCCGCACTAGTATCGTCACCACGCGCAGCCGGTCTGCTGCCCCGCTGGACCACCGTGTTGGTCTTGGATTGTCCCTCCAGGAATGGCGATGGCCCATCGATGTCGACATCGATGCCCAGGTCGCTGGGCAGCTGGCTCTCCAGACCTGGGGCGGACGGGTCAGCCACAGGGGGCTCCGGTGCATGTGTGTGGATGTGGGTGTGGATGTGGTGCTGCGATGGGGGTGGGGAGGGGTCGGTGCTGTCGTGTCTGAGGGTGAGGGAGGGGTGTGGAGCTGCGGCGGCAGTGCCCACACTCTCCAGAAGACGCTCCGCATCCAACACCGTCTGCACACGCAACACACACACACACACACCAGTGCAAAGCCTGCCTCTCACCCCTGCGTAGGTACTGCATTGTGTTGTGGAGTTAGTTGATGGAGACGTACGTACCTGTTCCTTCTTGCGGTCGAGTTCTTGGTTCCTCAGCAGCAGCTCCTCCTCGCGCCGCGCGAAGTGGTCCAGCACCTCGCCAGAGAAACAGCTGCCGTCCAGCATCGACGAGGACGCATGAGCCACGTAATTGGGGTTCGCCGTCGTCCGCATTATCGGCAAGCGCTTCAGCTCAGAATCACCCTGGGCTCGCGCCAGCCGTCCAGAATTGCACCTCGGCGATCGGGGAGCATCGGGCGATGAGAGGTTGAACGCATCGCATTTGGCGTTATGCCTCGGGAGTTGATAGTGGTGCAGGTCGGTCAGTGCGGCAACCAGATCGGCAGCATCTTCTGGAGCGAAGCCCTCAACGAACATGCCTCATACAACAAGAAGGGACAGTTCGACGCCGGCACCTCAGTTCTCTTCAGAAACGTTGACACACGGTGGGCAGATGAGATGAGGCAATGCCCACAGCCAGATCTGACCGTCCGATCCATCCCTTGATCTCTCCCTCTCTCTCTCTCTGTACTGTGTGTGTGTGCGCAGGTTTTCAGATCCGAAGGAGATCCCGGTTGGCGATGGCACTGCCCCCGTCAAGACGCTGCGGGCACGGGTGAGTGAGTGGATGCACATCCATCCATCCGTCCATCCATCCATGGTGACCTATGGTGGTTGGCATGATGTGGTGTGTGTCAGGCGGTGTTGGTGGACATGGAGGAGGGTGTGGTCAACGAGCTGATGAGGGGGCCGCTGAGGGACCTCTTCGACTCGCGACAGCTCATCACAGACGTATCCGGCTCGGGAAACAACTGGTGAGCGGCCGCCTGGGGAAGAACCCACGGGCAGCATTGTGGTTGTGGTGTGTGTGTATGTGTGTTGGATTGACCCCCTCAGGGCGCAGGGTTACAATGACTATGGCGTGCGGTATCGCGACCAGCTGCTCGAAAAGGTCAGGCAGTCAATGCAATCACATCGATGGGCTTCCTACTCCCTCTCTCTGTGTGTCAGGTCCGTCGTCCGGTGGAGCATTGCGATTCGCTTCAGTCGTTTTTCTTCCTCCACTCCCTCGGGGGCGGCACGGGGTCGGGCACCGGATGCTATTTGCTGCAGCGTACGGTCACATGGATGGATGGACACACATATAGCAGCGACCTCCATCTCGTGTGCGTGTGGTGTGTGTGTGTGCAGTGTTGGAGCATGCTTACCCCGATGTGTATCGCTTCGTGACGGCCGTGTTTCCCTCAGAGGATGACGACGTCATCACATCACCCTACAACAGGCACACACACTCACACTCACGGCAGCATCAGGCAGCATCAGGAAGCATGCCATTGCTGGTGTGTGTGTCTGTCATGTCAGTGCGTTGGCGCTGCGTGTGTTGAAGGAGCATGCCTCGTGTGTGCTGCCCATAGCCAACGACGCTCTCATCAAAATGACCAACGCAATGACAGCAAAGGTCGCCCCTCCGCCACTCCCCCACCACACACACACGGATGCTTCCTGTCTGCCTGCTTGCAGGCGGAGGTCTCTCAGCAGCTGGGTCGGGTGCTGCCGCCTCAGTCGGTGTCGCCATGGGAGAGTGTCAGCGTCAGGGCGCCGGGCAGGCCGGGGCTCGGCCGGGGGCGCAAGACTCACAAGCACCCATTCAGCAAAATGAATGGCATCGTTGCCAACCTGCTGCTCGACCTCACCAGGTCAGCAACATGACCCAATGCGCTTTCGTTAATGGTGTGCGTGTGAGTGTGCAGTTCTATGCGCTTTGAGGGCACGCTCAACATTGACCTCAACGAAATCACTACCAACCTGGTACACACCCCATCTGGCCACACACACAGAATGCAGCTCGTGTCGATGTGCCGGTCTGTCCATCAGTGCATCCATGGCCATGCCTCAGGTGCCGTATCCGGGTTTGCATTTTCTGCTGTCATCGATGAGTCCGATCAACAGCCACTCGGCCCCCACACGAGGAGACCCCAAGAAGGTCGACCACAAAGCCATGCTGCCAAGGGGGTCAGTCAGCCGGGGGAAGGAAGCCATGGAGTCGGCTGACATCCACGTGGGCAAAGACGCTTTTGGATGTGATCTGTGTTGGTGTCAGGTTCGATCAGCTGTTCAGCGACGTGCTGTCGCCGGCCCACCAGGTCATCAACATACACCCGAAGGCCTCCACGTGAGCCATCAAAGCATCCATCCTGTCCCTGACATTGGCTGATTGTGTGTTCCCTCTCTCTCTCGGCTGTGTCAGCTGCATGGCCACCGCGTTCATCGTCCGCGGCGATGCGGCCATCGCCGACGTCACACGGAACGTAGCTCGGTGGGCGCCAGGCAGCCGGCAGCCATCAAGGGGCATGGTGTATTTCGCGTCTGTGTCGTCGTGAATGCCTGCAGGGTGAAGAGCCACCTTAAGATGCTCAGATGGAACGAGGTACCACGCAGCCGAGAGAGAAGAGGACGGAGGCGAGAGCTCTCGCTTTGCCGGTGTGTGTGTGTAGGATGCGTTTAAGGTCGGCATCTGCGACACGCCCCCCGCCGGCCACAAGTACAGCCTCCTGTCGCTGTCCAACTCGTGTGGCGTCCGCGACCTGCTGCACCAAATACAGACCAGATTCCACAAACTGTACGACAGAAAGGTATGTTGTACGCCACACACCACAGCCACCCACTCAGATGCACATCACATCACACACCCAATGGACAGACACGTCAGTCAGTCATCTGATTGATCTGCCTTTCACCTGCCCACCTGCAGGCCCACCTGCACCACTACACGCGGTATATGCCAGCCGGGGAGATCCACGCCGCCGACGAGGCCCTCACCTCGCTCATCGCCGAGTACACCTGCATCGAGGAGCACCAGGTGCCGCCGCCACCCAAACACACCATCAACAGCACCAGCTGCCGCCCACCGGCAGCCCCAGCTGCTAGCGAGATACTGCGGCTGGGCGCTGGGAGGATCGCCCACTTCTACGATCATCATGGCGGCTGCATGGGCAGTGGTGCGGGAGGTGGTGTTGGTGATCGTGGGAATGTGCATTGGGATTGGCTGTCGTCGGTGGACAGGTCGTCGCTGCTGTGTGAGGCCAGACTGCATGAGCTCTTCAGGGCCAGACCCAGGCCGCTCATCTGATCTGACCTGAGCGGATGGGATGGGTTTGCAAGTGGGTCTTGGCGTGTGTACATATACAGTCAGATACGGTGTTGTGAATACTCATTGTACAGTCATTGAAATGGATGATTGCATTCAAGGAAGGTCTTTGTTGTGGGCTTCTGTCTGTCAGTAAGTCCTCACAAACAAGGCCACAGACACTCTACACTTACAACAATGGCGTGTGTGCACAACAAAAGAACCGCTCTCTCTTGTGTCATCGGGCACCCACACAAAACACATTGAAACACTCGCGTATGCGCGTAAGAAAAAGCCTGACTGCAGAGTAAGAGGGTATGGAGACACTCCCTCGCTATTTCACCTTCCGTCGCACGCTGCTGCCGTATATGGCATCTGAGGGCCGCTTGCTTGATGACATCAGCTTGTCTTGCTTCTCTCTCTTGGTCTGCTCCACCATCTTCTCCCGACAGCGAATCGCAGCATCAAGGGCTGCACTGTCACTCCCATACTCAGACAGAGGGAAGCAGCGCGTCTGTTGCTTGCAAGACGGATTAGGCCAGTAGGCCACCCATCTCTTCCGCCTCTTGTCCCATCTCACACCCCTGTGGCCGCTCTGCCTCTCGGCTGGCTGCTTAAGGCTCGCCGCACCGCTCGCCTCCTTTGCCTTGCGAACCGCGACGGCCTTGTCGTAGGCCCCCTTGATGCCGTGTTTGTTGATGGCGAAGCCTTTGGTGCAGGTCTTGCCGCCCTCGTTCCAGTACGCCTCCAAGGCGTTGTGTGCTTTGTCGAAGTACACCCCCTTGACCTTGGCGGCCAGCTGGTCGATGAGCTTCTGGTTCTTGCGGTCGACAGTGATGGCGGCCTGAACAGGGACGCATACAGACAGCAGACATAAAGTGAGAATAAACCACGTCAATGCCATTCATGCTCACACACGCACAATTCTCTGATCCGGCCAGATCTTCTCCATCATCTCCCGCCGCCTAATGGCCGCCTGCTTGGCGCCCTCCTCGCCGAGCTTGGCCACCGAGAAATACTCCAGCTTCTGCTTGCTGCTCTCGTACCACGACGCAACCCAACGGCCTCTCTCGTCATCGCGGTACACGCCGGTGATCTCGCTCTTCTTGTAGCTCTTGATGGGGCGGCCGGCCTTCTCGTTGTCTTGTTCGTTCTGCAGCCGACACTCCTCTGCCGCCCTCCTGGCCTCGTCGCGGCCCCCATACTTGCGCACGCCGAAAGACCTTGATTTCCATTTGCCGTTCACCCTGACCTGGGCGGTCCAGAAGCGGCGCTGTTCGTCGAAGAACACGCCCTGGACGGTCGATTGATGGACGGGGGTTGCCCGTACTGCCGCCCGTACTGCCGCCTTGCCGGTCGCCTTGGGCTGCTTATAGGTCGAATCGCTGAGGTGGTCGCCGCCACTCCCTGACAAACAGCAGACACGGGGGCATGGCGGCAGGCACGTGGGTGCATTCGTGTGTGCGTACCCGAACTCTCATAATCATCGTCATCGTCATCCTCTGCAGCAGGGGGTTGCACCAGAGATGTGATCGACGCTCTCTCACTGTCTGTGTCCATCTGTGTGTGTGCGTGGCTGACCGTCGGGTGGATCGTAGTCCTCGTCATTCTCATCATCGTAATCGCCGCTGCTGCTCTCGTCATCGTTGCTGTCGTCGTCACTCGAGCCGCCCTCATCGTCCGACGGGTCGCCACCCACTCGGCCACCCCTGTCCTGGCGACCCTGGCGGTTCCGCTCACGGCGGTCTGCAGCGGCAAGCAACACCATCATTGGTGGGCGCGTGTTGTGTGTGCATGTGTGTAGACATACCGTTGAGGGGCATCATCTCGCTGACCGATCCGGACATCTCAGTTGCACCAGCCTGCCGCAGTGAAGCACAGAAAGGCCCACTCATCCATTGGTGCAGCTACTGCGTTTGCCTTTGGGGTGCTCTTCCCACCACGTGTGTCATATTGTCGTCGCCGCTGCCCGCACATGTGCCGGTCGGCGCCCGCGTAGACGCAGCACCTATAGTGGAAGCCACCTGATGCACAAACACAGGCGCGACAGAGGAGGGAGAGGCAATGTGACGACACCGACACTCTGTCGGTGGGCATGCAATGGTGCCTTTGCTACGGGGAATTCATCGACGCCCCATGTCCCTCCGTCTTCGTGCTCTTTCCGACCTCAAGGGATGATGATGCAGATGCTCCCTTCTTGTCCTTCCCCTTGCCCTCGTCAGCTGACTTGCTGTCGCTTGAAGTCTTATTGCCCATCCTGACACACACAACGGACCACTCTCGTAACGGGAGGCAGTTTCAACACACTATCCCAGCTCTTACCTGCTGGCCTGTGAGTCTCAGGCTGGAGCACAATGTGTGATGAGGCCGCCCCGAGAGAGATCTGTGCTGGAATTCTTCCCAGGTCGGTCGGTTATAGACGCCTGTCCCTAGCGCGGCGCATGCGGGAGAGCGGTTACACCGAATGTCGTAAGTGGCCCGAAAGCCTGGTCCAGTGTCTTTCACGCACAAGCAAACGAACGACACGCAACAGGAATCACCCACGCACGCTCCACATGCACGCTGCATGCGAGCCTGGAATGAACGAAGAGGCTCGCGAAAAATGACTGAGGTAAGCCAAGGCCTGTTGTAGACGCGGTGCGGTGTGAATGCAGGCTGATCTCTGTCGTGTCGCGTACAGGCGTCGCATCTTGCTGGTCTGAGGAGCAAGTGTGCTCAGCTGGCGGCACTCCAGCAAGGCATTGAGGAGCTTCGTCAGAGGGTGGGTGAACACAAGACAGACAGGTGATCCACCCGGCTGCACCCGTGCCGCACTGCTGCTGCGTGTCTGTTGCGTGTTGTCTGCAGGCTGGGAGGGTGTTGAAACTTAGCCGCAGTAGAGATGACTCATCGCAGCCGCCCGGAATCAGAGCCTCAGAGGTGAGATCAAGGTGCACCGACCATCACACATGAAGATGCTCATTTTGTCTGTGCGCTGCTGGCCGTTGGTTCCTTCAGCACGTCCGTGGCCAGTGTGCGGTGCTGGTAAGTCTCCTCCAGAGGCTTGCTCATGACGACCTACGGCCGAGTGAAGTGGAGTCGCTCGTGCACCTTGCCAACACCAAATGTGACACCATCTCGGCCATGCTGCAGCGACCGGTATGCTGACACCTGCACACAAGTCGCGCATTGAGCTGACTGACAACATGCAATGCTCCATTTGTGTATGTGTGTGTGTGAGTGTGTGTGTGTGTGTCAGTCTTCCTCCGTCCCGTCTCTCATCACTCTGCCCGAGTCATGCTTCAGCGGCCACATCGGCCCCCTTGTCGGCACCAAGACCATCATCACCAAGCTCGCCCCCTCACACCCGTCCCTGCACACCATCTCCCGCAAGCCGGTCACACACAAGACCCTCCACCTGGGCAACCGCTTCTCCTTCGCCATCACGGTGACCCCACAGCAGGTGGCTGTGTGGGGTTCGGCATTCAGCCGGGCGAAGCGAGCGGTCTTGGCATGTGCGCCGAGCCTGGGCGTGGTGGAGCTGCTCGAGCATGCGAGGGACTCGCTGGAGGAGCTTGAGGCGTGGTCGGATTGTTATCATGTAGACAAAGCCGTCGGCGAATGGCTGCGGGAGGGACGAACGGGCGAAGAGGTCATCTTCCCCCTGCTGGCACGCGTCAAGGTGGCCGGTTGGTGGATCTGTGTCGCCAACAGACGGCACTGGACACCCATGTAAGCTAAATACATGGTCAGAGAACCCCACACTCGCATCTTCCGCTGTCTGTCTGTCTGTCTGTCTGTCTGTCTGCAGCTCGCTCGTCGATATCCAGCTTCGCGACACGTTTGTCGTGGATGACCTACCTCAACTTGACTTAGACTACGACCACCCCGAGAAGTGCTCTGGCCACAAGGGCGATGCCTGCAGCGGCTGGCTGGCAGGGCCGGGACCGCATCATCTGACGCTCGAGGTCCCAGAGGGATGGGGGGGCGCCTGGCACATCGAGGACCTCCGCCACATGCTCAAGCCATCCATCAAGTGAGAAGAGAGGAGGGCATCGGCGTATGCCCACATATGTTAGCCACTTCGTTCGCGCGCACGTGTGCTGTGTGTGTGCTCTATATGGCAGACGGCTCAGACGCATCCGGTGTGCTCCAATCAGAAGGTGGAACTTGGACAAGGTTATCGACTTCGCCATGCAGCTGGAAGAGCTTCACATAGACCTCGATGACAGAGAGCACAGCATCGATACCGAATTCTTACAGGTACGTGGAGGCTAAATGCTGCTGCCCACATGCAGGGCACCAGAAGCAAATGTGTCGCGTGGATGTGTGTGCCGTCCATCAGATCGTTGCGCATCTTCGATCCACATGGATGGCCCCCCACGGCATCATCACCTTCACCTGCTGTCTTGGCGTCACCTTTGACATCCTGCGGGAGCTGCAGCACTTGGAGAACTGCCCATCCTGGGCTGACACACTCATCCATCTCGCTTCTCTCGTCAAGCGTGTCGTGTTTCCTCATGGGCTGGGGCAGGGCGAGGCAGTACCGTCTGTTGTGCTGTATCGGCTCCCTCAGCTGGTCTTTTTGCAAGCTGAGAAGCTGCAATTGTGCCATTCTGCTGCTGGCTCAGAGCCTCTTCCTGGTGCTGTCCTCTCGCACATATCTGATACCTACCTCCCTCGGGTCACAACGCTTGATCTGGGAGAGGCAGTGGGGATGAGAGAGGAGGCAGTGAGCAAGGCCTTAGACCTCAAGTCGATCAGAGAGGTGCATTTTGAGAGGAAAGCACGGATTTCTGTGCCGTTCTTCTTCCCTCGCTGCTTGGGGGCGTGCAGCCAGACAGGCTCCCCTCTACACATCAAGACCGATTATAGAGAGTCCGCTGGTGTGAGGGTCGACACGAGCGTGTGGGCGCTGTGGGAGGGCGGGGGTGGGAGTGAGGGACAGAAAGGGGTCCAGAGGCGCGTTCAGAAGATCAGTGTCACAGTCCGTTGGGAGCGTAGCATCAGAGATGATAAGAAGGGGGGCAGCAGTGAGCCAGCGAAGGAGAAGGCATACGATCAGGAAGGGGATAGGGGCATCTTGAAGGTGTGTCTTCACGCCATCGATAGGTGCCCTCTCCTCGACTCGATCGTCGTCACGTTCGACCGCTGGAGCTTCTCTTGCTCCTCCGGTGATGAGCTAGAAGCCAGTCGTGTCGAAGCCAGTCCCATCGATATGGTGGGAGTCAGCTGTGAGGCAGTCAGAAGCCAGCTGCTATCGCGTGGCTTCGTGGCGGTGCAGACAGGCCCCTCGTGTGTTCGGTTGTGTCGAGTTTTCGGCCGTGTGTTCCCCCGATGGCTGGTTGAGAATGTGTCGGCCCTCTCCCCGTATGCCGTTTTCGCACCCCCTACCTCCATGGAGGATACCGTGTCGCTGCCCGAGTCTGGCTTCTCTTCTTCTGCCGTATTCTCACGCCGTGCGTCAATGGATGACACTGTGTCGCTGTGTGAGGCTGTGCTGGCACATGTGGGCATGCGCTTTCCTCGTTTCATAGCTCGGCAGCTCAGCAATGAGTTGGAGAGGGCTATGACAGGAGAGGCACGCGGGTGTTGGCGCAGACTCAGACATGAGGCGCGGCGCAAGAGAGGCATGAGTGAGTTTTTTGGGGGTGACTGGCCGGAATCAGACAGGTGGAGAGAGAGTCAATAGAATAGAAACCCTTTGACTGACTGGAGTAGCTGCCTACGATGGCTCGGATGAGTAGCTGCCAATGTCGTGCTACACGAATCAGTGTACTCGGACCGACTATATGTCTCCAATCCAAAGAGACACCCCCGCCATGCAACCTCTATTTGACGCCCACGTGTCAACTGCAGGAATCGGCTTGCCACAGTCAGTGCCCTGTTGTAAGAATGCTTCGCTAATTTGTGTCAAGAGCAATACACGAAGTAGAATGACCTTGACAGACAGACAGACAGAGTGAAGCCAAGCAATGACACAAACCTAAGACAGTGTGACGTACGCCTCGGAAAGACCCAATGGCTAGCTCTTCTATGTACACTGCATGTATCCATCCGTCCCTATGACACACCGACCTACGCACCACCTCCTCCCTCCCATGCGTCTAGCAATCCAACCCCTTCCTGATCACCGCCTTTGCCAGGCGGCACCGGCCCACGATATACGCGCGCGTTGCCTTTCACCTCCCGCCTCTGCCGCCTCCCCCGACTGCCGGTGCTGCTGGTGCTGCTCGGCGGGCGGTCCCTCGCCGAGGCAACAGACAGAGACGACCCCGGCCGGCTCAGTGGCAGTGCGTCTGATCCTTTGCTGCTGCTCTCTGGCCGTGGGGGATGTGGCGGTCTTTCTCTCGGCACCGTCGGTTGTCTCTTCGGCGCGGTCTGGAGGGATGTCGCCTTGAGAGTGAGGGATGAGAGCTGCTCTCGGTCAGGCATGTGTTGTGTCTCGGGGGTGAAGGAGAGCCGTCGTAAGGGTATCCGGGTCGGCGGGCGGTCTGCATCGGCACCCTCGGCTTCAGCATGTCCTGGCCGATGGGATCGAGGGATGTGCGCGTGCAGCCCTCTGAGTGACCGAATCCACAGCAGCCGCGCCTCTGTCTCCTCCTGTTCCGTCATCACCCCAATTCCAATGCCACTGGACGATCGAGCCATGACCATGTCTCTTATGTCGGCAATCGTCGTGTGAGGCCGTGTTTCGCTGCCTCTCCTGATAGGCCGCTCAGACATGGACCTGAACATACTGCCTGTTGCTGCTGTTGTGCCGGGCCGTGAAGGTTGATCCGTGAACAGGGCCGCAGTCGAGTCGGGGCGAGACATGCCAGGCATTGGGGGAGGTGAAGGGGGCGGGAGGGTTGTGTGGGTGCACAGGGAAGCCGATGAGGCCGAGTGGGGCCGCCGTCTCTCGGTGTGGGTGTCTTTGTCAAATGGCTTGTCCGAAGCAGCAGCTGGTGTCTTGGAAGTCAGTTGCTGCTCCCCTTTGGGTGGCTTCTGCAGCGGGCGGATCACCACATATCGGTGGCTGAAAGCTCTGGGCAGCACATGCGAGACACACAGACCGACAAGGACACATATATACACATCGATCGATCACGTGCCTGCATGCCTGTGCCTCACCTCTCAGCTGGCAGTTCATCCAGGAATCCATCTGGCGGTTTCTGCAGCATCTCGTCATCCTCGGGCATGAGTGGCGGCACCGGTCGATGCAGCTCCTTGTGCCGTTCTTTGGACACCAGGAAGGCGCGCGACTTCTGTTTCGTCATGATGGGCAGAAACGGAGGAGACACCAAATCGCCTTCAGCTGCTGCTTCAAGCATCTCGGCTGGTGGCGTTGCTGTGCGAGGGGGGCAGAGATCAGCATCCAGGTAGGGATTCTGAAAGCAGACAATCGACTGATGAGAAGGATCCGAGCATTCCATTCGCTTCATACCCTTAGCAGTTGTTTGAAGCTAGTTTTTTGTGACCGCTCCATGGCCTCCTTGACCCGTTTCGCTGCCTGCACCTCCCGCTTGGTGACCCTTGCCCCCACCTTGAGAGGCCGGGGCCTCAGCACCAGCCCCATGAAGAGAGCTGCCTTCCTGACGTCATGCCTCTGGTCCGTGTGCTCGGGTGGACTGAACTCGCCCGAGTGGAGACACAGCAGCTCCAGCAGTGAGAGGTCAGAGGTGAGAGGGACTGGCAGCAGTTCGGGATCGGTGTCGAGGTGCTCCAGCAGCTGCAGGGCGTGAGGGTGTTGGTGCATCTTGTTGCGCAGGAAGGGCGAGTGCTGGAAGGACGGGAGGCCATACAAGGAGGAGTAGGCCTCCACCAGTGTGCGAAGGATGGCACGCTCGCCTCTGACCAGAGGAAATGGAGCAATGAGACAGTCGAGGTGGGATGAACCCATAGATTTTGCTTACCTCTGCAGCTGCACTTGGAGTTGTTCAGGTGCATAGATGGCTGCCCGTTGGACCGCCATGGCCACCAGCCGCCGAAACGAGTCCTTCGGGAGCTTCGTCTTGGCATCATTCGCCGCAATCGTATAGCACTCGACATTGGCTGAGTCAGCCACAACAGTCAGTGGCTCGGGTATTCCCACCAACGCAGAGATTAGCCCCACAACGTGACCTCGTTCGGCCACACTGACGTCCTGGTAGGTGCGGGGGCACAGCCGGTCCAGGACATGCCCGAGCTCGGCCTGCGTGAGGGAGGGGGTTGCCGCGGCTGCCTCGCGGATGGCGGCGGACTCTGCCGGTGGTGGCGGCACTTTTAGTTTTCGCGATCGACATGTGCCTGAGCTGATGATGTAGACATGAGACAGACTGGAGCCCTCTCTGCGGGAGGCAGAGAGCAGCAACAGACACAGAACACAATTCGACTGACGGTGTGTGTATCCGTCTGCTCATTCACTGACTCACTCACTCGATGATGATGTTTCCTTTGCGCTTGGTCTCTGACTTGAAGAGCACACTCAGTTTCTCCAGCGACCCATCACTCTGGCAAGACAGACCGGGAAAGTGACCCTGATCGAAAAGACGACAGGAACAGACATCGTGGCTTCGATACGCACAGCCGCATCCCGGTTCCTCCAGCTACCCGCAGCAGCTCGACTTTTGCCTGAATGACGCCTGGTAGCTCCTTCAGCAGCTCCTGAAACGTCTTGCCGCGGTCATACATCACCCTGCAAACACAGGCCACTCATCCCCCTCATCACTGTCCCCATTTCTCCTCCCCCCGTGCTTACTGCCTCCGCGGCTGCCTCCCCGCGACAAGCCGCACAGGCCTTCCCGCCGGCGAGGAGTCTCCTGAGGGATACCCCGGCTCCTCACTGCTCGACCGCCGGTCCGCCCTCCCTCTGTCTCGTTCGAATATGGCCCTTCTCGCCTCGGCCGACGCCTTGGCAATGAAGGCTTCGGTGTCAAACGAAGTCAGGAAGGTGTAGAAGTCTTGCCATGATATCTCCTGTCTTGGGGCTCTCTCGGGTGGGGCGCTCTGCGGCCGTCGTCTTCCAACGCGGCCGAGGATGCTCTCTGATGACTGTTTCAGCCAAGGAAGGGTGGTCATCGGCAACTCGGCTCCCTCTCTGGTGTCTCCCTCCCTCTCCCTCATGTCCATTAGAGCTGAATACCACAGTGGCGAGGCAGCCTTCAACACATCAGTGGGCGGTCGCGGCAAGAACGGCAGCTGGAACTCCAGGATCTTGCAGAGGGCGCGGTAAAAACATTGCAGCCTCACCCACCGCACATACTGCTGTCTCGCCCTGGGGCTGCCCCTCTCCGTCGGTGGCGGGCTGCCTATGAATTCGAGCTCTTCTCTTGCAATAGCCTCCAGCCACTGGGAGAGCGAAAGCCGCAAAGACGACGTACCATCCGTTGGCATCGCGTCTCCAGCGCCGCTTCTCACAGACGTCGAACGTCTGGCCGCGATAGGTAGCCGGAGGCCGACAGTCACTCTCGGCGGCGATGCCTTGGCCTTGAATGTGCCCTGGCTGAATGATATCCTCGAGGGCCGCGACTCAAGGGGACTGCTGTCTTCCTCCATTTTTTGTAGTCTCAGTCCCGGTCACTCGGTCAGTGAATCTATTGCAAAGTCGGCCGGTTGCTTGAGTATCTGCAGCTCACCATAGAAGCAGTCGCGTGGCGCGCACGAAAGAAGAGGGAGAAGCCCGAGGGGGAAGGCAAGCCAATGCCAGGGTTTGTAGGGTCAAGGGTTGTAGGGTCAAGCTGGGAGGCGGAGAACCGTCTGTTGGTCTTTTGACGGTTTTCTTGTTTTGGGAGCTCAAGTAGAGCCGTCTGGTCAATATCTGTTGTTGTGGAGCCGCGGCCTCTATCGTCTCGCCTTGACATCGCCAGCCTGCCAGAGAAGTGGTTGATTCGCCATGGCGAACGAGAACGTCGTCTACTTGGCCATCGGGCGGATGCGTGACCAGGTCATCCTCGCCTCTTCCTACGACAAGATGGGCAACAACGAGAAGAACGACCTCGACAGGGCCTTCCAGGGCCACCTGTCAGAGTCCCTCTCCCGCATGGCGCCGGGCGGCCGCGACAAACGCTTCTTCGGCGAGGGCTGCCTCTACCTCCTCGCTGACCGCGAGCTGACCTGCCTGTATTGCGTGGGCACCCGAACGGCTTCGTACCCTGAGCGCCACGCCTTCGCGTGTCTGACGGACCTGCAGCAGGCGGTGGGTGGTTTGAGTGAGGACGCGCAGAAGCTGAGCATGCTGGACGCCAACGCGCTGACCAAGCCGCTGCGGAAGCCGCTCAAGGAGCTGATGGACACGTATGACCGGCCGGCCAAGTTTGACAAGACGGCAGAGGTGCGCGAGAAGGTGGACAACGTCAAGGACATCATGCAGGAGAATGTCAAGAAGATCCTGGAGAGCCACGCGAACATCGAATCGCTCGAGCAGAAGACCGACAACCTCCGCACATCGGCCCAGCAGTTCCAGCGCAACGCCGTCGACCTGCGGCGCATGATGTGGTGGCGCAACATCAAGGTCAAGATCATCCTCGCACTCGTCATACTCGCCATCGCACTGGTACGGCCACTCACACCACACACGCACATCCATGTATATGCGTGCTGACCGTCTGTGTGTTGTGTGGGGTGTGCAGTACATCCTGCTGCCGATCATCATGCACGCGAGCTGACCGACTGTTTAAGCCTAGCTCCATGTATGGCACGGCTGCTGTGGGCGTGTGGTGAGGTGGGCGTAGCGGTGAAGTTTTCGCTCTGCATCGTGTGCCTGCTCGACGACGATTGTTGTGTGTGTAAGATCGCTGCTGCTCGTACTCTCTCTCTCTCTCTCTGCTACCTCGTTGTCTATCCTGTGTGTGAATAAGTGTCGCAACCCTTGTCCCTCTCAGTCAGTCTGCTACCTCCCTACCTCCGGCTGCCTTCACACACGAGTGTGAGCTGCGTGGGTGCTGGTGACAAGTGCGCTTTCGTATCTATTCAGTGCGAACGCCGCTTTCGTGACCTGCATCCTGACCAGCTCATTGCTCGGTATGTGTATGGGGCCAGAGACCTGACCGAAGAACACCTTGACATGTTTTTGCTAGTACAGGTGTTTTGACTGCGTGCATGTATGCATTTTGCACGAGTGTGTGGCACCAGACCAAATGACACCCTTCAATTCATGGTCCTTTCCAGTCACCAGGCATTTTACAGCGGTTGCTGATTCCCTTTGGAAAGCCCCTCTCGTGTGCGGCAAGAAAAGGGAGCTGTACTTGCGGTGGCCAAGGCAGGCAGCCGTCGAGCGGCGGAAGGGAAATGGTGGAGAGGGGCGAATTGCTTGTCTTGGGATGTGCCTGTTGCTTCCTCATGCTGCCCATCGACGCCAGATCAGACGTGCTGCTGGCATTTTGCTGCCTGCAGAATGCCCTCATCGTCAGAAGGGAGAAGATCTGGTTGCGTCGGCGAAAGGTACGCGCATGTCTGTGAATGGGATGTGCATGTGGATCTCCTTCCCTCATTATGGCTTCCGTCTGTGTCTGTCCCTCTTCAGCCTCCCTCAATTCCTGACCAAGCCGGCCTGGAGGGTCGGCAGCTCATCAGCCAGCTGCTCACCAATAAGGTGAAGGGCGTGACCTCCACCGAGGGCAACAAAAACAGGTGGTTGGCGCTCAACGGTATGTATGCCTACGCACACACACACACACACACACAGACACGTGGGCACACCCCAGCTTGGCACGCATGAGTGTTGCCTGGGTGGTGCAGATCGTGCTGGTGGTCGTGTGGGCACTGGTAGTGAGCCCCCGGACGACGAGAGTGACCCGAGCGACGGCAGCAGCAGCGACGGTGGCGAGGCCGAGGACTACGAGCCGCCCGACGGTCAGCGACGCACACACACACACACACACACACAGAGAGAGAGAGAGAGATGGGGCCAAGCACATATCTGGTGCGATCCCCTGTTGCAGACGATAGTGAGGACGATGATGCCGACAATGTGGTGTCGCGTCGTGGACGTGGTGACGGCCTCGGCAAGGGCTCGGCGTCCAAAGAGCCGACGGCAGTGCGGGTGCCCGCCCCATCTGGTACACATAACACCTGCATACATTCAGAGCGCCGCCGCACGTCACCCGGCTGTGTTTGCTGTTTGTGTGTCAGGGACTGGCGACCTTCGCGAACGGGCCGAGACGGCCAACAGGCGACAGAGCGACGAGAACAACGAGAAGGCCGCCCTCCCAACCAGGAGCTACGAGAAGAGCGAGATCACCGGCGTGCGTCGCGACAGCACGAGAGGCCGTTGGGTTGCGTCCTGGTACGAGAACGGCAAGCAGAAAACGGAGAGCTTCCCGGCGGCCAGGTTGGGCGAGGAGGGCGCGAAACGGGCGGCCATCAAGCGGCGGGAAGACATGGAGGAGAAATGGCCGAATCAGAGAAAGGTGCGTCTTTGTGCATAAATGGCATCGATGTGATTTCTTCTCACCCTTGTTCAGACTGCTATCATTATCGATGACGATAGTCGCAAGCTCATCGCCCAGCTGCTCGAGAAGGATGTCAAGGGCGTCCGCTTTGACGAGCGCCATTGTAACAGGTGGGTCGCGTACTGGTCCAAGGGCGGGACACAGCATGGCAAGTACTTCGCCATCAACAAGCACGGCGGCATCGAGGAGGCCTACGACAAGGCCGTCGCGTGCCGCAGGGAGGCTGAGGCGAGCGGTGCGGCGAGCCTCCAGCAGCCAGCCGAGAGGCAGAGCGGCCACAGGGGTGTGATCTGGGACAAGGCGGGCAAGAGATGGGTGGCCCGCTGGACTGACGCGTCTGGCGAGCAAAAGCACTGCCACTTCTCTCTGTCCACGCATGGGGGTGACAGAGAGGCAATGGCAGCTGCGATTCGCTGGCGGGAGAGGATGGTTGAGGAGACCAAAAGAGAGAAGCAGGACAGGCAGATGTCGCCACGCCAACGGGACAAGTAAGAAGGGATGCTCACTCACTGTGAGTCAGGCTGGGCGATCCTTGTGTATAGAGGACGCGTGTCTGTTTCGTTTGTGCAGGCGGCCCAAGGCGGCCAGCAAGCGACAGAATGACAAGAACAACGACAAGGCCAGTCACCCCACCAAGAGCCCCAACAACAGCAGCACCGCGGGACTGCATCGCAAAGTGTATCGCAATGTCATCACGAAAGACGTCACGCATAGCTATTGGGTCGCGTCGTGGTACGAAAATGGCAAGAGAAAGAAGGAGCACTTCTCGGTCGCCATGTTGGGCGAGAACGGCGCGAAGCGGGAGGCCATTCGGCGGCGCAAGGACATGGAAGAGAAATGGCCGACTCAGCGAAAGGTACACGAATCCAAGAATGGAATGTGTGGCCCTTTTCGATCACGGTCTTTTGTGTGTATCTCCGTCTCGTTCATTTAGGCCGCCATCACGCTCAACCGCCAGGACAAGAAGCTTATCGACCAGCTGCGTGGCAAGAAGGTTAAAGGCGTCCACTTCGACGAGCGCCACAACAGGTGGATGGCGGCCTGGGGCGTGGGCAGAAAGCAGCGTAAGAAGAGCTTCGCTATCAGCACCAACGGCAGCATCGAGGAGGCCTACGAGAAGGCCGTGGCGTTTCGCAAGGAGAAGGAGGCGAGCGGGGCGGCGAGCGTCCGACAGCCGGCCGAGATCCAGAGCGGCCACATCGGTGTGAGCTGGAACAAGAAGAGGAAGGCATGGGCGGCCAGCTGGTATGATGCGGCTGCCAAGCCGCAGTGCCACTACTTTTCTGTGTCTGCATATGGGGGTGACAGTGAGAAGGCCAAGGCAGATGCGATTGACTGGCGGGAGACGATGGTCGAGCAGGCAGAGAGGGAGATTCTTGTATGTAGATAGCTTCTGCTTGGATACGTGTCCGTTTCATTTCCGGATCAGTCGATCTTTCGTCCAGAGTGACGACTTGGCTGGCATGCGTATGTATCCATGCTGCGTGCATGCCTGTCTGGCTGGCTGACGCGTGGCGGTGTATATGAGTACCAAGTCTTTGTTTGCCTTGATTTCCTACAAGGTTTGTCGTCTCGGCTTGGCTCTTATCACTGACGAGAGATGTCTTCAACACACAGACACGTCCATCCATCCATCCATCCAGCAATCCGTGCACATCAGTCATCCGTGCATTTCAGTCATCCAATGTCGGTCCGTCTCACAGACACACAGACAGCCGTTCATGTATCAGAATTGTCGTGGCTTGAGGAAGAATGGGCCGGACTGGGTGTCGAGTCGACGCAAGGCATCATGGCGTGGCAGTGACAAACTCCACTCGCCCTGAGAGGGAGAGAGAGATGTTGATGCTGGTGGGCTGACTGACTGACTGACCGACCTGCATCGTCATGTTTGGGTTGGCACTGTTGTGTTGGTTGAGGCGGAACGAGTCTGATGACGAACTGGCGAGCTGCCGAAAGTCGACAGACCTGACACGCCAACCAATACAGAAGCAGACGAACGTGGTGTGTCTCTTTGTGTGTGTGTGCCTCTCTCCCTCACTACCTCCGTCCCTATCTGTCTGTGTGCATGTGTGTACCCTGTGTGTTGGTGCGGCCGTGGGCGGCGGTCGTCCCCGTTGAGGGCGTCAGCAGACGAGCGCATGTGCATGAGTGGTGACATGGGATAGCCACGCTCATCGTTCCACTGGTCAGGTGCAGACGCTGCAAGCGGGCGGTCGGCCTCACGCGCCGATGACACCGGCGGCTGTGCAGTGGCCTTGTTGGGTTGTTGTGGGGCAAACATGCTGCGAGACAAGCTGTTGTGGGACACACACAGAGAGACACACATTCCAGGGCTCTGAGGCTGGCTGGCTGGCTGACCGTTTGGTGTAGAAGGCCTTGTCCATCATCGGCCGCTCGCACAGCTGGTACAGCTCGCGGCGCAACGCTGCAAAGTAACCATCGGACGCTGCAAATGATGGCCGGGATGCATGTGTGTCATGTGTGTGTCTCATGTGTTGTTGCGTGCCGTCACTCCCTCACTTTGCGGCCTATCGTCGGCATCGGCGTGTGGGTGCGATGGGCTGCGTGTCTGTGGCCGCTGCTGTCCTTGTGGCGGTGTCTCGACGGGATGACTCACTCCTATTTACACACAAAGCAGACAGTCGTGCGTGTGTTGTCTTTCTCGTGTGTGTGGGTGTGTGCTTGCCGTGGTCTCCTTGCTGTCTATCATGGATGCTGTTGGCCTTTGACGGCTCCTCCCTCCTGGCAGCCTTGATTTGCGCAAAGATGCCGCCGACCACCTCACCAACCCTGGCACCCTTGGCCGGCCGCGGTATGTAGCGCTTCCGCTTCCCCTTTCTATCGGACAGCAGCATCGATTCACTCTCTCACTCACTCACTCACTCACACACATACGTACCGATTGCTTCACTCTTTCTGTGTCTCACAGTACACATACATATCGATGTTGCACACACAGTCATCGATCGTCACTGTCCCGTCGCCGTGATCGAGTCCCTCTAGCTGTCTGTCTTCATCCGGCCACACGATCAGCGACGAGCACCAAAACCACGTGACGCCGGTGCGATCGACCGCACCCGGCGCGCGCGCGCCTATGTGCCCGTCGATGGTCGTGCGCACGAATGAAAAGGATCATGCAGACAACAGGGACATGCAACACTCGCAGCCAGTCAGTCAGTCGAGCCATCAATAACGCACGCAAAAAGCCTATCTATGCCTTGTCTGCTCCAGCCAGCCGTGCCGCCGTCAGTCAGTCAGATCTAGGCTCTCTTTGCCGCAGAAAGGCGTCACCCAGGCCATCAGTCACCGCTGTTCGCTGCCGGTGGCGTATGTGCCACCACTGCTGGTGCTGTCAACTGGGACGCGTAGAGGATTGCCACGAATTCTCCCAGATATCACGATGGGCGGCTTGAGCTCCAGGTACAGCTGACCCACCTGCTGGATGAGCACGAACGCCGCCACCAGGAAGAAGACCGAGATGAAAATGGAGCTCTGCACCTTGAACAAGATCCACGCCGCAAACACGCTCGACGCGAAGTAGCATCCCAGGCCCAGCACGAAATAGATGAGGCACGTCTCGGAGGTCACCTCCATGAACTCGACAGCAAACGAGACGGACTCCACGCCCTCGCCCCGCAACGCCCGCCCAGGTCCCCACATGACCACCAAGCTGCCGATCAGCACCACCAGCAGATTGAAGCCAAGCGCGGCGCCCGTCGAGGTGACGAAGCCCAGTTTGAGGAACGGGTTGTTTTGCGCAGGGACACCCAGCAGAATGCCGGCCGATGCAAAGCCCGCCAGCAGAGAAGAGATGCCGGTGAGCGCCTGGAAGACCGAGACGAAGTAGTCGAGCTCCATCTGGCGCACGGAGAGGCTGGTCAGGTGAAAACCTGTCAGCACGTTGGCTTTCGTCGCTTGTATCATCGTAGCGGCTGCTGCTGTAAGTTGGGAAGCTCCGTCCGATGGGACTTTCCGGAGATCCCTCCCGCTTGGAGTGCGAGCTTGAAGTGTAGAGAGAAGCTGTTTCCAAAGATCTGACAGGCAGGGAGGCAGGCAGGCAGGCAGGCTGAAGGACCGCAACTACGCTGCATCTGCATCCCAGGCGCCACCGTGCCGGTATCTCGTCACAGCTGCTGAAGAGATGTGGCTGAAGAGACGAGGCGTCCTCGCAGCGACTCTCATCCCCCTTCTTGCAGATGGCACAGCCGCCAGCAGACCGTCCTTCCTGCAGCCCTCTCGACACACACAACTGCCTGCTGTACGGAGATCGGCGCCGCCACTGAGGGTTGTCAGGCAACCCCCGAGCCCGTTGGAACACGACGAGAGTGTCGCTTCAAGTCCACCCCGTCCACCCCGTGTGTCCGGCGCCGAAGGCGTCAGACTCCCACGTCTTGATAGCGACGTTCTGTCTGCAGCCGGAGTGACAGGAGGGAGTATGGTGGGAGCGGGCATACTGGCCCTGCCTCTGAACACTCTCGAAACCGGTCTGATGCCTAGTGCTGCGCTGCTGATTGGCCTCTGGCTCTACGCCATCACGGGTGCGTTGCTGATAGCCGACACATCCATGAAGGGCCTCAACAGCAGCCAATCGTCCCCTGCGAACGAGGAAGCCATCGGCCTTCTCGCCGCTGTTCAGCGCCGCTTCGGCGGGTCAGCAGCCTCCCTCTACACGGCCCTATATCTGGTGCTCAACTGTGCTCACCTGCGGATGTATCGATGCTCTCTCTTTATTTCTTTATTTCTTTATTTCTTTCTTTTTTCTTTCTTTCTCTGTCTGTCTGTCTGTCTGTCTGTGTGTCTCCTGCGTGCGCCCTCTTCGCAGGTGCTCAACTTCTTGTGTTTGGTGGCTTACATCGGCGAGGCGGGCGGCACGGTGGCTGCACTGGCTGGTGTGCCCAAGACAATGGGAGAGGTGCTGTTTGCCGTGCTCGTTGGCGGCGCTGCCTTCAAGAGCGACGCTCTGCTTGACAAGGTCAATAGCACCGTGCTGGTTGGGGCGTTGGTGGCGTTCGCTGCCATTCTCCTGATCGGGGCGACGCGGCTGGATGACCCGGTGCTTTTCGGGGACATCACTGCTGTGCCGCGTGCTCTGCCCGTCCTGCAGGCAAGTTACCCAGCCACCACACTACCTGCCTTTGTCATTGTGTGGTTTTGTTCAGGTCGCCATGACGTTCCAACCAGTTGTTCCCGCGCTCGTGTGGCGCTTCAAACAAAAAGCGCGCCAATCGGCGGCCCTCACACCCACGGACGCTCCCCACACCCAGCCACAAGGCGCGGCAGACGAGGAAATGTCCTCCAAGCTGCGGTGGTCCCTCATCATCGGCTCTGGCATCCCTCTGCTGATGTATCTGATGTGGGAGACGGTGTTCTTATCCTCACCACTGGCGAGGAATCTCAAGGAGGGGCTGTCGCTGTACGGTGAGGGGCTGGCCGACGACGCGTCACCCGCGGCGGCGACAGTGACGGAGGTCCTAGTCGCCTTTATGGGTAAGTACGTGAGAGGGAGGGAGGGAGGGTGGGTGGCACCGGCAGCATAGGTCCATACTCGCGTCTCTCTATCCCTCTCTCTCCGTGTGTTGTGTGGTTGGTTGCAATGCAGGTGGTGTCCCTGGCGGCGGCCCTCTGGTGCTCAGTTTCTCGCTCGCTGCCATCCTCACGTCCTTCCTCGGCTGCGTACTCTCGCAAGTCGACACCATCCGACAAATGGCGTCACTCGACAGCTTATCCTCCAAGCACCGGCCACAACACGACAGCAGCGAGTTCTCCCGGCTGCTGCCTCTCCCTCCCTCAAGCAGCTCCCGGCTCGCTCTACTGCCCGCAGCCGTGTGGCGCCTCGTCCGCCGCAACGGCAGCGGCGGCTCAGCTACCGAGCCGTCTCGCTCGCAGCTGTATGGGTGGAGCCTGGTGCCACCTCTCCTGGCGGTTTTGGCCTGTGGCGAAGAGGACGTGTTTGGTCGGGCACTGGACCTCGCTGGGGCTTTCTGCGACCCAATACTGGTACGAGAGTGTCGTGAGTGAAGTGGACACACAACGGGATGACATATGCTGTGTGTTGTCTGTCTGTCTGTCTGTCTGTTGTTTGTGTGTGTGTGTGCAGTTTGGTCTTGTGCCTGGGCTTGTGGCATACAGTGACATCCGACGACGCGCCGCGTCGGCCGAGGGAGAGAGCGGGGGTTTTGTGAGCGAGTCCGTGTGTGTGGGGACGATAGGGCTGTCAGCAGCCTTTGTGGTCGAGGAATTAGTACGTCGGTGCATCACGGCGTGAGCGACATGCCACATTTGCATAGACATGCCTACCTGCACGTCTAGCTGTCTGTCTGCCTGTCTGTCTGTCTGTCTGTGTCGATACTCTGTCATGCTCCATTCATCAGCACGGTTTAAGCAGAGAGGGGGGAGGGGAGGGGAGAGGAACACAATGATGAGCAAGCCAAGCCAGAGCAGTCTCTCTCTCCATGTGTCTGGTCGTCTTGCCTTTCCTCCTTCTCTGCTTGGGCTGTGCTGTTCTCGGTGAATCGTAGACAAAGGGCATTAATTTTGCGCTGACTTGATTGGGGACAGTTTTGGCCGTTGGTGAGGGGAGTTATGTGGGGCGGGGCACCGGTAGCAGGAACAGCTGCTGCTACAGAACCAGCATGCCTGCCTGGCTGCCCTTGGCTGACCGTGTGCACGCGTGTGCCATTCGGAAGGATCTTAGGCCGACCACACACGCGAGAGCTGATGTGCCCGTAGCCGACGGATGGGATTTCGTGTCCGTCCAACGCGAAGTCGGACCCGTTTCCTACGGAGACGCATCAGCTCTCCCGTGTGTGTCCATACGATCCTGTGTGTATGTGTTTTGTCGATGGTTCCGTCTTCCTTCCTTGCTTGCCTCACACCGACCGACTTCTTCTGTGGCTACCTGTCTGTCTGTCTGTCTGATTGTCTGACTGTCTGTGTGGCTGCTGCGATGCAGTGGGTGAGCGAGAGAGTCGTTCGGGGGGCAAGTCCAGTCCATTCCGGCTGTGTTGATTGATTGTAGCATACACACGAACAAACATACATACATGGCACGTCTGCCTGTGCTATGGCTGCATGTGATGTGACTATGGGGCGTGCGGTGCGATGGTGGGGTTCAATCAATCGTCGTGTGAGGCAAGGGCATTCGAATTCGTTCGTTTACATGACCGGCACTACCGCTCGTTCGTCCCCATATAATATAGCCTCGCTGCACGCATTCATATCAAACTAAGACAGGGAGGCCTGCAGCGATGCAACGACAACAAATATCTCGCCCCTCACCCTCCCATCCCACAAAGATCCGACCACCGAATCAGCCAACCAGAAATACTGACAAAATGCAATCGATCCCTACAGCAGCCATGAGTCGCTGCTGCCCTCGGACGACTCGTTGCTGCTGCTGTTGCTGTGGTCGGGCCTACCACGGTCATAGTAGTGGTACACACCCACTGGCCGCGTCACCCACCACCTCACACGCCTTCCTCTCGCACAACAGCGGAGAAACCGCCACACGCTCTTCCCTCCCCTACCCTCACCAACCTGCTCCTCCTGGCTGAACCCCCGAGTGCCATCACTAACAGCAGCAACAGCGGCACCAGCAGCAGCACGACGCCTCACTCCCATGGAGTCATCTTCGCCAGTGCTTTGCTGGGAGAGAGTGGGTGGCGATGTGGGCCTCTCTTGAGTGTCCGTCTCTGTGTCTCTGTCCGCTGCTGCTGCTGCTGCTGTTAGAGGGGGTGTGAATGAGAATTTGACGACGAGCGTGCGGATCTTGGCCGGAGCCTCGTCAGGGAAGGGGTTGTTGTGGATGAGGGAGAGCGTGGTGGGGTCGTTGAGAGTGAGACCATGGATGAAGGCCTCGTACCTGAACATCACATCAAACACAGACAGGCAGACAGGCAGGTGTGGGTAGCGGGCGGGTCCGCGAGGGTCCCGACCTATACCAACCAGTCTGGCACATCGCACTGTGTCCGGCGGCTTCTCGCCCGCTGCCACTCCAGCGGCAGAAACCACAGACGCCAATCGAATCCTGATACCGATCCACACACACACACACACACACATGCCACACGGCTGTGTGTGTGAAGGGGTATGTGTGTGCTGAGCTCACTGTGTATGTAGAAGAATGCGAAACGTGGTGCTGTGAAAGGGTTGCATGGCTTGAATTTGAACTCGTACGGCAGCCACTCCCTGCAGCCCTCCCTCTGCCCCTGCACAATCAGCTCTAGACGCTCCGCATTCATGCTGAATGCCACGACACATCACATTGATCGGCTCTTCTCTTTTCTCTCGGTGAGTTGTGTTGCGTGTATGGCCCACCTGCCAAACTTGGCGTAGTAGTTGCAGACCTTGTATCGCCGGAGGTAGCTGTACAAGTCCACCAGCCGACTGGGGGGCATACGGACACGACCTACAACGCACAGCACACACACACACACACACACGCATCCGAAGATGCTCACCCCTCCCACCACTCTCTTCTTGCCCTCGTGACCTTTGAAGGACTGCAGCAGAGGCACAGTCGATACCGCCCACAGCACATACACCACCGCCAGCAGACACACCCACACCACCGCACACAACACGCCAAATACCACAGCCACCCATGCCGGCACTGCCAGCGGACCAGACGGCCTGCTGCTCGGTAGCTGCACCCTGGCTGTGAGGAGGCTCAGCGGCCACTCGTCAGCATAGAGGATCGGGAGGCACTGGACAATAGTCATGATGCCCAGGTGGCCGTAGTTGCCGGTGGTGTTGATCATGACGGTCAGCTGCACGAAGCCGACAAAGGCCACCAGTCGCGATAAGTACCAGGGGGCATACACCAGGAAAGGAATCATGACTGAGACCATGTCCAGCCCCACACACAGCAGAGAGAGAGAGAGAGAGTGGGTGTGTGCTCGCCTTGCCCTGTCCCTCCCTGGCTCACTCTCGATGACGAGTGACATGGCTGTTTCAACTTTGTGCCACCACTCGGGGGCCATGTGGACGTACCAAGACACACAGTTCGGCAGTGGCTGCGTCTCGTAATGCGCTGACACACGCAGGAAGGCAACACACAGTACACACACAGACCCTCATGCGTCACACTCATTCATAGTCGACACACCCACCTGTCATGGCGGTGAGTGACTTCCACATGGGCGAGCCGTACCACTTGCACATGCCGCACGCCAGCATCACCCGGAAGATCAGCCAGCGCATGTGATGGCTCAGCCGGAAATCCACCACAAACGTCAGAATCCGACCCATCAGAGGCCACCCGCCCAACAGTGATTGAATCGGCAGGAGGGTGCAGGACAGCACGTGGGTCGCCAGCAGCATGGAGTGCAGTGCGATGAGGCAGTTCATCTCGATAAGGTTGGCGTCCATCTGGAGGGCCAGGAAGGGGCCAGACACGTTCTGCAGCGAGAGGTAGACGACGCCCATCAGCAGCCAGATCCCCGCTCGCACCCACGCCACTCCGACGGCAGCAGCAAAGAGGGAGATATCGGTTGTGCCGTAGAGCCGATGAGGGCAGGGGAGAAGCAGCAATAGCACACCACCGATGCAGCCCGCCTGCAGACAGACACAGACACAAACACAGACACCGCCGTCTTGTGGCTGCATGTTTGTTTGTGTGGTTGGCTCTCACCGCGCACATCAAGTGTATGTGGTGGTCTTTGTAGAACCACCAGCACAGCGTCGGGTACTGCCGCACCTGCTTCCACCTCACACGGCGCCTCTCGGGTTGAACCTCAGAAGACGACGCCGATGCCGAGAAGCGCCTGCCAGTGGACGAACGGCTCATATCCCGCAGTGTGCGTGTCACGGGAAGCAGACCTGCAAGTCCATGCATGGCAACCATCGTGGCGCATGTTGTGTGGCTGATCTGGGAGGATGTGCGTGTCGTACCATGTTTCGAGATGAGAGGCATCGCCTGCCGCCAGAAGGCGACGAAGGCGATGAGATTGACCACCGCATGGCCGTACTCGATGAGCACGTCCACTGGGCTGAAAGATGCCAACATCTCCTCTTTCCTTCTGTTTGCGAGCTTGAGGTCGTGAAGAGAAGGTATTTCTGTCGCGAGGCGCGATCTGTTGGCTAGAGGGCTTTCTGAAGCACGACAGTGAGAGTCATGAGTCACAGCGCTTTGCATGCATCACTGTGGGAACGAGCGGAAGAGGTCCGAGCAGACAGCCAGAAACAGGATTCAGAGTCCCTAATGAATGAACATGTGTGCGTGTGCGTGTGCGTGTGCGTGTGCGTGTGCGTGTGCGTGTGCGTGTGCGTGTGCGTGTGCGTGTGCGTGTGCGTGTGTGTGTGTGTGTGTGTTCATATAGGTGTCCATCCAGCAATAAGACCACGCACACACGACAGACTGGGAGGGCAATGTATCCATCCATCCATCCATCCATAGCCCAACATCTACCTCTGACTAATGCATGGCTGCCTGCCTGTCCGCTGCCGGCGGGCTCAGCTATGTGGTGGCGTCATCGCGCCGCCCCCGCCTCCCTGCCGCCGCCCCGCTGCTCCTTGTGGATGCTGAAGTCCGCGACGGGGCGCCGGCCGGCCGAGGGGCGATGTTGGACCGGGTCCCACTGCATACAACAGGCCCACATAGACACACACACGTGTTCATCGCATGGTTGTTGTTGCCGTGCGTGTGTGGTTCTTACGTCCGTCCTGCTCCTTCGGCTGCCGGTGCCGGCGCCGCTGCTGGTGCTGCCTGAGTGCCCTCTGCACCCGTGTCGGTGTCACGGCCCGCCTCAGGCTGAGCCGATGGAGCCCCAGCCCCCTCCCCACCCCCCACGCCCTCTGCATCAGCCTTCGCTGCGTCGGCACCAGGTGACGGCACCGACATAGAAGCCGGCGTCTCCTGCGATCGTGACGGTGAGGGCAACGCCTCCTGCTCTTCCACCACGTTGCTGTCTTGGTTGCTGCCCTGGGGCGACTCGGCCATCGGCAGTGTGAGGCCCCCACTGCCGCCACCGGCAGGGCTGCTGGCCAGGAGACTGCTGGACGTCTTCTGAGGGGATGAGGAGAGGGCCGGGGGGGCGAGCCCTGACCCAGCCGGTGGCACACCGATGTTGGTTGGCGAGTCGGCGGATGGGGGTGGCTGCACCGGCTGCTGGACGAGGGTGAAGGCGGCCCAGTCGGGGGTCTTCACGCCCTTCTGGTACTGGGCGGCAGAATACTCCTGTCACAGGCAGCAACATGAACACAGACATGGGTATGTATGCTTTCCATGCAGACTTACCGCGACGCCTTCCATGGAGCCGTAGATGGCCCCCCCGACCCATATGAGGGATGCTGGAGGGAACTGGGGCAGACTGAACTCCACACGCTCGCACACGTGATGCAGCCTCGAGTCGCTCTCAAACGCCATTCTGATCGATCGATCAACACACGCATAGACAGACAGCCAGCCAGCCTGATGCTGCCCATGTCTGTCTGTCTGCATCATCCTGCTGTGCTGTGGATACTTGAGTTCTAAGGCCATTCTAGGGAGAAATCCGGGCAGCGACGCTGTGCCGCCACACACCACAATGTTCTGCACCAGCGACTTGCGAATGTCAACGGGGCACTTCTCCAACATCCTGGCACGCAGGCACCACACACAACACGACACAGGGGGGAGGAGTGGAATGGCACATATCACCACAGCCAATACAGGAGCAGTGAGTGCGCTGCCTACTGTATGATGCCCTCTTGGATGTTTGTGCGTTCGCCAGACTCGTCCCAAAGGACCTCACACACGCCCCACCTGCACACAAAGGGCGAATCGAATGGAGAGAGCATCCGATCCGCAACGTCAGTCAGCACGTTTCCCTCCTTACCGTGTGGCTGCTTTGATGGGTATGGCCTGGTCGCAGTGCAGCGGGTACTTGATGTCCTTGCTGGTCTCCAACACACACTTGCCGCCGTCCGCCAGCCGATACCGCACGTAGCAGCACCGCATCTTGATGTCCTCCAAAGTCACGTCGTCCAACGAACCCACCTGGGGGAACCACACACTCATTGATTGATTGACTGGTGTGGTGTCGCGCCACGCCACCTCTCTGTGTGCTTTCCAGCTGTCCCTACCATGTCTGTCAGAGTGAGTGGCGGCTCCTCGGCGGCCTCCGGTGTCGGCTCCTCCTGGCTCGCACTCGGGCTGCTCATGGGAGTGCTCTTTCTTCTCCCCGCCCAGCCCTTTGCCGGCCGCTTGACGTTGCTGGGGTTCTCCTTGGCATAGGCCAGCAGGGCCTCCCGCAGCTTCTCGTCAACGTGGCGGCCCCCCACCCTGGCCGTCGTGAAGGCGCTGTAGAGCGGCACGCACTCACAGATGGGGAGGATGCGGGTCTCCTCGTAGCCGCAGTCGATCACGATGCCTGTGGACAGGCCGGTGAGGTATAGCGGCAGCAAAAGGTCCGGGACAAAGTGGATGGCCGGGACGGCGAGTTTCTCGAAGAGGACCTTGCTGATGGCCTCGCGCATTGGCCGCGGGGAGCAGACCTTGTCGCATATGATGACGCGGCGCTCCTTGGGGTTGGCTTGCAGGTAGAAGAAGAACACGTTCTTGAACAGCTCCTCAAACACCTGAACCCACCTCTCGAACGAAGCCGTCGACGTCACAGTGTCGGTTTTCACCTCCTACATCAATCAACAGAAAACATCAGCACATGGGAATGCACTCTTACACACAGAGGGGCTAAGGAAAATGGCCTTTTGGTCACCTGGATGAGCTCCGGTGTGCGGAAGATGTGTCGTGGTGCGGCCTCGGTGGCGAATCCGCATTTGGTGAAGGCCCGGCCGAGGTCTATCACTACGCACGTCTTCTCAACCGACCAGTAGTAATCCATCCCGGCACTCTCTCACCCGAAATGAGCGAAATGAGCGCCCCTTCTTTCTCGGAGGAGAGTTGCGAGCTCGAGAAGTTAAGGGGGATCGGATTCATCACTCTGCTTGCAAATCGTCTCCCAGATCCACCATTCGGCCTCAAACATGGATGCGTTTATGGTTTAGTGGCAGCAGTGGTATATCGTATCGACATATGAACATGTGCATGGACGCCAAGTACGTGTCATGGGTAGACAGACCAGACAGTCACAGCAGAGACAGCAGATCCACCACAGACCTGACACGCCAGGCAGACATCCACATAGAAGTGTCCGCCATGTCGTCGGCAGATGTGGGCAGTCCAGGCACAGACAGCCATGTGGGCATGCATGACTCGATTTAGCGACAACAGAGCACTCCTTCATTCAAAGTCTATCGCAAAAGTCTCACATGCGATGCATCGAACTATATATACACACGTGATGCACTGTTTCTGCTGTCTGTCTGCCTGTCTGCCTGTCTGCCTGTCTGCCTGTCTGTATCATTGTAGGATCTGCAGCAGGCGAGTGGCCTGTCGCTGCACCATGGGGCTCTGACTGCAGTTGACGTACTCCAACAACAATGGCCAACACACCGAAAACACCTGACACGCACCGACACGCATGGAACTTCTCATGTCAACCTCCATGTACAACTCGTCTCACTTGTGCACGCCTCGGCGAATGCGTAGCCAAATTCGCCAACGCCCGCAGGGCCTGCAACGTGTCCAAGGCATAGAAGAATTGCTTTGTTCAGAGTTTTCCCATCATCACCTCGGCCCTTGAGTCAGGCACAGCGAGCCCCCTCGACAACGCGACGGCAGCGTCTGCCTCGTGCAGCCTCTTGACGATGCCGTCAGGATGGTCACGCACGTGGCCCTCCAGCATCACAGACATATCTGCCGGCGATAAAGCAGTCGAGTAGATGCGGAAATCGCAGATGACCCCGAACGGCTCGTCTCCCTTGCGTGTGTTGCCGACGGCATAGAAGGCATTGTCGATCCACACAGAGGTTAGCGAATACTGCCAACCGTCGACACCGATCCTGGTGCCACCATCGGCCGAGGATACGACACTCACCAGGTGCCAGCCTTCCTGCAGCTGTGGCACGTCCACAGAGACCACCTCGCCATCTCTCGTGGTCACGCTCCACGCCCCTTCCCTGCTGATGGCCAGCACCCTGTTTCCCCTGATGCTCTCAACCAGGCAGTGGTCGGTGTCTCGCGACAGCGGCATGCGCACCCAGCACGTCATTGTCCACGTCATCGCATCTGACGGCCGGGATTTCTCGACTCTGCCGGTGCCGACGCCCGGAAGGCCGAGGGCGTTGGTGGGTTGCTCTTCTCGTAGCGGTGAGAATGTGTGTGGGAGGGAGTCGAATGTCTCGCTGGTGGGGGCGGCGATGAGGAGCCCTGGAGGAGCGGAAGGCTGCACACCGGACGGTTGGAGCTCTATCCAGCTGTTCTTGATGAAGTCAAAACCCCACGTGTCACCGAACATACCTAGACCTGACAATCAAAGGATGAGAAGCGATCAGTGGTGTTTCTGTCTCTTTGTCATTCCGTCACTCACCGATCGGCACGTGGACAGGCGAGCCCACCTTTCGCGGCACCAGCACACAAGCCGAGTCGACAGCCACCCCATGCTCCGTGTCCATCTTGAGCCAGCACACCAACGAATGATGGCCCCACAGCAGGTTGGCCACCAGGGCAGCAGCTTCCCTCACCTCCGCCATGACGCCTCGCGCCAGGACAAGCAGCACCTTCGACAAACAGCTGTCGAGCACCACCTGCTTGTAGGCTGGCTCGAGGGCCACACGAGAGAGCCACGAGAGACATGTGGTGGCTATGTAGGGCGAGGTGCACGTGAGCGCCGCGGTGGTGGTGAGGAAGTCCATCCGGAGCCTGACCAGCTCCCCCCTGATGAAGAGGGACCTGAACCGAGGATCGATGCGCGATGATATCTGCCCCTCTGCCTTCTCAGCAGCAGCAGCAGCAGCAACAGCAGCAGCGGGGTGACTGCCCGTTGCGGCTCTCTCGTCATAGTTGAACGAGGAATTCCGCTCCCATGCCTGCAGAATGGATGCGAAGAGTGTCATGAATGCCTCCCTCTCGCCCAGGAAGGAGTCCTCCGACACGGCCATCAGCGTGAAAGTGGCGAGGTTGGACACATGGGCTGACTGCGATCCCACCAGAGAAGTCAGGTAGGACAAGAAGTTCCTTTGGCCAGTGTAGCCGCCGCCGCCGCTGCTGCTGGCTATGTCATCGGTTCGTGGTGGGTATGGGGTGAGTGGGGCGAGACGGTGTAGGGGGTGGGTGGCCACGCTCGTGAGGCACCGTAGACAGCTGAGCTCCAACGCCTGTCTCACTACTGCGTCATCTTCATGAGGGAAGGACTGCTCCAAACTGAGAATGCCCCAGCTGACCATACACGCACACAGACATATGGAGATGAGGCATGAAGACAGACACAGATGTGCTCTGTAGTTACTTGCTGAGCAGCTGCCAGACGTCGGCGTCTCTAAGAAGTTGTTGGTTGTCTCGTGTGGTGGAGCACGCTGCGAGTGTGTCGAGCAGGAGTGAGAGCATGGCCAGTCTGTCCTCGCTGGTGTGGCCGTCATGCACGTGTGTGCGGTGCAGCAGCCACAGGACCTGGCAGCAGAAGAACCGAAGCATCTTGGCGTTCTCTGAAGCCACCAAAGGAAAAGAGACACGCAAGTGCCGTGATCGATTGGCGAGTCTTGTTTGTTTGTGCTGCTTGCCTGTTTGCCGCACTTCTGCTGTGTCCATCATCTGCCGAACACACCCTAAGGTGGCCTGCAGAAAACACATCAACCTGTGTGTTAGAGCTAGCGGATTGGTACGTATAAGTAAATGAATGTATCTCACTTGTCCGAGCAGGCTGTCGGGCATTGCGAACGCGGCACTCAAACCTGCACACATGAGAGACAATGACCAGAAGAAGAAGGCATCACATGTGTCCATTGTCTCACGAACCTACCCTTGATGCCCTCAGCCCTCGCGGCCCGCCATCTGAACTGGCTCAGTGGCAGCAGCAGCCACAGCGACAGATTCATGTGACACACAAACCGGTCAGCCCACCGCCTGTGCTCCTCTTCATCACCAGACGCCTTCTGGCACGGACTGGTGCATGGCGATGTGACCAGCCGTGCACCACCACCTGCACCTGCCTTGTCGCTGTCTGTTTGGTGTGGTTGGATGAGCGGGAGGGCTTTGTGTGTCCACGCAGAGCAGAGGGTGGCAACCACTGTCTGCAGCGACGAAGGCTGAGCGGCCGCCTCCAGCCTGCTGAGGACCTCATTGGGCGAATGACGTCTCAGCAGCCAGTACCTGTCATATCAAGAAACGGCAAGTGGACGGCATCATTTCTTTCTTTCTTTCCCTTCACTTACAGCAGGCGTGAGATCTCCGCGAGCACCTTGATGTCACTTGTGTGCTGCAACGCCTCCAGGATGACAGAGTACTCCACGCTGACACTGCTGCCGAATCTGACAAATGTGGCGAGCACCGAGGCACAGTACTGGATGGCTCGCAGATGCCTCTCCCCCACAGTGGCCGACGACTCGCTCTCCCTGTCTCCCCTGCTACTGCTGCCAAGCTTCCTCTTGGCAGCGACACACATGGATGGGCGGGAGGTGCGGAAGAATTGTGACAGGTACTCAAGGGCCCCTTGGTCTACAATAGGCTCCAGATTGTCCAGCCATTCGCTCAGGCGGGCGAAGCAATGCAAGACGAGGGCTTCCACCTGATGATCAGGATGGATGGATGGATGGATGGAAGGACGACACAGGAGAGGGATGCTTGAGCTGTCCTGCTTACTTCGGCCAGCTGCGTGAGCAGGAGACAGAGGGCGTTCATGGTTGTGGAGGACAGCAGAGACGGGAAAAACTCGGGAAAATCGGCCATATCGTTCAGCAGCCTGGCGGCGAAGACTTGGTGCTGCACAAAGTCGGCCGTCCTGGTCTGTGCATCGCTCTCCGGCAGTGAGAAGACGACAATGCGATAGGCGATGTCCATCTTGACCATCTCCTCCCGTGCCGCAGCCACCGAAAAGAAGCTCGACGCAACCTCCAGGCCGAGACGGCGCCACCCACGGCCAGGCCTGTCGCTCATGGCGCGGATGAAGCGCATGATGCCTTTGCACGGCTTGCCTGCAGGTGAGAGTACGGTAAATGGGACGGCGTGTGAGGCATGTGCTTTGCTGCCTTTGCCTGGATTTCACCTGCCAAGGTGCCTCCCTCGACCAGCTGTTGGTCATAGCTGTGGTCCCTCTCGTCGCGTGTTGTCACCTGCCCCTTTTTGTCGGCCAGACCTCGTCTCTTCTTGGCCTTCTCGAAGAGCTCACGAGTGGCCGCCAGCTTCGCCTCATCACCCATCTTCTCATCCTCGTCCAGCTTCCTGCATGCACAACAATCGCACCGGGAATGACATACTGAAGACGTGAATGACTGAACCTTACTCTAGCGTCCGCAGAAAGGCCAGGGGGCTCACGTCTGCCCGGAGCGCGGAGTGGCTGCCACCCATCTTGAGGGTGCGAGATCAGGGTCGTGGGGGCGCGATGCGTGCGGGGCGTGTTCGAGGCAGGATGAGGAGCTCGAGAGGCATCCTCAAAACAGCAAGGATCGCCCGTGTGATCTGGCCCATTGGCATGTAAGCGAACACTTGGCGAACACCACTCATCGCATTGTGTCATTCCGCATTCTTCGTGTGTTCAGCGGCGCTGTCGTGTTTCTGATCATCGCGCTGGTATGCCGCAATAGGGGTAGGCGGCTGAGGAGGAGAAGAAACCCCAACCAGGGAGCGGCGGCCGCCACAATCGAGCCAATGGAAATGACCTCTGCTCATCAGCAGGATGGGCGATATGACGCTTATTCTACCAGTCCTGGTGCTTACTACGGCCCTTATCCATCGGCCCCTCAAGTCGACACATTCAACAATCACCCATACGGCCCTGACGGGCAACCGGCAGCGGTCTACGGTCAGTGTCAAGACAATCCAATCCAACACTGATGTCTCCCCTCTTTGTGGGATGTGTCTGTTTGTGTGTGCAGGGAGCAGTGAGCAGGCGCCACACGGTGGCGGTGGAAGCAGCTACAATGACAATTACACTGACCCATATGGCTACAGACGAGACGCCCCACCGGCGTACTGACCATGCAATGACGTGTTGATGTTGATGCGGATCGAGAGCTGACGCAGCGCAGCAAGGAGATGCGGTCTGGGATCCAGCGTCGGCATCTGGAAACAGAAGAGGGGGGCATGCAGTGAGGGAGGGAGGACACACCGACCGTCTGCCTGTGTGTCTCTCTGAGTCGCTCTGTAGACCTATTTGTCATTGTGGTATTATGCTCAGACTCCATCTGTGGCCAAGTCAACTATCCGCTTTCCTTCCCCCCCTCTTGTGTGTGTTCGTCTCTCTCTCTCTCTCTCTCTCTCTCCGTCACGCAGAGATACATCCCTCAGTGTATGCAGTCATGTCTACACACGCAGTCATGTCTCCACACACGTACACACGTGCGCACGGTCCACACGTCTCCCAGCACACACATCGATCGGTCACCATAGCCTCCACATCCTTGCCTTGGCCTTGTGTTGGCTCTTGTTCCTCATCAGGAGCATGCACACCACATATTCGTCCCTCTCAGAAACCGACCCAAACACCAGATTGACCACCTCATGGCGCGGCGACAGGGGCGGGGCGCCCCGGGGCACAGGGGGCGGCCCCAGCTTCATGACAATCGACGCCGCCAGGCTCTCGGACGGCAGGCTGATGGGGATCTGGCCACCTTCCGCGAAGTTGTATCCGTAGTCTATCCGGTGCATCGACTCGAAAGGGAACTCCACTATGGCTCCTCTAATGTGGATCGAAAACACCTGCAGACAGAGATGGCGGTGTGTCTCCCATGCCCGTGAGTCTCCCGCATTGTATGTTTCCCCACGTACATCTTCACTGTGGTCGATAGTGCACAATCGGTAGAAGAGCCGCCCGTTCTTGCCCAGCTTCATGAGCAGCTTTCCCTTCCGCATGTCCTTGGTGAACTTGGCCAGCGCCGCCTTGAGCACCTTCTGGATCTCCCGCTTGTCTGCCCGGCTGCTCGCGCCCCGCGCCAGCGTCTCCTCCAGGCTTCGCAGACTCTCAGACGAGCCCTCTCTCGTGACACCCGCTGCTGTTGACGTCGATGCGGCGCCGGGTGAGCCGATGGGCATCTGGGTCCCTCTCTTCGGACCATTTTCACCTTCTATCCGTCTCGGCGTGCACAGGGGCGTCCCGAGAGCGCCCGTCTTCCTCGTGTCGCAGCAGGACATCGAGCACGACATTGTGTCCTGCACGGAAGCGTCTTTGTAGGAGTGCCTTCAGAACACCAGTCCTCGGTTGCGCCAGCGAATGACTCGGCTGCATGGCCCCCAGAGACGCCCCTCACCCGAGCTCGCACAAACAAATAATCCGTCGGATCAAACCAAGAATGGCAATACCAGCCGGAGGGAAGATCTGCGTGGCGCTGCTTCGTCAGACACAAAGCGACACCCGGCGTGTGTGGCTGGGCTGATTTTCGCATATCAACAAGATCCTCACCATGGCTGCCGAGATAGAGGAGTTCCAGCCCATGAACAAGATGTTCTGCTACCAGGTGACGCTCACTCAAACGATTGATTCATCCACGACATTGTATGTTTTTCTCCTTTTTTCTCCTTTAGTGCGAGCAGACGTCTCACGGCATGAGCTGCACCAAGACAGGCGAGTGCGGCAAGACGGCCGAGGTGGCCATGCTGCAGGACCTCCTCATCCACAAGCTCAAGGAGCTCAGCTTCTTCGTGGACGCATTCCGTGCCAACAAGAAGAGCATCAAGTTCGCCGACCAGCCGCCCTTCCCGTCTGAAGAGATGAGCGATGTGGTGGAGGTGCCGTTTGACGTCCACAAGATGAACGTCTTCCTCCTGGACTCCATCTTCGCCACCATGGTGAATGAGTGGGTGGGTGCATCGGAGGGGCAACCGACGCCAGATTACAGCAGAGAGTGCTTTGTGTCTGTGTGTGGCCCTTTGCAGACGAATGTGAACTTCGACGACGATCGGTTCATCGACTACCTGCGCGAGACGGAGGGCTACATCGCTCAGGTCAAGGCGGCCGCCAACACGCACCTCGGCCTGACCGACCAGTTCTTCGCCAAAGCATGCGGCAAACAATACAGACAGCTGCCCGTACGCCCACACACGCACGAAAACAGAGACCCTTTCTTCGACAGGAATGCACACCCACCATTATTCCTCTTCATGTGTGTGTGCGTCAGTCTCGCTACGCGTCGGTGTTGGCTGAGGGCGACATATTTGAGTTGACGGACATCGCCGGCTCGACGGGTGTGGAGCAGAAGCAGTATGACGTCGACAACGAGGATGTGGTAGGCGCCCAGGAGCTGGTCGTGTACGGTCTCAAAGGCGCAGCTGCATATGCCGCACACGCCCAACTCATCGGCAAGGAGGTGTGCTCGAAGGACAAGACAGCTTGATGCGGGATTAATGGAGGGACTGTGTGTGCCAGGACTCCTCTGTTTACTCGTTCGCCTACGAGGCGTTGGCCTTCCTCACATCGCCCGACGCCCTGGACCTCAGCAAATGCCTCGAGATGGCCCTCAGAGTCGGATCAGTCAGTCAAGCTTAAGACAAGATCGCCAAGATCGCACTTAAAGAAGTGTGTGTGTGTACGTGTCCCTGGCCGTTCAGATCAACTACTTGGTCATGAAGTTGCTGTCTGAGGCCAACGCCACATTTGGCGAGCCGGAGCCGACGGAAGTGCCCGTCAGACCCAAACCAGGTACTGTACCTCACACAAACAAGACAGCTCAGCTCAGCTCACGTTTTGTATGCCGAGCAGGCAAGTGCATTCTCGTCACGGGCCACGATCTTTCCATGCTGCACGATGTCCTCGAGGCCACCAAGGTCAGTCAGGCAGCCGCACACACACCCAGCCCAGCCAAAACACACCACACACATCAAGCCAGCGTTCCTCCCTGGCCCTTGGGTGTGTGTTGTGTTGTGTTGTCAGGACAGAGGCATCCAGGTGTATACTCACGGCGAGTTGATGCCTGCCCACACCTACCCCAAGCTCAAGGCATACCCACACCTTGCCGGGCACTTCGGGGGTGCCTGGCAGAACCAGCGACGTCAGTTCTCCAAGTTCCCCGGAGCCATCCTGGTCACGACCAATTGTCTCATGCCACTCATACACAAAAGCCCTTACAAGGTGCGCAGATTGCTTGTGCAGGGGAGGGAGGGAGGGAGAGAGGGAGGGAGGGGGACCCAGCCACCGTGTGTTTGTGTGTGTTTGTGTTGTTGTGTGTTCAGGATCGCATCTTCACGACGGGCGTGTGTGGGGGTGAGGACATCCAGCACCTCGAGAGCACCAAGGATCTCTCAAAGCTCATACAGGTAGGTCGCCAGTGCAGGAGTCTTCCCTCTTTATTCTATCGCTTCGCGCGCGTGTGTGTGTGTGTGTGTGTGTGTGCTATGCAGGCTGCCGAGGCGGCCCCTGGCTTCACTGAGGCCGACACCGAGTTCAACGTGCGTGACCCGGTGCAGAAGCACATGCCGCCCTCATTCCACGTCGGCCACAGCTACCAGTGGATCGTCAAGAACGCACAGACCGTCCTCAAACTCATCCAAGAGGGCAAGATCAAACGGTAGGTACCCCACCCCAACGCACACACCTGCATTGCACTGAGACCCGGCCCGCGTCTGTCTCAGGTTTTATCTGGTGGGTGGCTGTGACGGCTCTGAGGGCGAGAGATCGTTCTACACCGATCTGGTGAAGCAGCTGCCGCAGACGTCTGTGGTGATGACGCTGGGGTGCGGCAAATACCGAATCAACCACCTGGAGGAGGGAATGGGCAAAATCGATGGCACACTGCCCAGGTATATCGTCTGTCGAACGGATGGATGCGACAAACAAGAGAGGATCCTGGTCCGTGTTTGTGTGGGTGCAGGTTGTTGGATTTGGGTCAGTGCAACGATGCGTTCGGCGCGATCCAGGTGGCCCTCACGCTGGCAGATGCACTCAACTGCGGGGTGAGTGAAGGAGTGATGGAGGGAGGGAGGGAGGGAGGGAGGGGCCACCCATCCGCCCACCCATCGGTGTGTTGACCTGTGCATGTCTAGGTGAACGACCTGCCCCTGTCGATAGTGCTGTCCTGGTTCGAGCAGAAGGCCGTGGCGGTGCTGCTCACACTCCTCTTCCTCAAAGTCAAACCCCTCTACATCGGACCAAAGTACATACACACACACTCAGACACCCATATACACACCCGTCTCCCTCCCTCCCTCCCTCCCTCGGTGTGTGTGTGTGTGCAGGTTGCCGGGTTTCCTGACCAAGAACGTGTTGGATGTATTGTCTCGTGACTTCGGGCTGGTCCCCCTGGCCACCGAGCATGAGGTGGAGGCCAAGATGTCGCCGCCCGAGTGGGGCACTTTCCAGCAGCTCGTCTCACTCGCTGCATGAATCAACCATAGTGGGGGAGAGAGGGAGGGAGGGCCATGGGTCAGATGTGTTCGGCGCGTTTTCTCTGTGTTACTACCACCTGCTAGCTTTAGCTACGTGTAGCGGTCCGGCTTCTCGACCGACGAGAGGCAACCAATCACATCAGGGGGCCAGGTTGCACGGCCGCACGGGCTGTTTTTCCGGGTTTTAACGCTGCGTGCTACCGCCAAGATAACGCTTCCTTGTAGCAATTTTCTCGACGATCACAGCTGTTCCTTCCAATTCTCACATGCAATATGGCCGGCTGTTGGAGCATCCACTCGGTGTGTCGTGTGTGTATTTTTCTCCACGTAGGTAGGTGCGTGTGTACGTGTGTGCGTCGATTGTGCTGTGATGTGTATCATACATACATACATACGACGAAATCAATGAGTGAATCGCTCTTTTTCTACACACACACGGAATGGTGGGCGGATGGGCCCGTCTGCCTGTCTGCCAAGAATGTACGTGTTTGCGTGGGTGGGGTCCGACCAGAGTCGAGTGGAGGTGGGACAGTTGTATATATGTTGGTTGTGTTGTGTTGCCTTCGACGTTGATGAGGTGAGACAGTCACCTGTTTGTGTCTCATCCATACCATGACACCATACATACGCGCGATCAGAGCCTCCCTACGAGCAAAACGAGGAGGTTGGCGACTGGAGCGAGAGGCTTTTGGAAGGCCTCTCGCTCCAGTCACCGGGCGTCTTGTCCAGCTCGTAGGGAGGCTCTGATGGATTGACTGACTGACTGGACACGGCACACGATTCACTATACAGCAGCAGCCGCAGGGAGAGTTCCATGCATCGCATCGACCGGCCAAACAATGCGCCCAACACTCCACGGACACTCCCGCACACCCACCACACGCTGCCATACAGCTCACTCACTGAATTAGCCCCCAGCTGCTGCGACGCCATAGCTATCGGCCAGCGGCGGACCGGACCTGGGCCCTGGCTAGCCGGCCGCACTCGCGTCCATCATCGTGTCACCTATCGGGGTGGAAGTACTGGTTGATGGTGGGCTGCTGCATGGGCACCTTGGCCTTCTTGGCCGCCGCACCTTCACCACCAGGCAACTCCTTGCCTATCGACACACAGACACAAGAGGCGTCTATAAGTCTCTTAGCCCAGGGTGTTGTGGTTGGCTTGCTTGTGGCTTACGCTCTGGGAAGGGGAGAGGGAGAGGGACAAGCATGCACACATTGACAGATTGAGAACATACGAATGCACACACACACACACACACACACAGGGATGCTTATATATATCGCTGAGCGCCTGTTTGCTTACTTGGTGCCTTGGCGCCCTTGAGCCACTTGTCCTCAGCTATGCAGTCTGTCAAACCGACGGACAACCGTCACATACACACAACACATACACACCCACCATTGACAGACCCTCTCTCTCTCTCTCTGTGTGTGTGTGTGTTTGTGTGTTTGGAGTGACTCCCCCCACCACGACATCCCCCCCCGCCCACCGTGTTTGAGCTCGTGCTCGTACTGCTCTTTGGTCTTTTCCTTCCGGGCCACCATCTGCATGCTCTTGTACACATCTGGTCGATCGGTCGATCCACACCCACACACACAGACACACAAACGTACACACACACAGACACACAGGGAGGCAGGGCAGGGCTTGTCGGGTCTGTCGGGCATTCATTTATTCATTGCCTACCTTCGAGCAACTTCCTTCTCTGGTTTCTGAGTGGCTTGAATGCGCTCTCAATCTCGCCATTGTAGATGGCCTCGAAGAACCAATACAGACACCAGTAGCAGATGCTGGTGAATACAAGAGCACAGCAGGTGATTCATGTCACACACGAAGGGCGCGGCGGGTGGGGTGGCTGTCCTGTCCCCCACCCTCCTCCCTCCCTCCCTCCCTCCCTGCCTCCCTGCCTCTTTTCACCGCTCACTTGTCCAAGCCCCCCATCGGCCCGTGCTCCCTCATGAAGTCTGACACACACACACACACACACACAGAGAGAGAGAGAGAGATGAATGACAGCAAGGGAGGCTCATGCAGTCTGCACAAACAGCGTGGCACGGCCTAACCAACGCACCCTGCAGGTCCTCCAGGCGGACGTCTACGTCGGGGAATTTGTCCTTGAGGTGCCGCAGCAAGGCCTCAAACCCCTCCTTCGTACGCTCCAAATAACGCTTCACACGATTCCTGAACCACACAGACACAGTAGAGGACATGGAGAGAAAGAGAGAGAGAGAGAGAGGGGAAACTGAGTGCGTGTACGTGTTCGTAGGTACCGAATTTCCTCGCACGAGTCGAAAATGATATTCTTGGCCCCCTCGTCGTACACACGGCTGACACATGACCACAAAGACAGACGCGCGCATCGTCCATTTGTCCATTCATCGATCCGCTGCTCGCTGGATGGTCTTGCAGTCACTCACTTGATGGCCAGGTCGGCCTCTGCACACTCATCGGGCTGCCCCTTCGTCCTCTTTGCCACACCAACACCACCGCCGGCACCAATAGCAGCGGCCGACGTGCCCGCGCCCGCCCCATTCCCATGCGCCAGGCCCCTCGCCCGCCCATTCATCTGTCCCCTAGTGGCTGGCCGCCTCACATGGTCATCCGCCTCGTCCTGGTCGGACTCGTCGTGGTGGTGGCCGTCGCCCTCCTCCTCAAACTCCTCATCGTCTTCCTCATGATTCGGGTGCTGGTCATACCTCGCACCCCTGGCAAGCTGCTGCTGCTGGGCATAGGCACGGTTGTTGACGTACTGGTACGGCGCTCTGGCGAATGGCACCGGGCCATTGGGTCGGTGCTGCAGCAGCTGCTGCTGCTGCTGCTGCTGTTGCTGGGGTGGAGGGTACCGGAAATCACTCGGCTCCATGCCCTCTCCTTCGTCCTCTTCTTCCTCGTAGTCCTCCTCCTCCTCTTCATCGTAGTCCTCGACATCCTCGCCCTCCATGCCCTCCTGGTCCTCCTCTGGTGGTGATGGCCGTGGTGGGGGTGGGGGTGGGAGTGGCGGTGGGAGTGGGAGTGGCGATGGTCGGGGCAGTTGCTGCTGTGGCTGTGGTCTGTATGGGAGAGGGAAGGCGTAGGAGGGCATGCCCATGCCGCCTACAGCGAAGTGACGATGGTCCATACTTGATCGGTCGCACTTGGGGGTCACACAGACAGAGGCCACAACGATGGCACGACAAACAAATGAGGGCAGCTACCCTGAGCAAACAAACAAACAGACAGACAGGAGTCAGCTTCCGTAGCAAGGTTAGCCGTCCACGCTGCCCTGCCCTCACCTTGATCGCAGATGGGTCGTTCAAATCAGCTCAAAAGCACCTGCATCCCACCACACAGGCATAATAAACACACCTGCCAGTGAGCGTCACAACATAGGCACGTGTCCGTGTCCGTGCACACCATCCACCCACAGAACGAGGTACGTTCCCTCATGGTTTCTTTGGTATCTACGCCTCGCTACATCACCCTGGCTTTGCTCTCTTCAATCTGAGCTCGACGCGTGCAGCGCGGCGCCTTGATGGCACCCAGCAGGGAACTTACTCAGTGACGGCTCCGGAGACGTTGCTCTCGCCGAGTTGGAACGAGATCGTTTGTATCACCCTACAACGTTGCGATGGCCGTCAACACGTTGCCAGAGATCGTTCGATGACGCGAGCTACAAAGCTCGCAGATTTGGGGCGGCGTGTGTCTATTCCTGAGATGTTCGTGTCCTGGCGTCAGGTATCCATTGATCCTGTGGAGATCTACCGTGAGCTGATGAATCTATCGGAAGAAGCGCGTCAGCAAGGTCAGCAGACAGACAGACAGACAGACGCACACAACCCACGCCAAGTATGGACTGGACTCCATGCGTTGATCCCTGTCGTTCAGTGGTGTGTGAGTTGCTGGAAGAAAACCCTTCATTCAAGGCCGCCATCGCTGCCAAGATCCACCACGTCCTTCACGGTGCGTAGCGGCCCGTCGTGAGCCCAGAGCAGCCTGGCGAGGCGTCGCCATCATCCCACCAACCGTAGGTGGTCTTACGCGGTCCGTCCTTCTCAGCATCCATCCGATGATCCTCTTGGTGATTGATGGGTTTTTCTACCGCACGCTGCGGCTGGGGGTGGTGCTGGAGCTTGTGGGCTACGCGCTGGCCAATGTGTCCTTCATGGCCTATAGCGGGTCAGCTATTCCGGGGCCCTACATGCAGCAGCATCAGCAGGGAAGAGATGAGAGGGCGGCGGTTGATGCGCTGAGGTCGATTACGTGGCCATCGCTGTGGGGGAATCTCTTCTGGTGCATGGGTGCAGTGTGCATACTCTGCTTCCAGGTGGGTGTGTCAAAGGCAGGCGCCCAAGACTTACTTGCACAGAGAGGCAGCTGGTGGGTAGGTGTTGTGTGTGGTTTGCAGGGCAAGGTGTCGTCATGTCCCTCGTGCCTTTCGCCCCGTTACCGATTTGGCGCCCACCTGCTGCTGATTGCCGCCCTGTGTGACCTGGTGTGGACGGCCACCAACCTCACCGAATACACGCTGGCCGTGCCTTTCCTCCATGCGCCAGAGCAGCTGACGGCGGCCTTCCTGCGGCGGGGCACCATGATCATGCTCGAGATGTTTAGCAACTCATTCGTGGTGATTCAGAGCATCTTCTACGGCATTGCTGTCTACGTCCTGGACGTCACACATCGGGACAAGACCCCCTGTGTGGGCCTGTCGTCTGTGCTGCTGGTGGTGTGGCCCCTCTCTGGGGTCAGCGCGCTGATTGCCGCTGTCGTGCCGGGCACCTGGGGTGAAAGTGTCTTTGGGCGAGTGTTCTTCGGTGGGTACTTCTTTGCTGTGTTGGTTGCGCTGGTGGGGACGGCTGTGTGGGGTTTTGTGTATGAGCCCCGTGTCAACAGGGACTGTGCGGCGGAGAGTGAGGCGGGGCTTATCGATGACAATTTGTGACCGTGGAGCTGTGTAGCTAGCTAGATGTGTGCAAGATGGATCGGATGGATGGATGGATGGAAGACTGTCAGGCATATTTGTTGATGCATCAATGCAATGGTATCAGTCGTTATTTATTGTGGACCATTGTCACCCATCAGTTGTCACGGGTGTACTGTCATCGACTGGCATCATGTCATGTATGTCTCGTTGATTGGCTCAATCACTCAGACGTCTTGCTTGTTCGCTTCAGTGTCCTCTCTGGTCGCCGGCCGATACAGATAGATGATCACCAGACCTGACGACACACACACACACGTTCACACATGCACACACGTGGCCGGCTGTGTGCTGACTGACCTGGCAGCAGCGACAGCACAGCGATGGCGGTGAGTGACAGAGTGACGCCGAGCCGATCGAACAGCAGCGCAGTGCCCGCGGCCAGCACGATGGTCGACAGCACTTCTGTCAGCTGCACCACTGACAGGTTTCGCGCCACGAACGTTTCACCAAACTCGTCGCCCAGGGTCGCCGACACTGACGCCAGTGTGCCTGCACGACATTCATACACAACACACATGAACACTCGTGACACACATATATATTGGATGTCTGTGTGGTTGACCTGTAATGGCGAAGAAAATCACGAGGATGGCGGCGAAGTAAAGCGCGATCGACCCTAAGAGGCTCGAGGCGACCAGACCAGCTGGCACACACATAGTCATCAGAGTACACGTGTGCACCTGGCGTGAGAGACAACACACCTGCGCCGACGAGGCATGCGATGAACTTGCCGCCGATGGCCGTCCGGAAGCTCGATCGCTGCTGCAGCTCGCCAAACCTGCACCACCGTCCACACACCACACACAAGAGCATTCCTGTGTGTACGATCAATACGAGTGTGTAGGTGGACGGCATCACTTACGCCACGCGTCCGATGCCAGCGAGAATGGCCGAGACACTGTGGAGACACTGCACGATCGAGCGCCAACACAGATTCGGCACCTTGGCTTTGCCTGTGTAGCCGATCTCTGCAGCCAGCTGATTGGCGCGCTGACTGCCGAACACCTCCTCGACGCTCCTCTCGCCGGGGGTACTGCCGGTCCCTCGCAGCTGGAGCTGGAACTGGCCCCTGTTGCCCTTCCTGCACGAGACAGTGATAGGAATGGCACTCCATTCCCTCGATTTGATGGCTGACGTACTTGACGAATCGGAGTTTGCCGCTCACACCCGTGACGTACGTGGCGATCCAGTTTGGGTGTCTGTTGTACTCTGCCACGGGTGGGAGCGTCCTAGCGAACTCAATGCACTCGGTGAGTGTGGCCAGGGGCTGCAGACACACACCTCGCGAACAATCAATGAGTGAGTGTGGACCGGTGTTTGCGTACCGTGCGAAGAACGCTGATTTCTTTGAGCACCTTGCCGTCGCGGACGACCTTGAGTGACTGGCCTCGATACAACGATATGCCCAGCCTTTCTCGCTTGGCCTCATGCAGCAGCTTGTAGAACTGCACGTGCTCTGTCAGTGACGACTCGGGTGTCACTCGGGGGTATCTGCATCGAGTGACGGGTGTGCGAAGGGCCTCGGGGTCGATATTCTGCAGCCAACGCAGCTTGGGGAGATTGATACCGCGCAGCCAGACTGACATACAAAAGCACACAATGTCCCCCTCCTTCATGTCTGTGTGTCGTGTTCTCCCTATCTCACGTACCCATGCGGTTGAGGGTGGGCTCGAGCTTTGATTTGAACTGTGGCATTGTGGGGTCATCAAGCAGTCGCACCAGCAGAGCACCGCTCATCGTCTTTTTCACACCTCCTTCGGACACACACACACACCAACACACCGATGGTGTCGTGTGGGTGTCTCGTGCCATGAGGGTGTACCGAGACATGAGTTGGCGCTGTGGCGGGGGATCAGTGTGATGACTCCCCACTTCTGTGTCCTGATCCTTTGAGGGCCCCGCAGGCTGTAGTTGTACACGAGGTGCGCTTCCTTCAGCAGCGCCGCATCGATCGCTGACTGGCGGTCTGCTGGGCCGGTGATGGCTTGTGTGAAGTAGATGGTGAACTCCACCTCTCCGCCTGATGCGATGAGGGGAATGATTCTGTACACATCACACACACACAGACACCCACGCACCCCACCATAACGCACTGCAGTGACAGCTAAGTGCGAGTGAGCGCTCGTCTTCATACTTGTTGAAGTCGTGTGTGTTGATTTTGTCCCACTGGCGGGCAGAGATACACGACACCATAGCAGCGACTCGGGCTGGGTAGTCCAAACAACTGGCTCATCACGCAAAGAAACTGATGTGTTCTTGCTTCAGTGATGTGTCTTGGTTCGCTGACCGATGCAGTGCGTATCTCGAGGCGGGGCTGGACTCACCAAAATAATGGTGCCAGATCGTTTTGTCGCCGTCTGCCATGCGGAGTGTGATCCTCGCGACGTGACCGTAACACACTGCTGCCGCGCCCACACGCCTGCAAAGAGACACACATACACACATACACACACCCGCACATACACGGATGGATGGAATGGGCAGTCTCTCTCTATCTATCTGTCTTTGTGTCTCATCGTACCGGAGCAACCGACGCGTCTTGCGTGGAAGCGACGCCTCACGGTCCCTGCAGGCCTGCCACACCTTGTTGGCCGTGTCGGCGTTCGAGTTCTCGATGATTTGGTTGTAGTAGGCCTCAAACTCACTCGGGTCGGTCAGGACGGTTTGGCCACACAGACGCGGGCTCTCCATGAGGGAGAAATGACATCGACGCTTGAAGTCCGCAGCCGAGGTCACACCCCTGACGCAGACAGCACGCCCATGGGCTGGGAGATGTTTCACTGTGTGTGTGGGTGTGTCACTGACCTCTTCTTGTTGATCTCGGTGGCGGTGTGTGTGTGTGTGTCGGTGTTGTCTGCTCGGTGTTTCTTCGTGGCGGGCGGGTCGGTCGACAGATCGAACTCAAACTCACTGAACCCACACACACACACAGAGACATGTCACGCCTGACATGTGCGTGTGTGGAGGTGCCTGGCATGACATACGTCGTGTCGTCGTCGCCATTGTCGTCTTCCTCCACCATCAGGTCGTCCTCTTCCTCCTCCTCCTCCTTGTCCACATCCTTCTCCTCGTCGCCACATCCTTCGAAGGCAAAGAACTCACGCGAGAGGGCGCCCTCGAAGTGATGCTCACGCACGAAACGGCTGAGACACACCACACACACACGCAAAGACATACAAGTGAGACACAAACAAGTGACCCATGCTGTCTTACCTCGCTCTGGACAGTGCATGGTCTTTGAGGTTGTCGGCCAGACGGGCACGAGCATTGTTGATGTCGGTCTTGTCGCGGAGCAGTGTCGGCAACGGGATAGCCGGAAAGTCAAAGTCGACAGAGTGTGTGGGGTCAGACATGTCGCGGGCGGACAAAGATGCACAGGGAGCAGACGGGACGGGCCTGTCTCCAAAACAGTGCGGACGGGTGTCTTCTCTGTTTGTGCGCGTGTCAACAATTGACAGAGCGAATCAGATTGCGAGAGTGTGAATCAACGCTGGCAATCAGTGCTGTCAGTCAGTCGATCGACATATATTATGTATTTGTGTTGATACATATCGATGTTGCACTGTTTGACACAATCACGCGTGTGCACTGGATGAGCTGGCAGGCATAGGCACATCTGGCACGATCTCACTCGGAAACACGCACACGACGCCCCTGCAGACAAACACACAAGAAATGTCCTCACTCACTCAAACAAAGGGACATTCACACCTAAGGCCGACATGGATTCGGGTCTTTGGGGTCTCGTCTGTCCATGCAAGGCCAGTGTGGCTTGCCCACGTCACTGCAAACGAGTCTACACGAGACAGCCGGACACATGGGTATGACGAGTGAATGCGCGTGCAGACCCACCTAGAGCTTCATCAAAAGTGGAGAATGCCTCGATACTGACACAAAACGGTGACAGAGGGAGATAAACAGCATGTGCGGGTTTTCCTTTGCCACACCACACACCTTATTCTGTCATCAAACGAGGGGACGCCATTCGTATCGACACGGCACGACGCCACCTAAAGGAGAACTGGGACAGTCACTCCGACACAGCGTGTGGGACATACGCACCTTGTAGCAGGTGGCGGCATGTGCATCGGGCCGCGATGACGGCAGCTCCACCAGCTGCAGATGCTGCGACTTGCTCAAGCTCCCTACACCAGAGCGGCAATGTGACGATCAGACAATTACACCTCTCGTCACGAATTACCGTCGATCAACAGACAACGATATTCAAATCCATCAGTACTGCGGTACACGCGGCCGAACGGGACGAGGCTCTCGGCTGTGAAGCTGAGCTTCTGCAGGCTATGGCTAACATCGGAAACGGCATCTACACACACACACACGCGATAATCCTCTGCAAAGAGTGTGTTGGTCTGGTGAACTACGTACCAACGTCATCGTCGAGGACGGGCTTGAGATGGTTGAGCCGCCCCCTATCTTCGTGCGGCTCCTTGTTCTCGTTCTTGTCGCCCCCACCCTTCCGTTTCTTCCCCTTCTGTGTGTGCCTTGTCTTCTCGTCCCCTGCTGCAGCGCCGGAATCAGATGCGGATGCCGCCGCTGCCGAAGCCGAAGGGTTTGCGGGGCCACCAGTCTCGAGGGATGGAGGGGCGGGGGCATCGACGTCCATGTGCTGCTGCACGTTGCGGCACTGTGGACAGAACCAGTCACCTTTCGGCACAGTCCGCAGGCCCCCGCAGTAGGTGTGCAATGCATGCTGACACTGGCCCTCCCCCCCACTGCACAGCAGCAGCAGATGCTCATACTCGTCAGTCCGACACTCCGTGCAATACCCAGCAGCTGACAGAGAAGGACACAGAGGTAATCAATTCGTGACAATCTGTCACGTGAAGCCCCCACCCGTGTGATCAGGTGCCATATGGTTGCTATTCTGGCGCAAGTGAGGCCATTGCTCGAAGAACCGACTGAGAAAATACGTCTGTGCCGTGAGTGCCCTCTGCACCACGGACTGTGTGATGGGATCGTCGCTCGTATTGTATCTGATGAGTGACATGAGAGATGCAGCCAGTAGATCTGGGTGAAAGCATCCCACCTGTGACAGTTGTCGAACATGAGATCCATATCTGCTTTGAATTCGGAAACACTGCCATAGGCGCCGGCACCGAGCTTCTTCTGTGTGGGAAATGACATGGGCAGTGTGATAGATCCATCCGTCAGCGGCATCGCACCTTCATGTCCGTCAGGCATATCGGCTTTTCGATCAGCAATGAGTAGAATGGGGCGCGGTCATCCGTGACAGGGTCCTGAAAGTCGGACCACGTCTTGCCCGAAAGCCCATTCAGCAAGGTCGTCAAACGACGGTTGTCCTCCGAACTCAGGCTCATGATGCCTCGTACACCTCCATCCACAACCCCCACGCGCCCCCAGTCTCCCCGCCCCCAGCCTCCCCCCCTGCCGCACCACGCACCATTAGGCCGTTTCCTTGCTGCGCAGCGCCTCGATCCTGAGCTCGAGTCGAGCAGCGAGTCAAGACAATCACTCTGATCTTGTCTTGACTTGTGTCGTGTGCGTGTGTGTAGTGTACAGTACATGTGTGTCTGTCGATCAGAAGACTGAAATCGCCACCCATTCATATCATTCAGCCTATCCGTTCACTCATTCACTCATTCACCAGTCATTCACAATCATTGACTGACTGACTGACTGACTCGAACGAACGAACAGTCGTCAGTCAGTCAGTGAGCCAGTCAGTCAGAGAGCGTCCCTCTGATCGGCACCGCCAGCTATGCACACCACTCGCGCCAATTTTAACGTAGCCATCCAAACAGACAGACAGACAACCCATCACCTAATTGACATTCATTCATTCATTCAGCGAGTGATGCAATTAAGCCAAGCCCTTCATAGCTCCTCGAGGTCGAAAGGGTCGATTGGCGGGAAGTCGCCCACCGCCACCTTGTCCCGCCGAACGAAACAACCATAGTTGGGACGGCAATCGAAATACCTGCATAGCACATGTGACACACAACGATGGAACGAACAGTGGGTCGCCTCGCCTCGCCTCGCCTCGGTGTGTCGATCGATCCATTGATCACCTCTTGCCGTTTTTGGTGCCGTCGTTCTTGCCCTGCGGCTCGTCCAACTCAACGCCGATGTAGTTACCTGCAGGTCAGGCATACACACACCTTGTCTTTCGTACGGGAAATGCAATGCATGACCTACCTGTGCCCCCTTCTACTTGTCCCACGTAAGCCACGCGTCCCCTTCGCCCGCCGGGCTGCACCTCACACCGACTGTCGACCTGACAGACAGATGCACACATGATTGGCAGGAACATGTGTGTAGGTGAGATGGTTTGTCGTTCTTACAGGGTAGTCTTGTTTGAGCTGCTCCAGCGATTCGGCTGGCTCTTCGGATGATGCATCGCCCTGGCTGAAGAGCTCGGGGCGGGCTGCCTGCATCCTGGCTTTGAATTCGCGCATGGTGCCGCTCCTCTTGGCGTAGTCCTCGTCAGACATCGTGTACTTGGCCACCTGCACACATGTGTGTGTGACATAAACCGGACACAGACACTGCGCGGCTGGCTGGGCTGACCATTTCAGTGTGTTCGAGCCCCCCTCCCTTAGACAGCGAGTTGGGGTCGGTGTCGTCGATGTGCAGCACCAAACCAGGCTCAATGCCATAACGCCTGTGCCGTGCCATCCACCAAACACATGCCACCCATCCACTGTCTGCGCTTTGCTCTGTGCCGCCGGTTTGGACATACTTGAGTTGTGCGCTGTCGTCATCGAGGGGTATCTCGAACTCTCCGGTAGGGTGCTGGAGAGTCAGCTTCATCGAGGCGGGCGGAGTGCCCACCATCCGATACAAACGCTCCTTGATCTGCATGCATAACATGTGCTTGACAATGGTGCGTGAGGCAGGGACTCCTGCCGCTTCTCGCTCTCTTCTGATCACCTGCTCGATGGTATGCTCCGGGTCCAGCCGGATCTCAGCCCACCGCTACAGCGTACGTCCATAAAGATGAATGAATAGGTGGATGCAGGATGGACGCCATCATGGTGCCGAAGTGAAGTGCTCACGTGGTTTTCGAAGTTGCTGTGTGTGATGTCGAGAGGCACCAGCGCACAGCCGCCGAGCGGACGCTGCAAACTGTCCGCCATCTGTTCTACGGTGAGAGGGTGAGCTACAGCGCCACCGCAATCTCAGAAAGAGGCTCGCAAACACGAGCCATTCGGAAAGAGTCGCCTCGTCTAGTGCTTTGGAAAGGTCTTCATCCAATCGCTGCTGTCCGCTTTCGAGCAATTGCTTTCAGCTCTGAGACCGTCCATTCAGCGGGCCCCTTTCTCTTGAGGGCGGCGTGTGAATTTCATAGATCTCCTCTGGGGTTTGCATTGCAGCGCGGCACCCGAAGCCTGAGGGAAGGCCAGGGACCCATCGCATGGCATTGCGGCCCGTCCGATGGTGTTTTCATAGATTGCTCATACGTTTGCTCATCGCGTTGGACTGAGTGCGGCCGATGTGGGCTGAGGATAAGGAGAAGGACAGCACCAACAACTGCAAGGTGAGGGGCAGTGCCAGGCACACGGACTCACGGGCCCATCAATGATTTGGTGCGCTTCTCTTCTTCGCTTGGTTTGTGTTGTGTTCAGGTAGCGATTCGTGTGCGGCCTCTGTTTGCGCAGGAGAAGCTGCTCGACAACACGTACTGCCTCGAATGCGACAGTGAGTGCAGCCACACACATGCACACGACAAGGGACGGACGAACACACGCGCCCATGAATGGCTTCCCCCTCTCTCTGCCTCCTTCCATGCATTGTGTGTGGTGTGTCGATCAGCGCTGCGGAATGTGGTAGTGTTGCCGGGTCAGGAGAAGAGCTATCAGTTTGACAAGGTACTGGGGCCCACCAGCCTGCAGAAGGAGGTCTACGAGTCATGTGTAGAGCCACTCGTCCAGTCAATATTCGAAGGTGGGAGGAACGAATTCAACCAATGTATGTATCTGCCCATCCATCCATCTCTCTCTCTCTCTCTCTGTATGTCATGTCATGCAGGGTACAATGCCACTGTGTTGGCGTATGGGCAGACGGGCAGCGGCAAGACGTACACCATGGGCAGGTGGGCGGGCGGGAAGGAAGGACAAAAACAAACACGACACGATCGGCAGCGCAGCGGTCGAGACGAGACGTCATGTCTTGTTCGTGTTGGCAGCGCGAGTTACATCCGCCACGATGGGCTGGAGGTCGGCATCATCCCCAGGGTTATATTCAGGGTGAGGTGACCAACGTGCGCATCCATCCATGTCTGCCCTGCCCACACACATCCCCCTTTGTGTTGTGTGTTGACAAAGGTGTACGAGGAGATTGTGCGCAAGAGGGATGAGCTGGACTTCTCCGTTACCTGCAGCTTCCTCGAAATATACAACGAGGAGATTAGGGACCTCCTCGACCCTGAGACCGTCACCAACCCGCTCACATCCGCCGCCGCATCCACCAACCCAGCCTCGAGGCAAGACGAGTGTGGGTGGATGCGATAGATCCTTCCATGATGGGTGGGTGAATGCCCGCTGCATGTCTCTCGCTTGTTGTGCAGTGGGACGGCTGCCTTCGGTCGGAGCGCCCTTAAGGACACGGCGTGAGTAAACATCAGAAATGCATCCACAAGCCGCTGCAGATGCGACATTTGTCCGCTTCTGTGCGTGTGCATTGCTGTGTGATTCAGCAAGTCGATCCGCATCTCTGAGGACCCCCAGACGCACCAAATCATGGTTGTCGGGGCCACAACACTGCCGGTGCGCAACACGACATGGGGACAGGACCGAGATGCTGTTGACACATACATGACATCTGTATATCAGGCCGAGCGTGCTGAGGACCTCCTCGCCTGCCTCGACCGGGGATGCGTCTGCAGGAGCACTGGTGGGCATGGCATCCATTGTAGCCCCAAATGCCCATATCGAGAGAATGAGACACCACATCGTCCTGTCCTGCATTGTCTGCCTTCATATTCGTTTCAGGTGCCACCCAGATGAATGCCGTGTCGTCCCGCTCCCATGCCATCTTCACGATCAGCATCACGCAGAAGTCCAAGGCAGCGTACCCGCCCACCAAGAAGGCCAAGAAGGATAACGACGCTGACATGGAGGGGCAGGGAGAGGCAGCGGAGGGCATCGAGGCCGACGGCATGCCGCCACCACCTCCCGGACCCGAAGACCCAACCATATTTGACTTCAGAAGTGAGGAGAGCAATCGATGTTGTCGTGTGGTATACACATGCACTCTCTCGGCGTGTGTCCTCAGTGTCCAAGTTCCACTTTGTCGATTTGGCTGGGTCCGAGCGCGTCAAGAGGACGCAGGCGACGGGCGGGCGGCTCAAGGAGGGCATCCACATCAACGCGGGGCTGCTCGCACTGGGCAACGTCATCTGCGCCCTCACTGAGGAGCCCAGTGCCGATGGGGCGCACCACCATGTGCCCTACAGAGACTCCAAACTCACGCGCATCCTCCAGGTGACTGACACGCTGACCGATGGGCCGTCCTGACACTCGGCAGGCTGTTTGTTGTGTCTGCAGGACTCGTTGGGTGGCAACAGCAAGACAGTGATGATCGCGTGTGTGTCGGGTTCCCAGGCGGACTTCGCCGAGACGTACAACACCATCAAGTACGCCTCGCGCGCCCGCAACATCAAGAACACGCCGGTCATCAACCGCGACCCCACGGCCGCCCTCATCGAGGGCTACAGGCAGCAGATACTCCAGCTCACCAACCAGCTGATGCTCTGCAGACGAGCAGACGCCAAGAGACGCCTCAGCGGCCTCCCAGAAGAGCCGGGCGTCGAGTACGGGGAGGCGCGGGGGCCGTCCGGCATGACGCTGAGTGAGCTGGAGGATCGCATGAAAGCCATGACGGGTCAGCTGCGGCGGGCTGAGGACGACAGGAGTGCGGCCGAGAGGGGGCGGGGTGCGGTGGCGGCCCAGTTGGAGGCGCTGCGTGAGTGGGTGGAGGAGCGGGGCATGCAGGTGCCGGATGAGGTCATCGCAGACAAGGAGAACACACTCAAGAGGGGCCTAGAGGACGTACACGCTCTAATGGAGCAGAAGAGGGTGAGTCAGTATCACGATTGGCGGCAACATGGTCTCCATGGCTGTGTGTGGATACATTGTCACCATCAGGCTCTCGAGTATCAGGTGCAGGATCTTCGCTCTCGTCTGGACAGCACGCAGCACCGGCTGGACGACGCCCACCGTCAGCTGGCGGACAAGAGCAGCACCGCTGACAACCTGCAGACTGAGCTGGCCGAGTACAAGCGCCGCCTGGCACTCTTCAAGACGACACTCGCCAGCAAGAAGTCCGCCCCAGACCCAGCAGACACCGCACAGAAAGACGACACCACCCTCACCGGCCCCGCCAAGCCCGTCATTCATCACGTGCCCCGCTCGTCGTCCTTCCCCCCTAACCCCCTCGAGCAGCAGCCGCAGGACGATGCTACTGCAGCTGGTGGTGGGGATGAGGAGAAGGGAGACGACAAAGATGAGGACGACACTGCCATTGAGGGTGAGGTCGGTGGTGGTGCTGCGGCGGCGGCCAAGATGGCGGAGGCGGAGCGGCGGTCCACGGTGGACATGTCCAAGCTGGAGGCACTGGGGCTCAGCCAGGATGAGGTCGATGACATACTCAACGCGCCGCCTGAGGAACAGAGTGCTGCGCTGGGCATACTTGAGGTACGTAGATTCACATTCGCACGTGTGAACGGCAGGGCGGATGGATAAATGTGGGGTGCTGTGTGTTCGTTGGCTTTGTTCAGGGTTGTTCTGATGCGTTGGCTGAGGAGGCATACCTGCGGGACAACCTGAGGCACCTCGACAACTCCATCGGACAAAACGAAACCCTCCTGCAGGCACGCACACAAACCCACACGACAACCAAGCACACAACACATGCCTCTCTTTGTGTGTGTGTGTGTGTGTGTGTGTATGTGTGCAGGGTTACAAGGCCGAGAACAAGAATTGGGATTTGTTGTTCAGCGGTTTGGTGAGTCAGATCACGGACCTGCAGACGCAGCTGCGCGAGATGGAGTACCAGAGGGAGGAGATGAAGGCCAAGATGGACAAACTCAAAAAGACCAACCGCGAGAAGGACCAAACAGAGCTCAAGAAAATCGAGGTGTCCTTCCAGCAGACCATGAGAAAGGTCAGTCAGCAGCTGCACTGACATGCGCCATCCAACCCATCAGTGTGTGCCCGTGTCGCTGATCTCTCATTTAGGTTGACGATTACCGTCGTCAGATAGCCCAGTTGCAGCGTGAGCGCGACAGCATGCACCGCAAGAAGGCCGAGAGCGACGGGCAGATCGCCAAGCTCTCCAACGACCTCACCAAACTCAAACAGGAGAGGGCCAAAACCGCCAAAAGACTGCAGGAACAAGAGCGCAAGTGAGCCACCAATCCATCTCTCTCTCTCTGTCTCATGTTTGTGTCATGGTTGGTGTGCCTTTCCACCTGTCAGACACCGTGACATATTGCAGAAGAAGGAGCAGACGATCTCGCAGCTCAAGCGGCGGGAGCAGCGCCAGCGGGCCGAGCACCAGCGCCGCGAAGACCGCGACAGGCAGCACGTCCTCACCCTCCGCAAGAAGAACGAGGAGCTCTCGCGCCGCATGCGCGTCATGGAACTCATGCAGGAGCGGCGCATCGGTGCCAGGAGACACAAGCAGCAGTCAATCGTCAGTGCCTCACCGACACAGCAGCAGCAGCAGCAGCAGCCAGGCATAACAAGCACCACCACGGGCAGCACAGGTACAAGCAACATCCTACGGTCGCAGAGTGGCGCGCTGCCGTCGACCAAGTCCAAGCGGGGCGACGACAAGGCCGACAAGGACGACATCGAGGATGGGTTCACGAAGGAGATGAAAGCGTGGCTGCGGAGCGTCATCGAGGGCAAGGTCAAGTGGCGGGCCATTGAGCAGCAGCTGGCGCAACTCAAAAAGGAAGAGGAGGAGCTCGCCGACCAGGTAGGTATACAAAGAGGGAGGCGAGCAGTCGGAAGGAACACCGCACGAGTGAGTGAGTGAGTGAGTGTAGTGGTCTGCGCGTGTGTGATCGTCAGATGTGTGAGCAGCAGAAGCACCTTCGCACCGTGGAGCTGTCACTGCAGATGCACGGGTGAGACACTCGCACACACAAGCGGAACAAATGAGACCAATGTGTTGATGCGCTTGCTATTGTGCGCAGTGGCACTGAGTCTCGCATGGAGGTCATGTGGCGTCAGTGGAACGACGCCAAGGACCAGCTCGACACATACACCGAGGAACTCAGCTACAAACGCAAAATGATCAGAAAGCAAAAGGCAAGCCCAACACACACACCTGTCAACCTCTCACAAACCGCCAACCAGCGCGTGTGTCTCCCCTCTTTCCCTCCCTCTGTGTGTGCGATGCAGGATGAGTTGCGGAATGCGCACCTGAGCGAGGAGGACATTCTCAAGACCTTCCAGCAGAACATGGACTTCTTCGCCAAGGTCAGATGAATGACGGGCATCACATCAATCACTCCCACGCACGGCCATCACGACCGTTGCTCAGATCTTCCTGGAGGAGCTGCTGGATTCGCGTCTTGAGGAGCGCGGCGCCACCAACCGCGTCATCGAGCTCGAGGGCGAGAACCAAGAGATCCAGACGCTGCTCGGCGAGCTCAAGAAGGCCAACGAGGTGCTCAAGATCGAGAACCAGCGACAGCACCTCGACCTGCAGAAGAAATTCAACGAGGACAAGCTGCTTCTCATGGACTGGGCCCTCAGACGCAACGCGTCACCCATGCCAGACTCCACCGGACCCTCGACCGTCACAGGCAAGCCCGACAACCGCACACCCGCTTTGCCCAAGCGGCGGTGGCTGGCGAGGCGAGGCCGCGTCCTGTTTCCCGGTGCGCTCAGCGGCAAGGCCCCGCCCCCCTCCGCCCGCAAATTTGTCCGTCGGGAGACCAGCAACGAGAGCGAGACCCCCAATGCATCCCCCGACAAGCGCAAGGGCGGCAAGAGGGAGGACCGACCATTCAGCCGCATCATCGAAGAGGCCGCCAAGAAGGAAGAGGGCGAAGCCGAGGCCGAGGCACCAGCAGCAGAGGAGGCAGCAGAGGCAGCAGCCGAGCCAAAGCCGCCACCGACGGTCGAGACGGCCAACAAGAAAGAGGGTGAGGTGTTCCTCTCTCCCGTGTCGGTGTCGGCCAAGCCGGATCTGCCTTCTGCTGCGGGCGGCGACGAGACCCCCAACCCCTCTGAGGTGTCTGGGACGCCACCTGCGCCGCTACCTAGGTCGCCTGAGGACGAGGAGGAGGCTGAGGAAGCCGATGAGTATCAGGAGGTGGTGAATGCCTCGACAGAGGAGATAGAGGAACTGAAGGAGAGGGCGCAATTCCAGTTCGAACAAATCGAACTGCAGCGGTAAGTGAGCCTCGCCAGGGAGGAGACGTCGATGTGTACATTTGTGTGTGTGTGTGTGTGTGATGTGTGGCTGCAGTCAGCGGATAGAGGAGCTGACGCTGAATGAGGAGAACTACCGTGCCGAGAAGGAGGAGATGGACATGCAGCTCGCACAGAGGGAAGAGGACATCCGGCAGCTCAGGTACACACAGAGCACAACCCAACCACGGACACCCTCCCTGTCATCCATTCTCGTGCGTCTCTCATCCATTTACTCCTCAGAGCCCAGCTGGAGGCCGAGCAGGCCGCCCGCGAGAAGGAGCGCGAAGCCTACAAGAAGAAGATGCGCGCCCTGCAGGTGCCCGGCGGCAGTGCCACGTCCGCCTCCCCCCCAGGCAAGGCCCACTACCCCTTCCGCAAGGGCTTCACGGGCATCAACCCCTCATCCCCGCCAAGATCCATCTCCCCATGGCAGCAGGAGGCGCAGACGGCCGACGACACCTCAGCATCCCGCCAGTCGTCGTTCGCCACGCCTGCACTGGGGTCCTCACAGGCGTCGGAGAGGAAAGACGAGCCTGTGTCGCTGTCGGCTGCGTACGATGACGGCGACGGCAAGGGCGGAAAGCAGAGGAGTGGGGCTGTCAGGTCTTATGAGACGGCCCGGTCTCAGGACACCTCGCAGCGGGGGGAGGAGGAAGCGGCAGCCACGCCGACGGTCGAGGGAGAGGGGGATGATGGGCCATGGGAGGAGAGACGCAACCTCAGGATGGCCAGGCGGTCGCTGTCTGATCCTAACCTGAATGAGCCGAGTGAGGCCAAGAAGGGGTCGGCGACGGGGTTGCCGCCCACTGGCAGGAAGGACAGCAAGCTCAGGCGCTCTGGCGAGGCGCAGGACCCACAAGAAATGCACAGAAGGTGAGTTGGCGTGTGCACACTATAACACAAGGCAACACACATTCCTCATCCTTCGATTGTCGCTCCTGCCAGACCGCGGCCAGCCATCCGCTCGTCCACTCCCGTCCCGGCCGTCAGCCGCTCTGGCCACCACCATGCATCCACAGACTCCCTCGACAGCCTCAGGAGACAACACGGCGGCAGGGCACGACCAGCCAAAGGCCCCCCATCGGCCATCCCCGCTCCATCCAGAGGGAAGAAGAAAGTGGACGACAGATCGCAGCAGCCCGGTGGTGAAGGTGACGACAGGAAGCCCTCCTCCATCAACGTCTTTCAGCGGCTCACCAAGGGGCTGACGGAGGTCGGCGGGGCGGCCAGAAAGTGGGGCGACGAGGAGGCACCACCGGCCAGCACACAGGCGGCCCCCGAGGAGAAGCACAGCAGAGATCTGTCGAGCTCGTATGGCATGCACTTCGTCAAGACGCGGAGCGGCCTCTTCCCACCTGCCCCGCGGCCCGCATCGGCTGCTGCGGCGTACTCGACTGTCGAGGAGGAGATATCGAGATCGCCGCACTTTGAAATGATCATAAAGCGACCGCAGGCGCACGAGTACCACGTGCTCAGGTGCGCAAGGGGCGGGCCGTTCTGGTGTCTGTCTGCAGGTGTCCTCTCATCCGTGTCTGTGTCTGTGTCTGTGTGTGGTCGTTATGTTATTCAGCATCTGCTTCGACACGGATCACGAGTTCGGCGGCAACACGTCTCTCTCGATGCCGTCGTCCATATTTTCGGGCTCGCTCAACTGCGTCAAGTGAGAGAGACACACGGATGCCTCGCAAAGACACATGCCGATGCACTCACTCTACACAGGCAGTGGGACATGAGCACTGCGATGGAAGAGCCCACATGGGAATACACCTTTAGAGGGTGACCGGCACAACACTAAACCACACCACAGCACAGCACAGCACAGAAGCACCTCCACCTCAATGCTGTGCTGTGCTGTGTTGTGTTTGCAGGAGCATCGAGAAGAGTTCGCAGCCGTTTGTGCGGTGTCTGAAGCCTGCTGAGAACGGCAAGCTGCTCGTCGCCGCCATCGGCTCATTCGTCAAAGTCTTCGACATCCGAGGTGATGCCACAGTCCACTGATTCTCCCTCCCGTCTGCATTGATTGCATGCATGTATGTGTAATCGTGCAGCCCCGAGCGACCCCGTGTTGGTGTGGTACTGTGGCGAGAAGGCGCCCACGAGTGTGCAGACGCTGTGTCTCCTCAACCCGGCCACGGAGAGCGGCAGCCAGCTCGGAATGTACGTGGCAGCCAGCTGTCATGATGGGTATATCAGGCTCTTTGATATCCGCAACCAAACCAAACAGACCTACGTCCTGCGGATGTCCACACAAAGCGGTCAGTCAGTCAGGCAGTGAGGCAGGCAGGCAGCCCAGCACAGCACAGCAATGCAATCGATGGATGGATGAGTGAGTCAGACCTACACGACCTGAAATGATCTATCTGCGCTGCGCACATCAGGCAAGAACGAGCAGCTGGCTTTGGCCTATCTCCCATGGATCGTACCAGACACCGAGTCACCCGAGCAGCCCCCCTCCTCCGTCCCCCTCCCAGACCACACCCCCAGCCGTGACAGCAGCATGAGCCCGCCCTCAGACACCAGCAGCAGCGCCACCCCACACTCAACAGCAAGCCCTAGCCCGGCCGACACGCGCAACCGGCGCATATGCCGAGGGCTGGTCACAGCTGGCCGCAACCACACGGTGCGCCTGTGGTCCGAAAGCTGGGTGTCCCTCCAGCCGCCCCACTACGACAGTGTCATGTGTCTGGGCATGCTGCCCACTGACGACATGGCCGTCGTGCCGCCTGCTGCATCCTCAGAAGGTTCAGAGGCAGAACCGTCATCTGCGGCGGCCGGCAGAGAGGGTGGGGATGGTGGGGATGGCGAGAGGGAGAGGCCGCCGAGGGGCGGGGTGTTTGTGGCGTCTGGTGGGAAGGACAAGCACATCCGCTCGTGGTACTGCTCGCGGGAGACGCGGCAGTCGCTGGGCGGGGGCAGCGGCCAGGGGGGCGAGTCGGTGCCCAGCCAGGACTGCTGCTACCTCAACGCGCACACCAGCTGCCTGTCGTCGTTCGCAAGGATACCGGGCAGATCCCTCCTGCTCTCATCCGACAGGCACGCATTCCATTCAGCTCACCCAGAGAGAGAAAGAAAAATGACCATCCATCCATCTATGTGTCTCTTTCCGTGTGTGGTGTGTTGGTGTGCCTGCAGGGATGGGTACATCAAGTGCTGGCAGTATGGGTGGAATCAGTCGTCATCGCAGGCCGAGACGCAGCCCGGCCCGTCCGGCAATGCCGCAAGGCTCTCACTCAAACCACTCGAACCACACCTAAGGTGCGGTGGCTTGACACAAGACAGACAGACAAGACACACGCGCATAGCTATAGGTGGATTGATGTGTTGACACATCTACGATGCAGGCACTCTGCTGGCTCGGTGAACCAGCTGATAGCCTGCGACCGGTTCTTTGTGTCGGCCTCCAACGATCGTAGTTTGAAGATATGGAGGCCACTCGCCGAGACAGAGGCAGGCCCCGCACCTAGCTAGGTAGGGGAGGGAGAGGAGGGGTGGCCTGCCTGTGCAGCCCAGCCTGCATGGCTGTGAGACTCATCCCATGAGTGTGTTAGGGGCTGCAGCAACTGCTTTGTAGAGGCAGATGGCGGCGGGTTGGCTGGGAGTGAGTGGGTGCATTGCGTGTGCGTGTGCGTGTGTGTGGTGTATTTGTCAGGCAGGCTACTCACATGTGCAATGCCTGCCTCCCCATGAAATGGTGTGACGCCAGTCAGTCACTTTGCTTCCGTGACGTGTGTGTCATGTATGTATGGATCATGGATCGGGGGTGTCCGCCCATTATGCTATGCGTGTCCTGTCGTGCATTCATCCGAGTAATCCCTTATATATGCAGTCTGTCTGCAGCCCGTTTGGTCCATACATACTATACGTCCAGCTATACAAAGCCCGCTGTCACCTCACCTCACTCAGCTGCCCATGTACACCAATCCAATCCCCACACACGCCCACGCTCTCTTCTGGCCGACAATTAACAGATATCGATCACCTCAGCTCGCCCGCCCCCGTGAAGTGCAGGGGTATCCTCACAAGCCCATTCTTGACGCCCTTCATGCTGATCCACCTGCACAATTAACACAAACCCACACACACACACGTGCACTGCACAGCACAGTGGGTAGGTATGTGCAGACAGACACGCAGCCGGCCTGGTCTTGACTGACGGACTGGCTGGCTGGCTGACCGTCCGTGTCTGTGTTCCTTTCCCACGGCGGCGAGCAGAAAGCCGCCCTTGGGGGCCACACACATGGAAGTGATGCAGCCATCCTGGTGGACGGACACACAGCAAGAGACACACACACACACACACACACACAGAGAGAGAGAGAGAGAGTACCCATGAACACATGCGCCTTGCATATCGCATATATCGTCTATGGTGCCACATGACGTGGCCTCACTGACTGACCACAGATGCCTCGGCGACTTGTGTCACTGTGGGTTTGCTCTTGGCGGTGTCTGTGGGTCCCTTCTTGGAGTGCCACGCCCGCAGCACACCGTCACAGCTGCCTGAGAAGAACGCGTCGCTGTAACGCACTGACGCCTAGTGGACATATTACATCCGCAGAAACCCATAAGATATACAAAGCAAGAAGGAAGCCACACAGGCAGGCATGAATCTGCGCTCATCTCATCCGTCCGTCCGACTCACCAGAGCGGTTATCCACTGTCCGCCATGAGCGTTGGGGATCGTTGCCAGCGGCTTGCGGCTGGAGATGCTCCACAACGACACAGACCTGACAGACATACATCTCACAATTAATGGGCCAATGCCTGCCTGCCAGCACTAGGTCCCCATGGCTCTCGCTCACCCGTCCTGAGCGCCTGATGCGAAGAGCTGTGCGGTAAGGGCGCTGACGGCGTCGATGGGGCCGAGGGTCTGGGGGGGCTGAAAGATCAGGTGGGTCTCCTGGGTCATCTTCCAGTATCGAACCGTCCTGTCCTCACCACCTGAAGGAGGTGAGCCACACGTGACGTGGGTCAGTCAGGGCAGGGCAAGAGATGAGGGGGTGGTGTGGTGTGGTGTGGTGTGTGCGCTAGTTGTGCCTTGGGTGTCTCTCTCCTCTGTCTCCCCCACCTGACTGACCTGTAAGGGGTCGGTCTCTGGCGAGTATGTCCATGCAGAGCACCTTGGATGTGTGGCCGTAGAGCGTGTTGACGTAGCTCCGTGTGTTGAGGTCCCATATCTTGATGGACTTGTCGTTGGAGGCCGTGTACACTCGATTCGTGCTGGCGTCGGGGTCAGCACAAACACACTGCATACCATACAGGACAGGGCACGAGTCAGCCACACCACACAACACAACCAACAGCCGTGTAAGTAAGCGAAGAAAAGGGCTCCTTGGCTCCTTCCTTTCTCACTCACCGTGACAGCTCCCGTGTGACCCTTGAGCTCGTCCACACACCGTGTTCCCGGCCGGCGGATGTCCCACAGCCTGATGATGCGGTCCACTCCTGCAGACACGACCAGGTTGGCATCCTCACTCACGCACAGGTCCAGCACCTGCTGTTCACACACACACACACACACACACACCTGAGGAAAGCAAATCAACTCAGCTCAGATGTACTTTGTGCATGCCATGCTGGCCAGCCACTCTGGCTTGCCCTCGTCACATCACGTCACACCTGTTCTGTGTGGCCCCCCTTATCAGGCTGCCGCCTCAGGCCGGGGAAGACGGTCTTCTGACCGGTCTCAAGGTCCCCTGGCCAAACATCCATGGCGTGGGTGATCCTGGATAGTCGTTTGCTTCCTGCTCACGGCTCACATTGGATGATGGCGCAGTCCTTGCCGCCTGTGTAGGCAGACCGCTCGTCAGGCGACACTGCGACACACGTGGGCGTCTGCTTGTGACCTCGGTAGAACCTCGGCGAGCCAAAGGACAGCTGCAGCCAAGCCACCCCGCACCCACAGGAGATCACTTCGTACAGGCCACTCATTCCACCCTGATGAACCGACACCTCACCTACCTCATGTCCGATCTCATGGTGAATCTTCTTGGTGGCGATGGCGACCTCCTCATGCAGCCTCTGCGCCACCGCCTCATCCTCGTCGCGCCCCATCCCAAGCTCATGCAGGTACCTCTTGGCGAGCCGCAGCTTCTTGGCCTCGGGCGCCTCGAACAACTCGTCCTCACCCTCCTCCTCACCGATATCAGCCTCGTCGATGGATGGCCCTTTCCTGGGCTTGTTGTGCAGCTGCGGTTCTTCGTCGTTTGACTCGAGATCTGAGTCGATATCTTGCTGTCGCGGCTTCCGCCTCTTGGGAGGACGAGCATCCTCCACACGTCGCTTCATGAGAAAGGAAGCAACCAGTCTGCTCTAGCTCGCGCATGGCGAGCTTGGAGACAGAGTGAGAGAGGAGGAGAACGAACGAAGCGGCAGGCTGGCTGTACGGCAGATGCTCCCTTTGCTCTTGCTGCCTCTTGCTGCTCAAGTGACGTCCTCGAGACTCGTCGACCAGATGGGCAGCGCTGACGGGCCGCCAAGCGCCACGCACTCCCCTGCCTTCCTCAGTCCTCTAGCTGCAATCGCGCGGCGGCGCCTCGACAGCACAAGATCCAAGCCTTCCGAATCGCCGCTGGTGACAATTAACGAGACAAGACGAAGCGCATGGCATGCCGCAGAGAGGGATGCTGTTGGTGTGCGTGTGCTTGTGTGGGTGTTGGTGTGATGCAGAACGTCATGAGCATCGACAGGCTGTCTTCGTCTGATACCGAGACCGAGGGCGAGGCGGCCAGTCCGCGGAAGATCTTGTTCCTTGACGTGGATGGCGTGTTGCACCCACACACAGGTGAGGCGGTGAGGCGCGGGCGGGCATATATGACAAGAGAAGCCACGGCGGGCAGTGCAGTGCAGTGCAGTGCACGAGAGCTGCGGTCTTGCATCCATCTGTCTTGGCTGTGTGTCCCTCTCTCCGCCACAGATTTCGGCATCAGCGAGCGGATGTTTCGCGCCCATTGCATGAGGTAAGTAAGACGACCAGACAGACAGACAGACAGACAGACAGACAGGGAGGGAGGGAGGGACCATTGGTAGCGAGCGACCTGCCTGACGGCCGATAGCCATGACAAGCTAAGTATGGGTGTGTGATGGCGCCACAAGGCAGACAGCCAGGGGGGCTGCGGCCCCCACCGCCCAGCGCATCCATCAACCATCGGGCGGGCGCTCGGCCTTCTCGCTGCGGCTCAGTAGAATAGACGCTGCAGTTCAGTACCGAGCGTACACGACACACAGACACACACAGTGTGTGGTGTTGTCTGTTCACAGGGAGTTGAAGAGAATCGTTGACGAGACTGGGTGCGACATAGTGTTTTCATCAAGCTGGCGCAACTACAAGGCCAACTGCGCTTTGGCGAGCGACAAGCTGCTCAGCCACGGAGTCCCGATGTGGATCTCGGCCACGCCATCCATCTCATTCGAGCAGAGAAGCCTTGAGGTAGCCAACACACACACACACACACACACAAAGACAGAACCAGACAGGTCAGGTCAACCACACCCACCACTTGCTGTGCTGTGCTGTGTCTTTCTCTGCTCTCTCTGCGTGTGCACTCACTCACTGCATTCAGGTATCGAGGTGGCTGGAGGCCAACCCCTCAGTGGACCGGTATGTCATCCTGGACGACATCGACTTCTCATTCGACGACCCCAACTTTGTCAAGACTGACCCCCGGACAGGGCTGACGTCAGAGGACGCCGACAGGGCGATCGCTATCCTCAACGGCGATAGGAACATCCTGTAGAGTAGATGGGTGTGTGTGTGTGGGTGTGTGGGTCCTGAAGGGATGCACTGCACACACGCGCCGAGGGCTTTCTTTGTTGACTTGACCTGCTGATGGATGCAGGGAGGGACGTAGGGGGCGGGGCTGGGGGGCATTTTATGGGTGTGCCGACTCCATCAACATCCGGGAGGATGTCATGTCATGTCGGTCGTGAATGGGCGGTTTTGTTTTGATCTCTGTCTGTCTGTCTGTCTGTCTGCTCCTGTCGGCAGTTCGCCAGGCCCTCCCCTTCCAAGGCCGACCTCAACAGCTTCGCCGGCACTTTGTTGTGCAAGTGAAGCTGTTGATGTCTGTGTTGGAAGGTGAGGCTCGTGGAGTGCCCTGATGCTCGTGTGCCCGAGAGATTGTGTGTGTGTGTGTGTGTGTGTAGTGTGCGTGTGTCATCCTAGCGCTGCGGCCTGCCTGTGATGTTGATTCATCTAGTGAGACGAGGGGGAGAGGGGTCAGTCAGGTCAGTGCACTGTCACTCATGCATTCATTCGTTTTGACGTTTTGACTCAATTCACCTCACCATCCATGAGTGTGTGTGGGGAGTGAAAGATCGACGCTTGCGTCTCTCTCATCTGAGCAGCCCGATCTCGTCTCTTCCATCCACCGGCCAGCTGCTCGATCATCTTCACACGTATGCATTAGCAACAGTCCGTCCGTCCGGCCGCCAAAAAGGGGCCGGCAGAAAACACTGACTCGCACACAGATGCAGCAGTGGGAGTGGCGGACCAACAAGTCGTCCCATCAGAAAACATGGGACGGAGGGAGGGGGGCAACGAATCGAATATATCGCGTCCGTCCACTTTGGTTCAGAAAACGGCCGGGAGAAAAAGGGCCGACCTGACCCGACCCGACCGGAAGGCTCTCACCGCACGGCTAACTGACTGACTGACTGACCTAGCTGCCCCGCTACCTATCACTGTACCACACCCCGGTATACACACACACACACAGAGGAGAGTGCATATGTGTTTGGTCGGTCGGTCGTTCCACTCCATTGACCCGCCAGTGAGTGCAAAATGCGTCCACTCCACGGATTTAGCGGGGGGACCGACCAGGTCAGGTCAGGTAGCTACAAAACTAACCGACCAAGAGAGGCTAGGCTAGCTGATGGGCAGCAGCTTGACGGCCGTGGCGGCCAAAAACCCGGCCAAACACGACAAACCGATGATGTCGCCACCCTGATGGATGCCACACACACACACACACACACGTGTGCGCCTGCATTCTGTGGACACCGCCCACGCCTGCATTTACCTGATCAAATGCCTCTGGGAGCATGGTTTGTGCGATCATGGTGAGCATCGCCCCCGCGGCCAGGCCCTTGGTGGCTGCGATGATCATCTGCGTCTCGGGGTTGTCCGACTGGCCGGGTGGGAAGAGAGCTGCCCCTACGGCAGCCCCGATGCCCGTGATGATGACGATCGACCCCCACATGCTCATTATCACACGCTTGCGCATGCCGTTAGCCTGCAAGGAGGACCCACACAGAGGGTAGGAGAGCTCTGAGGTCCCCTCCCTCCCCCTGACTGTCTCTCTGTCTGTCTCACCGACCGACCTTCATAGTGCCGGAGCTGGACATGGCTTCGGGGAGGTTGGACAGAAAGACGCCCAGCAGGAAGCCCAGCATCCCGCTGTACCCCGCCGTGACCCACAGGATGCCGATCACAATGCTCTCAGGGATGCCGTCGATCAGAATCCCCAGCCAAATCATCACAGCCGCATTCTTGCCCCCGTGGCCCCCCTTCTCCTCGCCACCAGCCACCTCTCTCTCCTCCTTGCCCCCCTCCGGCGGCGTGGGCGGGGCGGGCACGCTTGTGGGAGCGGTGGAAGGGGTGTGCTCGGAGACCTCCCCTTTGTCTCTCTCCATGACCTGCTCGCTTTCCTCCTCCTGACGCAGCACGTGCGCCTGCTCCAGCTGGGCGATTGGGTCGGCGTCGTCTGTCAACAGCAGGTCGACGTTCTCGAAGCTGGTCAGGTGCTCTCTTGCCCCATGGGGGCTGGTATCGGACCCTGCCCACGATGCGCGTCGGCGGATGCCGAGGGCCCCCGTGGTGCGGCGCTCGACGGCGGCTTTTGGAGAGGGGAGGCCGCTGGCGAAGCGGCGGAGAGACGCGCCATGCATGTCTGTGAAAAGGTCGGGAAAGGAAAGCGTGTGTGTGTGAGGGCTTGCTTGTGTCTGACCTTCGGGGCCGATTGGCGTCGAGAGGACTCGCTTGATGTCCTGATGGTCCAGCCCCTTCAAGTCGCCCACATCCTGGCCACACACGCACACACGCACACACAAACACGCGCACACACGCTTGATCTCCCTCCCCTGTGTGAGGCCCATCCATCCATCCATCCATCCAGGCCCTCACCATGTCCTTAGGCACTCTCTCCCACCCAAACGCCCTTTGCTGTGCCTCAGACACGCGCATCGCCATGGTGGGTATGCGGCGGCGGCTCACGGCTGGTGTGGGCGCGAAACTGACACCCTTGCCGGCCTTCTTGTCGGCTTCGCTGAGAATCCGCTGCTGCTTCTCGTGCAGGCTCTTTCTGTCGGCGGTGAGTGCCTCGCGGAGTGACTCGTCGGTGCGTGTGAGGTTGTCAAGGTCCGACCGAGGGATCTTGAGCACCGTGGTGTGCTCCTGTGCGACGGCCGTCGCCCTGCATAGCATAAGACAACACAAGGTGGACACACACCTGGGATGGGATGTTCGTGTGTGTGTGTGTGTGTATGTGTGTGTATGTGTGTGTATGTGTGTGTATGTGTACCTGACGGCCCGTCCATGTCTGAGGTGTTCGAGTCCGACGATCGAGTTGGTGGTGAAGCACCGGGTGGTGTTGCGGTCGTCGTTGTATGTCACCTCAATCTGACATCATGACACACACACACCCACACACCCACACCCACACTCTCACACACATGTAGGAGGACCGAGGGAGGCATGCCCACCACCCTTCCTTTCGGCTGGCTGACCTCTCCGAGTACGACGAAGTAGATGGGTGTGAGGGCATCCACGTCATAGAACAGCACATCCCCCGCATTGAAATCGTCGCGCACCATGCGCCCCACCAAACGAGCCAGCGTTGCTGTAGGTGGACACATACATATCATGCACACATAGAAGCCACAGCACACCCCTCCCATCCCCATCCATCGATCCACTCACTCCTTTACTCACTGACCTGATCTGAGGTGTCTGAAGGTGTCGATTTCCTTAAGTCTTTCGACGGCCATTCCCTCGACATGGTCCTGCAGCGCCTTGCTGGTGGTCAGCAGCCGATGCACCGCCTTGTGAGGGATCCGCAGCACCCGCGTCGCCTCCATCGCCGTCGCCTGGGCCCTCAGCGGCATCCCCGCCAGCAACGACATCTGCCCAAACAGGTCGTTGGGGCCCGCGATGAACGTGTCCACTATGTCGCCCAAAGCGTGGTCGTGCATGCTCTCCGAGCGCCGAATCCCGCCGCCCTCGTCAGGACCCTCCATCTTTGCCTCCTCCTCCTCGTCCACTGTGGGCAGCTGAATGGAGATACTCTCTGGGCGGGCCTCGTGGGAGGAGGAGCCGTTGGCCACCAGCAGCGGCTTGCTGTCGAAGGCACCGTTCTCGTCGTTCCCAGTATTATTGCCGTTGCTCAGATGGTTGTTCTCGGTGTCCTCCTGGCCCTTCGGATTGATGAGTGCGAGCGTGTCGACCTTCTTGAGGTCGGGTGTGCGGAGCTCGATCTTGACCTGCCCCGAGATGATGAAGTAGAGAGAGCTGTAGACGTCCAAGTCGTGGAAGATGGTGTCGCCCTCCTGGAACTTCTCCTTCTCCATCTCTGTCGTCAGCTGGTAGAGGTCCTCCTCGGGCAGCCCTGCCAGCAGCGGCACCTTCCGCAGCTTGTGCACCAGCCCCTGAGCAAACAGCCGACGCAGGTTCTTCAGGTACCCCTTGACCAGGGCGGGCTTGCGCAGGAAGGCGCCCTTCTCGTTGAGCAGTTTGTTGAGGCCGGCAAAGAGGAGGCCGCCGGCGATGGCGCCGCAGATCATAATGCCGATGGTGAGCCGCGCTTGGCTGATGTCGTCGTCAGACTCCCCGTGATGCATAGCCGCGAAGGCCTCACCGAAGAGCTCGAGCGTGAGGGCAAACAGGAGCGCCCCACCGCCACTGAGAGATTCACAGAGAGGGAGGGAGGGAGGGAGGTTGCTGTGTGTCGCATGTCTGGGTGTGTGTCGTGGTTGGTGTGTTGGTGTTGGTTCAACCTTACAAGGCCATGAATGTGGCGCGAACGGACTGGTTGGGTAGCTGGATGATCCCCCATGCTGCCCCGATGACCAGAGAAATGGCTGACACACATCCCCAGCCAAACGCCTGGAAAGAGAGTCGAGCCGCGCACACACACACATCACATCAGACATCAGACATCCACCTTTCCGCTTCTATGCGTCTGTTCCTGTGCTTACCGTCGCAATGTCATAGGCGTCCACTTCTCCCGAGGGTGATCCGCTGTCAGAGGACAGCTTCCGATCCCATGCAGCCTGAGTCTCGAGGTGCTCCATCAACGACATGCCTGATATATATGCCTGATACAGGCGGCAAACTCACTGACAGTCCTGCTCGCCAGACACGCCGCCCCTGCCACTGTAACGACCAGAACGACTCACACGGTATAGGGTGCAGGGTTTAGGGTTTAGGGTTCAGACCCTATCGGCTGAGCAGCATGGAATGCTCTGAGCTGCTCACGAGCACCACCAGTCAGTCATCAGTCCCTCATGCATGAGTGCATCCATCGATTCGTTCTAGTGCATGCCATGCACCCTCCCTGGCCCATACCGCATCATCTACCAAACACAGACACAGGCAGACATCGACACAGCAAGAAAGACAAACACAGCGGTTGGGCTTGTTGTCTTTCTTGCTCCGTCAATGTCTGTCTGTCAGTCTGTGTGGGTATACACACAAACACAGACACACACACAGACCTAGGTGTTCGGACTGCCACTGCCGGTGCCGTCTGCCTGAGCTCTGCCCATCCATGGCACCGGTACCATCCCGCGGGGCAGCGGAGGGAAGACCACATGCGGCGGCGGCGGCAAGGGCTGAGCCATGTCAACGCCACTTGCTGCTGCTGCTGCTGCCCCCCTGCATGAGGGTGAAGTGCGCTGTCTGGCGGTCGGTTGTCGCGGTGGGTTGAACGCCTCCCCGATGATTTCGACGTCATCGTCGTCTTCGTCAGTGGCGGCCCGGGCCAGCGGGGGGCGGGAGGGCAGGTGGGGTAGGTCAGAAAAGGATGGGCTCCTGCTCTTGTGGTTCAACGCGTTGAGGTCCACGAGGATGGGACTGCCCACAGGCACGGAGTTGAGGGCATGTAAGATGTGCTGAGGGGGAGGGTCTGCCATGCCACACACACACACACACACACACACACATACACACGCACACACCAGTCGCTGACACACGCACGGGTCCACGGCACACGGACAGACCCACCCCCCTCTGCCCACAACGAACCAACCTGTGATCATGCTCTTTTCCCAGTTCTTGAGTACGCTGCAGACGCTCCTGAAGTCCCAGTTGGCCGTGTGTGTCCTCTTGTGGGCCAGAGCAGACCGCCAGCCATTCTTGTCGCCGTGGAGGAAAAAGTCGATCTGCGCACAGCCGCCCGGGTGGACGTCGCTGTGCACAATCTTGATATTGGCGTAGGGGCGGTAGCGGGCCAGGATGGGCTGCATCGACAACTTGACGTTGCAGGCGCGGTCGAAGGCCTGCAGGCACTCAACTGCATCCATCCACCAAGCAAGGCACAGCCACACAGGATAACACGTCAGTCAAAGGCAATCAATCAATGGTGACTGTACTGTGCATGGTATGGTGACTGTGTGGCTCATTCACTCACTTCTGAGTCCCTCGTCTCTGAGGAATCCGTCCAGGAAGGCCGGGAGGGCGGCTGGGTCTATCTGGTGCTGCTGGGGCCGCTTGGCAAGCGGCGACAGAGCCCCTCTCACCAACCCAGGGATGATCATCTCACGACCGCCCAGCCGAAACTGACACCACACCCACACATAGCATAGGCAGGCACGTAACTTAGGTAAGCATCAATCTATTGACTGACATACTCAACGAACGCATCCGTGTGGTGTGGTGTGGTGCCTTGTTCTCTTCTCACCTCCAGTTGAGCGATCTTCCTGTTGATGGCGCCAAGCGCCTTCTGTCGTGTGTCGATCTCCTCAATGAGGCCCTCGATGCTCTTGGCCAAAATCCGCCTACGGTCTGCACCGGGCAGCTGCCCCACCGGCGGATTGACACACACAGACACACACACACACACACACACACAGCGCCATGAGTGAGAAAGAGAAGGCGTGCCTTGCATTCCTTGTGATTCATTCGTAAGTACTTACGTCAGGTGATGGCTCCTCGCATCGTTTGAGCACGGCCCCCATGTCTGGCACATCCATGACACTCTCGTCGTCGTCACCATCAGCTGACCCGTCCGAGCCCGCCCCTTGACCAACACCCTGAAGGAAGAAAGGAAGGAAGGAAGGAAGGAAGCACTCTCATCACCGTACGTACCCTCATGCAATGCATTGCATTGCATTGCATATCATCATGATGTCCCTTTCGTTCGTGCTGCCCTGCCCTGCCCACCCCTTTAACCTTCTTCTTCCGCGGCAGCGTGTCGCCAGTATTGTCGTCCTCTCCTGCTGCAAGGGGCCGCTTCCTCTCCTCCCCACCAGAGGCAGCAGATGCAGATGCAGCATGCTCATCGCCCATCGGCTGGTCCTTCTCTTCCTCCTCCTCCTCCTCCTCCTCCTCCTCCTCCTCAACCATAGCGCCACACGCCTCTCCTGCAGCAGCGCCGTTCAGCCTCGGCGAGTGGCCCGCCGACGGCACGACGGCTATATCAGCGGGCTCTTCGGGAAGAGGGGCGGCACCTGCTGCAGCCGATGCACCAGACATGCTCGATGAATACGTGAGGCGCCCGTAGTATTGATTTTGTCACAGGAAGATGCACTACATAGGCCGGTAAAACGCCAAGCTCTTAGCTCGCAATCCCCTTGCAGAGCATGTTCTCCCTTCCCGCCTTGTTACTACTCTTTCTGCTGGCGTGTGACGTCCTCCTCTCTCACTGCTTCAAGATCCAGCGCCATCCACTCATCGATGCCTTTTCACCTGCTGCAATACAACGACGACCTCTGACGCGCCTATCTATCTTCCCGGGACAGAACCGTGGGCTCGGCGGCCTCCCACCAGACGACAGTAGGGCAGGCGCGACGGGCCAGCTGTTAGATCTGCGTCGGCGGCGGTTCAGCGTACTGCTTGACAAGCTGGTCGACGCGCAGAAGGATGCCAGGGCGATACAGAGGATACTCGACGACAACAAGGCCTTTCTGCTGGAGCCGTTTGTGTCGCCAGAGGGCGTCGAGGGCGCGTCCATCTTCCGCGCGGGGCAGTCGTTGTCTGAGCGGCTGGATGTGTACAAGGTGACTATGGGCGAGAGGATAGACTCGGCGACGTCGGTGTCGTCGCATGTCGTGATGCGGCTGATGCGGGATGCGGTGGTGCGGTGGGTGGAGGAGATGATTGATGAGCAAGAGGGAGCGGCAACGGCAGCCAGATAGACTAGACGAGGATGGTGGGGACGAGACGAGTGGCGTGGGTGGCGGTGGGTTGGTTGGTTTGTTGGTCTTTTCAGTGTGCTGCGTGACATTCGAGTTCTGTGATTGATTCCTGAAGGAATGAACCGCTTCATTTGGTCGTGTTTATGGGACCCATTACAAATGCGCAGTCGATCGATCATCCGTACACAGCTGGGACACACACTCACTCACTCATACACACAGCCAGCCAGCCAGCCACCGGCAGCAGCAGCAGCCCTGCCACAGTATCCCTTGAATCGACGCATCATGACGCAGACAGACAAGACAAGAGAGAGAGGAGAGGAGAGGAGAGCGGCTATGTATGTCAGTATGCATGTATCAATCAGTGGAGCAGCCGACAGCCAGCCGGCCAGCAGGAGACAGATCCATAGACAGACAGACAGACAGACAGACAGAAGGGCGAGCGATAGATAGCGATACAAATACGACCAAAACGGCCGGGTCAGTCAGTCAGTCAGTCTGCTAGAGAGAGAAAACAAGACAGACAAGTCGAGAGAGTCCGCCGATCGATCGATCGAGCAAGCAACCAGCCAGCCAGCCAGTCCTGGCTGTTCGTTCTCAAAAATGCCAAGAATGACCGGTTGCTTCCATCTGTCCATCCGTCCAGAGTCATTCATTCGTTCGTCAGTCGAGCGATGAGTGTGTAAGTATACAAGGATGCGATGCAGGTACGTATCCATCTATGTCTGTAGGTGTTCAGGCAGGCCCCAGTGGGAGGGATGAAGCACGTGGGGTATGCTCGTTACTCTCTGCACATACAAGTTCCCGCCCCGCCCCGCCCCCCATCCCCTCGCTCTCCGGCTCTCTTCCTCTCCCCTTCACAGTACAGCACTGGCTGGCAGAAAATCACTGGCTCAAGCACTCACTCACGAATCATCATTCGATGATGCACGAATGAAAGCGGCTGGCATGGCACGGTGGCCAGCCAGGCCAGGCGGCGATAGAGGTGGGTGATGCGGGGTTCCACGTGGAGTGTACGTAGTACGCACTTTCATACCATCATACCATAATGTCCCCCATGTGGATGGGATGCATGACAGGACAGCGTCATCAATCGGTCAATCGATCAGTCAAAACTCTAGGGAACCGAACCGGCCGTTCCCTCCGCGTCCCTCAGACCTACGTCACAATTCACCAGCTCCAGGCAGCCAAGAGCAGGCGTCCGTGAGACAGGAGTGAGAGAGGCGGAGAGAGAGGGCCAGCTCTCTTTGTGTCCGTCTGTCTGTCTTCTATCTGTCTGTGTGAAAGAAGATCTGTCGTGTCGCGTGGAACAGTGAAGGAGTGAGTGTGTCGATAGCGGCATAAATAAGTCATAATACAATACACAATACGTCGTGACAGTGTAGGCAGGTCGGTGTGTAGTACGCACCAAGTGAGGAGTGAGTGCATCGAATCCATCCATCCGTCTTTCCATCCATCCGTCAATCTGCGCCAGCCTGCACCCACGTGCCGGCTCCTCTCTGTCGGCTTCTCTCTCTGTCTGTCTGTCTGTCTGTTTCTTTGTCTGTCTGTGTCTCTGTCTGGTGAGCATGACCAAAAATACCCAACCAACAGGGAACGAACAACAAACATAGGTAGGAATGCACGGGACACTGCAGGGCACGAAGATCACACACGCACACGGGGGGGCAAAATTGCACAAAACCCGCCCAGACACGGGTTAGAGACGTCTTCTCTTTTGACGGACTGACTGCTGTGTGTGGCGGGCGGGAGGGACGGAGGGAGGGAGGGACGGAGGGAGGGACACCAAAACTCTCACACACATGCACTCACGGGCATCCATTTAGATATCGACACGCAGGCAGACAGGCAGCAGACGTGCAGCAGACAGGAAGGGAAACGCTCATGAGATGCCGAATGCAGCACAGAGCAGCAAACACTGGTTTCGTTCCGTCGGGCAGTGAAGAGGTGAGTGGGAAACAGCGACGAGTAGCAACGGGGCGCATCAGTTGGCCGTGTCGTGTATGGCTCGCTCTCTCGATCTGCTCAATGCCTGTCTCCCTCCCTCTCTGTCTGTCTGTCTTTTTGTCTGTCTGTCGTCTCTCTGCCAGTCAGCAGTGGTACTCAGAGCCATCACGAAGGAGCGAGGGAGTGCAGGCAAAGGGAATTAATGGATCGATCATCAGGCTGGCAAGGCAGTAAGTCAGTGGTCCACACACGTTCCATGGGCATGAATGAATGAATGCAGCCATGTCGTGATCTGGGTGGCTTCTGCTGCTCCGCCGAGCTCCCAGCAGGCAGCGTGCAGCAGGATCTGTATACTCCGCAAACACGCAGTCAAGCTGCAGGGCACTCGAGCAAGCAGCAGAAGCGATCCTGACCCAACCATCCATCCATCCTTGACAGCAGTGAATGAATGTGTGTTGGTTGCCTCGTTCACTCCACTACTTCTTCGACCACTCTACTACTTGTGCGCCTTCGCTTCCCGCCCCAAACCCCTACGACATCACATGCATATGTCACGAAAGAAAGCAAGCAAGCAAGCCGATGGTTGGCAGGGTAGATAAAGAGTGATAAACAAAGCACTGACACACTGGATGGAGAGCACTGAGGGAGCGAGAGTGACATCCTCATTGTTTCCGTTCCGAGAAGGAAGAAAATCGGTCACAGAACCGGCAGGCAACTGGCTGGCTGGCACGACCAAAATCGCCCGTCCTCTCTTTGCGCGGGCGTGAAGCAGACAGGCAGGCAGACAGGCAGGGGGCAATAAGCACAGACAATGCAGTCAGTGGTCTGGTCTGCGGGCGGAGGGAGAGAACTCCCTCCGCAAAAGAAACGAGCCGACGATACGCAAACAGCGATGCATACGTACGGTGCGTAGACACACACATGACACTGACAGGACGAGTGGCTTCCTGAATGCCATAGAATGGATGCAGGCAGGCAGCCAACGAGCCGTCTTGAAAGCACGCCACTCACGCACATCCAGACACAAAGGCAGGCAGGCAGGCAGGCACTCAAGGGCAGTCAGTCAGTCAAAGGAGTCAGTCTCTCATGTAGGCAGGCAGGCCGTATGGACGCAATGAATGCACCCTACGTACGCACGCACAAGCGAACCGAACTGAACCGAACCGAAAAAGGCATCAATCACATCGAGCGAATGAACCGACCGACCGGCGAGGCGAGAGAGGGTCGTTCGTCTACGTACGCGTGTGTAGACGGACAGACATACACAGAGACATACAGACAGACGGACAGACAGACAGACATACATACAGACCGACGGATGACAACACACACAGAGAGATAGACAGACATGGCCCTGACTGAGACGCACCGTACAGGCGCACACGCGCACTGACCTGACACGTACATGCAGCAGCAGGCAGAGAGTGAACTGAGCAAAACACTCCCTCGCCCACCCATCCCAGCAATCTCTGTCTGTCTGCAGGCCATGTCATCCGTGCCGACCAGGCAGCAGGGAAAAAACCGTGTGTCAGCAACAGTCAAGCAGCAGCGTCAACGCAGCCATGCATGCTATGCTGTGTCCTTGAGAAACTCCAGCGGCCACCAAGAAATGATTCAAACGCAAGACTGACTCACTGACTCACTCAACCCCCCCCCCCCCCCCCCCC